AGATGTGAATTTTGAAAAGAGATTCTTGGTGAATTTTCAGCAGAATTGAGTTTTTTAATCAGCGATTGTGGTTAGACAATCATAAGTACTGGAACCTAAGAATGATTTTGTTCTTGGAGAGTGAACATTAGTAGTTGGTCAAATCACTATAAAAGTATAATTTGTTTTAAGTGAACTAGAAAATTACCTACCCATCATCTTACGAAGAATACAATTATGAGAGACCTGATTTAAGAATGAAATAAAAAAAGAATAAATTATTCAAACCCCCTTTTTGATCTTAATGCTAGCCAAAACACAACATCCAAATTTATTAGGATTTTTCTCAATGTTATTTTTTTTGTTTCCCCTTTCTCATCCTTTGTTACTATTCATTACTCTTATATTACACTCCTCCTTAGTATTCATTACTCTTATATTACACTCCTCCTTAGTATTCATTACTCTTATATTACACTCCTCCAATAGTATTCCAAGCCTCACTTAGCAATCATTATATAAGGGGTGTCACCATCTCTCTCTCTCTCTCATGGTATTCCCCTCTCATAGGATTGTATACAAATTGGTTTTTCTTCCTCCATTCTTCTTGCCTTATGTGCTTTAGAGGCATCTTGGAAACTCACTTGACCCCCTGACAAAGCCTCCCTTAATTTGGGATCATCCACTATCACAAACTAGTTGAGCTCCATAATATCAATGATAGAGTGTCCATGTGTGTTGTTCACAAAGCCAATGTAGCGTGGTTAGATTGGGCATTCAAAATAAATCTTCATTCTTGTGGTACTAAATCCTCAACATCATGGAAACTATTATCCTATGATGCAGAAAACTACTATCTAATAAGGGATAAAAGTTTTTTGACCCAAGTGGAGAAGACTAGTGGGATTTGTATCCAAAGAGTGAAAAGCTATTAATTTGATGCCAAAATAGAGTTTCAACCTAATTCAACTGAACTAGAGGCTCAGGAGATGTGAAGATTTTATTTTAGCCCAAATTGAACTCAAAATGGCCTAGTAAGAGATTTGGGTTAAATCTCAATTCACACATTTTATTCATGTTAAATCTTTCTATTTCGTTTTGGATGTTCTTATTTCTTAGTGGCATCCTAAGACAATCCCTATTGTTTATAGGGAAGCTTAAACTATTTTCCTTATTTTTAGGATCCTAACTTTTTATAGGTTAGTTAAAACTAGTTTTCAGTGTATAAAAGCCCCAAAGGTCATTCTCATTTTTAGTTCCTTTCCCTTATGGAGGTTTTCTCTATCTAATGGTAGTTTACAATATCCTTGTCAACTTAGGGATGAACTTTCGTTTTTTGTGGACCCATGATCAACCCCATGTCGACTCAAGGGGTAAACTCTCTTTATTATGTGGATTTAGGATAATAAGTTTCACTAAAAACATGTTCTTTGTGGATTCAAGGTTGTAATTTTGCTTCCAAAATATACAAACAAAGTTGAAACATGATCAAATCATTAATTCTTCAAATTTTCATTACATCATGTTATGATTTCACATGAGAGAGAGATGAAGAAAACTAGATCTAAGCATGAATATGAATGTAGCTTAATCATTGTTTGTTAAATCAAAAAAAATAATTTTATATAACTAGAAAATATTAATTTTTATAATTTTCAAATTATTTCTCAAAAATATGTCAATTTTACTTTGATAAAGGCTCCAAAAATAGTAAAAATCTTCCAAGTAAATCATAAGGATGTTAACTAATATCAAATAAAATTTAAAATAGTTCACAAAGAATATGTTTTTTATAATTTTTAAAATAAAAGACCATAATTTTTATAAAAAAATAGAGAAGAAGAAAATTCAAATGTTGATGTTAGGTAGACGTTAATACCACTCAAAAGGTGATTGGGTAAAAAAGATAGTTTAGCTTGATGATTACTGTGTAAGCAATTTTAGATGATTCGATCAATAAAATTGAGATTTGTAAATGCAAAATAAATCGTAATGGAGTAAAGAAGAGTTTTGAAACTTGATTTTAAGTAAAACTATTATTATATAAGGAATAAATAAAATTTAAATAGAGAAAATAGAGTTCTAATATCACAATGACAAACGCCACAATTTTGTAGGTTTGGAGGGTTTTTAAAGAGTGTGCATAGCCTTGAAGGCTCTCATTAGACATGCACAGCATGTGTACTCTTTGGATTCCATGCGAAGTTTAGAGGACAAAAAAAGGTGACAGTGAAGTGTCTCTAACAATTAACACCTAGTGGAGCAAAAGTTTTTCGTAGATGGGTCTCTAGTAGTTGTCACTCAAAGAAGCTGAGATTAATAGAGGTAGAGTGCATCTTAAGGAATTTCTTCCTAAGGTTCTTATTGTAAGAGGAGCCTCTTATTGCATTCGGAACATTTTTAAGAGGTGCACTCTTTCATCATCGACCAATATGAGATCTCATTTCTCCTCAAAGTTTTTAGTTTTCTATCTCAAATCCTTGGTTAGTTGCTAAACCAACTCTTTCCCTATAGCAAAACAACAGAGTGAAAATAGAAGAAATTAAATTTTGGCATCAGTGAGTTTTCAGCCTCCATTGATCACTTGGTTGCATAACTAAAGGTAAGAAAATTATATTATTTTCATGAAATAATGAAAATACAAGAGTTTAATCTTCTCTTTATATAGGGGAATTTTCAATATTATTTTGACTGAAAACAATAGCTTGCATTTAGTCCCACATTAATTGTTTCAGAGAGTTTGAGATCATCATGCAACATGTGTGATGAGATCATACTTTGCCCCACACATTGGTTTGGGGCTGATGATGTGGAAGAGGAGTGACATGCATGTTCGTGGGTCCTTAGCCACTAAAGCCTAACTCATGGTTCTATTTGATCTAGTTCTGCCCACTCGAGTGTAGTGCCATTTAGGTCGACTATTGAGTGTTGGTTGGCTAATAGATTCCCTCTCTTTTTAATTTTTTAATTTTTTTTACTTTATTTTTACTTGAGAATAAATATAAAATTATTTAGAATTATAAAATTAATTATAAATTCATGTTAGTCATGTAAAAATAATTTCCTCAACTTATAGTAAATATAAGACTATTTATCATAAGTTAATACATAAAATATTTTATTAAACTTATAATAATAGAGACTTATTAAGTATCAATAAAGTCGTAGGCATCTATTTGTCAAGAAAAAGTGGTATAGAGGATGATGAACATAACTTTCACTCTAATATGTCTTTTAAAATCCATCAATCTCATCTCATCATGCTCTATGCCATAACATTGTCTTTAGATTAATGTTTGAAAAACTGTAACAGTGAAGACAAATCAACTAGATGATAAACCTAATCAAAAATTATTTCTTGGGGCTCTTCATCACTAACTAGTCCTCGGGCAGAATAGGTGGTTGGTATCTAGAAAAAGAGCCAAGCTTGAGCAAAACTTTGTAGAGATCGAAGAGTTTCATCATGTGGGCCCTAAAATAAATTATGATCTGCCAAGGAGAAGCTGAAGAAGCTATAGTTGACATGTTGTTCAGTTTACAAATGGAAACATAGATAATTGAGACCATGAAAACGAATGCGCCATGATCTGCTATCAATGAAACTTGGTTCATCTTAAGAAGTTTTTATCATATGATCAGTTTATCGTAATGATATAAGAAATTCCAAAGTTCCTTATGTAGATGGGAACTTTTTCATTACAATGTGACATCAATGGTGCAAATTTAGGGAAAACATCTGTTTCACAACCCCTCAAAAAGTCTAGGCAATATGATATTATAGTTGAATATTGGAGTTTGCAATAGTAGAACTCATGAGAAATTCCAAGAACCATGTAGAAAACCCAGGAAGAGTTGATTAGCTGTCAATTAAAAAGATGTTTAGATTACAGTCGCTCATCTGCTATTTATCCTTCGAGAAAACATGGAGCACATGCAGATTATAGATAGAAGATCGGAGTAGAGAGATATGGGAAGAAACTGATGGGGAGCTCAATTGAGATTTCCTCTGTCTCTTTCTTTCATAATCGAAGACCATGGAAACACTTGAGAGATAGAGAGGAAGGGAGACAATAAAGGGATACACCATGCGTATGTGGTTCGGAGAATCATTTGACATCCGTAATCACATGAGTTTCTTCTTCCTTAAGGAGCGAGAGAGTTTTCTTACAACACTTGACATAGCTCCGATGCCCTCCCTTTCTTATCACAAAGTTAGGGAAAATGCATGGGGACAAAGGACAATCCTCTCCATAGTACAAAATTTGAATCTACTTGCTTACTGAAGAGGTCAATTAGGGCTCGTTAGATCGTTCTCGAAACTCCTACAAAAACAACAAAGATCCTCTCCAAGATGAGGTTGATGGAGACAGCAAGGGAGGATTTTGCTGTTGGCATTTGCGAAATCGACGGAGTATTTTAATATTTCATTGTTCTTGGTGGTCCCTTCGTTTGTCTTTATTTTGCCAAAAGAGCGGTGGCCCACCGAAGGCATTAATGTAAAATTTAAATTAAATACCCTTTCTCTCTACTCTTATGAAACGGTTCGTGACATTTCAAAATCTAGGGTTTTTTCTATGCGAAATTCTCCTTTCCCCTAGCATCCTCTCCGACCGACTTTCTCCTTTTTCCCACGAGCTTTCCAGAGTAGTACGAGTAATTCGAGATATTTTCCTCCTTTGGATTACGAAGAAGTCTCTGGCGCGACCCTCCGCCGGATAATCATCGAATTTCTGGAATTATAAGGCGGATTTATGACCGACTCTTGCTGCTGATCCACAAGAAAAATCATAAAATGGTTTGGACTGCGCCACGGAGCAATACGTGGCTGTCGCTCTTCGCCGTTGATGAGAAGGTAGAGAATTATGTGTTTCTTCCCACATCCCGAGTGTATATTAGAGATGTCTGGCCAAGCATTCCAACTTGTGAGAGGCGGGCCCAGAAAATCTCTCTCCCTCTCTCTCTCTCTCTCTCTCTCTCTCTCTCTCTCCCCCTCTCTCTCTACTCTAGTCTATCTCTAACTCATGGACGCATGTTATCAGCTGGTTCTCCTTCTTCTAGCCCTTCTTGGGTTTCTTGCGCTTGAGAAGGCTAAGAAGAAATCACAGATAAAGAAACATCGTCTACCTCCGGGTCCCCGTGGACTCCCGCTCATAGGCAACCTCCACCAGCTCGGGAAGCATCCCCACCGCGCACTGGCGAAGCTCTCCAAACTTCACGGCCCCGTCATGTACCTGCAGCTTGGTCGGGTTCCGGCGGTGGTAGTCAGCTCCGCTGAGGCGGCAGAGGCGGTTCTTAAGACCCATGACCGTGATTCTTGCAGCAGACCGGCCCTCATCGCGTGGAAGCAAATCTCCTGCAACTTTTCAGACGTCGTATTCTCACCCTACGGCGCCTCATGGAGAGAATTGAAGAAGATACTCATGGTTAAGCTTCTATGCACCAGGAAGGTGGAAGGGTTTCGCAGGGTGAGGGAGGAGGAGGTGGAGAGGATGACGAGTTCGATCTTCTCTCGAATTGCTCCTCTCGAACCGGTCAATCTGAGCGAGCTGGTTCAGAGTCTTTCTAACAGTATTATCTGTAGAATCGTCTTATGCAGAAAACTTGAGGTTGGAGGATCGTTGGAAAATCGATTCAATCGCATCCTCCAGGAGGCCGAGGCCTTCGCGATAGGGTTCTTCATTGCCGACTATATCCCCTGGGCAGGATGGGTGGATAAGCTCACCGGAAAGCAAGCTGCTTTGGAGAAGACCCATGCAGAGATGGAAGCCTTCTGTCAGGAGATCTTAGGTGCCCATGCCGATCGAGGGAAGCCGAGAGATGATGAAGAAGGCATCATCGACTTCATGTTGCGCCGCCAAAAGGATAAGTCTGATCTAACGATGGATAACGTCAAAGGGGTCCTCCTGGTCTGTTTTTATATAACCTGTCTCAGCCTTCAACTTCTCACGATAATTTCTTTAGTATCTTGGCATATTCTCTCTAAAGAAAGCGTCATAAGTGATATAACATAGTTTAGGTGATCGATGAAACTTTTTGCCACCGTTTAACATTTTTTTAGTGGTAAAGTAATATTGAGGTATAAATTCTGGATTGATTCATCTCCCAGATGGTAAGTAACTAGTTTTCGGGACTGCAGAATATCCTTTTCGCCGCCACAGACACATCCGCTGCAACCCTAGAATATGCAATGGCAGAGCTTGTGAGGAACCCCAGAACCATGTCGAAGGCACAAGAAGAGGTGAGAAGCGTCGTCGGAGAAAAAGGGAAGGTTGAAGAGACGGACATACCCCAACTCATCTACCTCAAATCGGTGGTGAAGGAGACGCTGAGGCTGCACCCTCCGGCTCCGATTCTCGTTCCGCGAGAGACGACTGGGCAGATCACCATTAATGACTGCGAAATCCTCCCGAAGATGAGGCTGATAGTGAACGCGTGGGCGATAGGGAGAGATCCACACTTTTGGGAGAGGCCGGACGAGTTCCTCCCGGAGAGATTCGTTGACAACCCCGTCGACTTCAAGGGACAGGATTTCCAGTTCATTCCCTTCGGCGCCGGACGGAGGATCTGCCCTGGGACGTCCTTCGCCGTCATGGCAGTGGAGCTCGCCCTCGCAAATCTCCTCTATGCTTTCAACTGGGACGTGCCAGCTGGGATGGGAGAGGAAGGCATCGACATGGCCGAGGGAGTTGGCCTCGCAGTCCGCCTGAAGACCGCCCTTCGATTAAAAGCCTCCTTATATACACAGTTCAAGTAGTCCAAGTGAGACTAGTGTGATACCTGTCGTCTTGTTCGTTTTTCTGAACCTTCTGGTTTCTCCCTCCGTGAAATGTTGAAGGTTACAGCCTGGGGTTTTTGAGTTGTTTTCGGTGATGGAATAGGTAGCCCCATTACCTTAAAGTCGTCTACTTATTTTAGCTCTCAGATATGCCACGGAGTAGCTCGTCTCGAGTTCAACCAAATATCGAAAAGCAGGTCAACGTATGTGATGATATCGAAACTGCCTTCTAAAGATGCGCAACGATGAAAATAAATGAGGGGCTTATCGCGTGCTTCCGGACAGTCTTACCTCTCGCTGATTTCCAGTTATAAACACCCTGACACGATGAACGAACTCAATACTCGCAGTCACAGGGACAAAGTACAGTAGGCATTGGAAAAACCACGATGACATAAAGAAGAGATAAGACTGTGGAATAAGATTGTACGACCAATTTAGACAGTTATCAACCATACACGGAAACCAAGATTAGGTAAACAAAGAGAGTAGGAGAACAAGTATCCAGTACAAAAACAATAACGGATGGTACTAAACCCAAGCTATCTTACCCAAGACCTGGAAAACATAGCAGAGCACACTAATATACGAGTTGATCTCTATCTATTTGTGATGGGTCTCATCTTCCGGTCTTTTCCAGTCAAAACCCCATACATTTCCCCTATCCTACGTAACGTGATCCGGAGAGAGCGGCAGTACAATGAGAAGGCCGCTTTTGTGGGAAGAGAGGGATGGAGCTAACGACATATATGTCCAAGTCTTGATCATACTCACCGCCAATAGGACTTCGTAGTGTGGAGCGTTAATTATTAATGGACAGTGAGGTTTTGCCTAAGATATTCCTGTTTGCTTCGACCAATTGAAGGCGTCTACACACTTAACAGTCATTAGTTCATTCTCCGTTTTTAAAAAATTTCGTACTTAGATGGGTTCACTAAATACATGGAATTACAGATATTGTTTGTCTCCAAGCACAGCATTAACTAAGACAGTTCTTGGAGGAGCGAAGAACGGGACAGGGACGGTGTCTGAATAGGCTTTTCACTCCCTTAAATTTAGTCGCTCACGGGCAATTCTGAGCGGCAGCTCTCCTCCACGAACTCTCCTGCAGATCAAAGATAAATATGGGCATGCGTAAATATTCTGTGCTCCTCTGTAGATTACAAAGGCTGGACACGGCTCAGAGGAAATTTTGTGTTAATCTACTGATATATTAATTTGATCTGCCAAGAAAGGAGAGAAATAGTTCTGTCCTATGAATATTCGACGGCATCTCCTCACGAACGGTGTAGGTTTCCTTTTCAAGGAATGATCTTGTAATCAGTCCGTTAGAAACTTGATGCTTCTGGACTGCCACTTCGAGAGGTAAGTTTGCTGAGTATTTGTATTGCTCTTTGCAAGGAAACTCCAGTTCTGCATAGGCACGGCTGCAGCGAAGAGCCTGAATGTGTTATAAAAAGTTGCGTAGCTATTCGATTCAAAGAAATTCTGGTCCTCCGGTTTAGAAGGACCAGATTGAGGCACCTCATACCATATCCTTATCAGGTTAGAATGATGGGAATAGTTTCTCTGTCTGTCTGTCTGACTCTCTCTCTCTCTCTCTCTCTCTCTTTGTCTATCTCTCTCTCTCTCTCGCTAAAGCAAATTCAAGATGTTGCCTCATCAGGAAGACTTCCTTCTCTAAAGCAAAAGCAGAGGAAAAGGCCAATAAAGAATACAAGCCAACTCAAGATTCACAACAAGCCTAAATGTCATACAATCACAACCGTAACACTCATTCTGCAAAGAAAAACATAGGCGATGTCACCTTATTCAGAGCCGTGCGTCTGCTTATTCATCGCGATTATTCAACACTCAATGTAATTTCTGTCTACTCTATTGGTGTATTTGGTGGGCCTTAAAATCAAATCAGCCTTCAGATGAACAGTAATACCAGATGCTTCCTCCATGCTGAGGCTCTCCTTCCCCATCCCACCCGGCACCTCCCAATTGAACGCGTAGAGAAGATTCGCGAGCTTGAGCTGCACAGTCGTGACCCCGAAGGACAACCCAGGGCAGATCCTCCGCCCAGCACCGAAGGGGATGAACTGGAAATCCTGCCCCTTGAAGTCAACGGGGTTGTCGATGAATCTCTCCGGGATGAACTCGTCTGGCCTCTTCCAAGAAGCCGGATCCCTTCCTATTGCCCAAACATTCACCATCACCCTCGTCTTGGGGGGTATCTCGAAGCCATTAATGGTCATATGCCCAGTCGTCTCTCGAGGTATCAGAGGAACAACAGGGTGAAGCCTCAAAGTCTCCTTGACCACGGATCTGACGTAGTTGAGTAGGGGTATATCTGTTTCCTCGATCTTCCCTTTCTCTCCTACTACGCTCCTCACCTCTTCCTGCGCTCTGGCCATGACGCTCGGATTCCGGACCAGTTCCGCCATGGCGAACTCTATAGTTACAGAAGACGTATCCGTGCCACCGATAAGGACGTTCTGTAGACGAGAAAATGGAATACCCTATCATCAGTGAATGCGAGAAGAAACGAGAACAAACGAAGGAGACTAATATATACTGGTGGCTTGTTTGTGTGATACTTTTTCAAGTATAGTGTATTATGAGAGAGTTAAGATCTGACCATCAGCACCCCCTTGACATGATCTTCCGTTAGACTGATATCTTCCTTCTGGAGACGCAACAACACGTCGACGATGTCTTCTTCATCATTCGCCATCTTCGATTTATTGGCATGAGCTTCAATGACCTCCTGAAGAAAGAAGTCGAGCTCCCGAATGTTCTCCACCGTTCTTCTTTCTAGTCCAGTGAACTTATCGGCCCATCCTGCCCAGGGGAAGTAGTCGGCGACGTATAAGGCCGCTAACAGCGCCTGTGTTTCTGAGAGGATCCGGTGGAGTTTGCTCTTCGGCTGGAGCGGCCCTCCTTCGTCGAATCGTCCGCCGAAGGCGACCCTGCAGGTGATGCTTTTAGAAAGTGAGTGAGCTAACTCGCTGAGATTTACTGCTTCATTTGCAGCTGCCAGACAAGAGATCAGGTTCATCGTCCTTTCCACTTCTTCCTCCCTCACGCGACGAAACCCTTCCACCTTCCTGGTGCTGAGGAGCTTGACCACGAGTATCTTCTTCAACTCTCTCCATGCGGCACCGTACGGTGATAAGGCCACATCTGAAGAGTTGTAAGAGAATCGCTTCCAGGAGGCAAGGTCTGGTCTGCTGGAGGAAGTAAGATCATGGGTCTTCAGAATTTCCTCCGCTATTTCGCCGGAGCTGACGACCACAGCCTGCTGGCGGCAAAGCTGCAAGTGCATGAGGGGGCCGTAGAGCTTGGAGAGCTCCCACAGTGCGCGGTGGGGGTGCTCCCCGAGTTGATGTAGGTTGCCGATGAGGGGCAGCCCCGGCGGGCCGGGTGGAAGCTTGCGTTTCTTCCTCTCGTTCTCCTTTGTGACATTCCTACGTGAAAGGAATACAAAAACAGGGAGTATAACGAGAACAAGAAGAAGAATAGGAACCAGTTCTCCACACCAATACATCAGAGATGAGAGAGAGCGAGAGAGAGAGAGAGAGAGAGAGAGAGAGAGAGAGCGCTCTATTCAATGGGAAGGATGGAGAAGAGGAGACGGATAGATATAGTTGCATGCATTAATCACACGTGTTACCTACATTTTACACTTCTTGACGTGGGGAGTCAAGCAGGGAGTCTTTTGCGCGGTCGGAACTGAATGAAGAGAGAGAGAGAGAGGGAGAGATAAGGGAGAGAGAGAGAGAGCTCTATTCAATGCGGAAGGTTGGAGAAGAGGTGACGGATAGATATAGTTGCATGCAATAACCACACGTGTTACCCATATTTTACACCTGTCGTGGAGAGTCAAGCAGGAAGTTTTTTGCTCTGTCGGAACTGAATGAGGAGAGAGAGAGAGAGAGAGAGAGAGAGAGAGAGGGAGAGAGAGGGAGCTCCACGCAATGGGATGGAGAAGAGGGGACGGATAGATTGCATGCAATAACCACGCGTGTTACCCATATTTTACACTTCTTGACGTGGAGAGTCAACCAGGGAGTCTTTTGCGCTGTTGTAATAAATCAAGAGGCTGTCTATGTTGTTATTTTCGCCTGCCTTGACGGTAGCGGAGTCGAAACCAGTATGCGTCATAAATTGGGTAGCTACGAAAGAAGAGAACGTTGGCCCTTCTAGAAGGGATCGATAGCTATCCACATAAATGTGTCCATAGACCACCTGTTGGCACGTGCATAGTCCACATTCATCATCTGCTTGGTCAATGAAGGTTACTGAGAGCGAGGGAGAGAGAGAGAGAGAGAGAGAGAGAGAGAGAGAGAGAGAGTACCCCGGTGGGTTATGAACCCCTAAAATGTTTGTATGTATAACAATTATCGATGAATTAGTAAATAATCCCAAAAAATTCGAATATCACATTCCTTTCGACCATATTTTCTGACGCGATAATAATAAAAAAATTGATCTATTAAAATTATTTCGAGAAAATAACAATGATTATGCTTTTATGATTCTAACTATTTATTAAATAATATTGTCGGATTAAATCGGTAAGTAATTACCCTTCACATGAACAAATATAGCGAGGATAGAATGGGCACTCAGCTAAATGCGCATCTCATTGAATAATAAATACAAAATTAGGAAAAATAGCCGCGAGAGAGTGAAGGTTATCTAGAGTCATGCTTCTTCTCAATCCTTGTGCTTGTTGTGTTTCACTAGGAGACTGTTCTTCAGATGGACTCCCGGAACAGTTCCATTGCTAATGACAACCACCCCTCCTTCCCCATTCCAGATGAGATACGCCAGGTCAAGTTCCACGGGTGGCGGCGCTCCACAGAGCAAGGTCAACCATCCTCCGCGGAAATCGTCCTCTTGGTTGCAAATAGGATGAACCGGAGATCATGGCCCTTGAAATCAACGACCCTGTTCATAAATCTCTGCCACGTTGAATCTTCCTCGACTCTCTCGACCTCTCACCTTAAGGAGGCAATCCCACGTCGGAGAGCAGAGCACCTCCCTCGCTCGTATGTCGCTAATTCTTATAGATTCCTCCGCAGCCTGAGCAGAGGGATTGACGACGGCGTGCCTTGGCCAAGTTGCAGCCGCAGGATGGGACCACGGAGCTTTGAGACCATCCGCAGTGTGTAGTGGGGTTGCTTCCCGATCTGACGGGTGATGCCTATGATGGGGAAAGGAGAATACAAGGGCGATACCCTGGGCTTCTTCCTGCCCTCTCCCCTCTCTCTTCTTGCCTTTCGTTTTACCAGGAGAATGGGAAGATGGAGAAGAACACAAACCCTTTGCAACTAGAGAGATGATAGTTTCCTCACTGGAGTTCGGCGTTGGCTGGGTCTGATCCTATTTCTCTCTGACTCCTGTCATGGAGAATCTCTCTCTCTCTCTCTCTCTCTCTCTCTCTCTCTCTCTCTCTCTACGCCCCTCTTCCTCTCTATCGCAGGTGCATATAAATGGACGAGAGGAGGACCGACGTGGAAGAATGGCAGGGCTCATATTGGTCTTGGCAAGGCCCAGGCCCATTCGATGGCAGTTGTAGGGCCCACTCGATATCTATCTCCCGCTCTCTGAGAGTCTGAGAAAGACCAATCTTTTTTCTTGTCCCGGATAGAATTTCCAGACCCATTTAAATATTTTTCTGCTGGTTCCCCTCCACCAAAAAAGGGCGGAAAGTTCCTGCCGGCTTCTCCGGGGAGACGGATTCCGGCGCCTGGTTGGGAACCATCTTAATCGTGTTTCCTTCGTCTAGGTCGGGCGGCGAGTTTATTCTTGAATCTCATTGCGGGAGAGGTAGCGGTCCAGATGGTGATGTGCTGTTCCTGCGGCCGATTCGCGGCATACAGCTCCTGCTTCCCCGGCGGCGCCCTCTCCTCGGCCGCCGCCGCCACCACCACCACCACCACCAGCCTCCGCTTCCCCTTTCTCTTTCGTGAGATGGGAACACGGGCCGGAGGAAGGGTAGTCCGCACGGGCTTGCTCGCTAGCAATCACCGGATCTCAATCGCCACAGCCGTGAGGGCTTCTGTGGTCGATTCTCATGGGAGCTCGTCTGAATTCATCAAGCGCATGGAGCAGGCCTGGCTCATCTCGCAGGTCTCTCCAACCTCTCTCTCCCTCTCTCTCTCTCTCTCTCTCTCTCTCTCTCTCTCTCTCTCTCTCTCTCTCCATCGCATGCCTGTTCTTTATGATGCTTCTCTGGTTTCTCTCCTTGTTCCGATTCTTTCGAACTCCTGATTATAACCTCCCAAAATTGTGCCTTGGTTATTTCGATTTATGGTGTCAATTGGAACCCTTCTGGAAATTTTTTGCCTAAAACTGTGTCGTTGTCAGTGGCACTCTTCTGGGATTGCCCCTGCGAAGACAACCTCAAGCTCATATGAGGCCAGATTTTGAAAAATTTACACCCTCGAAATTTGGATGGAATTAGCTCGTTTGGCGATGCTCCCAGGAACAAGCGGGGGAGATCGTATTAGAGAAGCATTAATCATGGAAGTAGACTCCCTCTTTCATAATCCAGAATGCCATTAAAGCACAAATCGGGAAGAAATAAAGGGAAAACAAGGCTGGGGAATGGTTTAGGGTTCATCGCTCGGAGAAGACTGTGGATACTTTCTTAAAATGGAAAGAACAAGAATCGGCGCTGCCCTCGTCATGACATCTTATTTTGCTGTTTATTCAGCTGGATAAATTTTCCCATTTTTTCATCTGAATAAAATTCAGTAGTTCCACTGGTCTTTCTGTTTTTTCCTTAAATGTGTTTATGAAGCACGTGAAGGGTTTATTCGGCGTTTAATTCAGAAGATTACTCGTTTTTTCAACTCCCAGACTTCAGTTTATGTTAATGTTACAAAGTGGGTTCTCCCTTTTCTCCACACCCAGAGACCAAAGGCCTTTCGTCAACTCCTTGGAACAAACCCGGTTTTTAAGTCAACCCTTTCAGCCGGAATAATCCCATTCTCGTTAGACCATTGAGACTTTTCCATTTATGGTCAATTCTCTTAAATGGTATCGGAATTCCAGATCCCATCCCAAGATCATGCAGTAGAACGGGCATCCATGATGATAATAATAGTAATAATCTATCTAATTGAAAAAACGGATGAGAAAACTATATCAGACTGGTAGAAATTCGTAAAGATGTCATCGAGTCTGAAACTCCTGGAACTGGCCGTGGGGGGATGCTTCTTGTGGGTTCCACCATTTCTTTTAAGCTGAAGCTCTGCATGTTCGTCTGGGCTGTTTTTTCCTTAATGGGGGCTCCTCCTTCCTGCATGATTTGCGATCAGCAACCAGGGCCGATCCCTTGCTCGTCATGCGGATCGAAGGGCCACACAGAGTGCAAGTGGTGTCGGGGCACTGGGTTCTTCATCATCGGCGACAATATGCTCTGCGAGGTGCCCTCGAGGAACACTACCTGTGTGATTTGCAACGGAAAGGTCCTCTCTCTCTCTCTCTCTCTCGCTCTCTCTCTCCGTTCTTCTTTGAAGTTTCCTGATGCAGGCAAGGTCTTTCATGGAGTTTATGTTGCAGGGGTCGGCCTGCTGCCGAGACTGCAAAGGGACGGGATTCAGGGCCAAGTGGCTCGACCAGCCACCGCCAAGCCCTCATGGGGCCAGCCAGGCATAGCACGGGGCAGCACAGATGGGGCCCTCAGCTGCCCATTTAAGCACCGCTACCAGACCCTCAGCCATCATCAAGCCACCACCAACACAATACACTGATCTCTCTCTCTCTCTCTCTCTCTCTCTCTCTCTCTCTCTCTCTCATTCTTGACGAGTATTTTTCATACCTGGAGGTAAGAAAATACAAATTCTTATGTATATAATACAAATACCATAAGCATGTCATCTCATCAACTTGGTACTTGCGTCATTGATGAGAATAAGAGGGCCCTGATGAGGCTTCTTCCTTCATTTTGATGGAGATGACCCAGCGGGTCCCAGTTCAGCATCAGCCAGCTTCGGTTCCTTTCAGTGGGCGAGTCTCCACGGTGTTGACTGGTTTCATCAAGTTGACTCTTCGTCTCCTGAAGTTCTCTTTTCAACGGTCAATTTGACTTTTGACGTACCCCTTATGAGAATCCAACCCTCTATCTCTGACAGCCGCAGGTTCAGACGAGATTGGGGAGAATGGGCCAATCTAAGGCTGGACTCCACAAATTTGGGGCCCATTGATGGCCACAATTAAATTACTATTTTTGTAAAATTATGAATATTCCGACGAGGGTGGCTGGCTATTTATTTAGTAATTTTTTTAGTGATTTTACTCATTATATTTGTCAAAGCTGGGTTTTTTAAATACTCAGATTCTGTGGACTGCGGAGTTGTTCACTGCTCGTCGCGGTGTTCTTCGGCAGAGAAGGTAGTTTAGCTACCGCCGTAGAGGAACAGCGGGATGAGCAGTGAGTACTTGTAGGTTGATGTAGACATTTAAAGCTCAGAGCGAGCGAGAGAGAGAGAGCCTCCCGTCGTCTCTGCGGCTCCCCACGGGTTCGTGGTCGTCTCTCTCCGCAGAGGGAGGATTAGATGGGGAAGATCCAGAAGGGCCCGGCCAGCAGCGGCAGCTGCGACGACGATGTTGAATCCGTCGAGGGCGGCACCAGGAGCTTCAACGATCTGAAGAGGAAGAGGAGCAGGACGAGCGCCGCCAGAGAGTCGCCGGCGTCACGCAGCTCTGTCTACCGAGGTGTGACGAGGTCAGAGAGAAAAAGAAGATGATGAAGAAGAAGAGGAGACTCCATTCATCTCTCTTTCCTCATTTTCTCTTTCTTCTAGCTTTCGATTAGCATGCACTATTCTCTCTCTCTCTCTTCCTCTTCCACATAAGAGATTGCTGCATTAATGGTGGTTTTGGTGGAAGCAGGCACCGGTGGACAGGCAGGTTCGAGGCCCATCTCTGGGACAGAAACTGGAACGATTCCCGCACCAAGAAAGGAAGACAAGGCACGTTCCTCTTGCTGTTGCTCCTGCTTCTCTCTCTATCACTTCAACTAATATCTGTTTGTTTTTGTTTCTTCCCTTCCGTCTTTGATATTCGCGTCTGCTGGAACTCGAATGGACGGCAGTTTACCTCGGTGAGCTTGAAAAATCGGAGAACTAAACACGACCAATCTCATGTGCTTCCGTGTTGATAACATCTTCGGATTGGCTGTTGATGAATGAAGCTTCCTTTTTCTTCTCGTGCTCGATCATCCAGGGGCCTACAGCGAGGAGGAAGCCGCCGCTCGCGCTTATGATCTTGCGGCGTTGAAGTTCTGGGGACATGACACCCTACTAAACTTCCCCGTAAGACTCTCTCTCTCTCTCCCTGTGGGTCTCTCTCTCACTTTCTCTCTCCTTCTCCATCTCTCTCGTTCTCCATCTCTATCTCTCCCGGTGGCTCTCTCTCTCTCTCTCTTTCTCTGATTGCGGGTAAATGAACAGTTGTCGACATACCAAGGAGAGATGGAGGAGATGGAAGGGCAGAGCAAGGAAGAATATATAAGCTTCATAAGGAGGTAATCTCTGAGCCGAGAAGGTCGTATGGTTTTGGCCCTTCTGATTCTCTCAGAGCCCTTTTTTCCATGAATCCACCAGGAAGAGCAGCGGGTTCTCTCGAGGCGTTTCCAAGTACAGAGGCGTAGCCAGGTACCTGCTGCCCTTCCTGCCTCATTTAAGTTTCTCTCTCTACCATGCTCACTTTCTCCCTAGAACTTTCCCTCCCACCTCTCTCTCTCTCTCTCTCTCTCTCTCTCTTAGTGCATACTGCATGCAGGCACCATAAGAATGGAAAGTGGGAAGCCAGGATCGGCAGAGTCTTCGGCAACAAGTATCTCTACCTTGGGACCTACGGTGATCTCTCTTTCTTCTCTCTCTCTCTCTCTCTCTCTCTCTGTAAAAAGTCCATCAAAGCCGGCCGGGTTAGTTGGGGACGGGAGGTGGGGAGCTTTCACTACTTCTTCCTCCTCTAATCCGACCAACCATAGTTTTCCAACAGTAATTTAATTCAGAATATATGGAGAGATCCTCCATTAAAAATGAATTAATTTCCACCCGAGCAAAAATAATCCCCCCGGGAAAGCTCAATTATTAAAAAAAAAAGTCTTTTGTTTTGTTTCACTGATTGGCCCTCGCAGCTACCCAAGAAGAGGCAGCGATGGCGTATGACAAGGCGGCGATCGAGCACCGCGGCCTCGCCGCCGTCACCAACTTCGACATCAGCCGCTACCTCAGATCGCTCGGCCAAAGCCCCAGAAACCCTGACCCTAATCAACCTCCGCCGCCGGACATGGACGTCGCCGGAGAACCCACCGGCGGCGGCGCAAACCCGCCACCACGAATCGACATGCTCGACAACGCACGCGAGAGGACGTCGCCGGCGCCACCGCCGCCGGAGCCCCAGCGGAGCTGCTTCCCCGACGACGTGCAGACTTACTTTGGCGGTTGGGACGGCGCCGCCGCCGATGGGTATGATGTCATCTTCGGGGATTTGGACTCTCTGGAGCTCACAGTCTTCCACCGCGAGCTGGACAGCTGATCTAGAAGTTGATTCCAATTTTCTAAATAAACACGAGAATTAGACAAAACCTCTTTAGAACCAGCACCGAGGATGAGCTACTTTCCAAAAAAGGAAAAAAAATCAGAAGAACTATAATCACCCGGAAATATATTCCCCAAAATTAATGTGATATTAAGGTACACATTGAGGTATGAGGGGAGATGAGAAAAACTCTGATTCTTCCGCCATGGGGTTTCCCAACTGGGCTCAGAAGAATCTCAACTTGCCCCTGTGAGAGGCCGAGGATCTGGCCTGGCACTGGTCCCTCTGAGCTCCGGACATGCCTGAGCAGGGCCCGGCGGCGCCGCCAAGGGTGACGGCGAAGTAGAGGTAGATGGTGCAGAGGAAGGCCAGGAGGGCGAGCGTCATCAGCAGGAACTGGTGCCGCTCGAGGAGGATCGACCAGCTGCTCGACGACTTTTTCGACGGCGTCTGGAACAGCGGGTTCTGGGATTTCCTGTGCGGGGACGACAGAGCATCGAGAACCATAGTCGCCAATCCCAGTTGACCAAGATCCTGAACTGAGATAGAGAGAAAATACTAGTTAATGTTCAGTAATTATTATGCTATCAGATGATGATCAGAGATAAATGAGATAGAAAAAGGAAGCCGATCACTCACCAAAGATCTGATACCCAATGATCTGGTGATTTATATAGAAGATGATCAGAATATTTAGGTGAGGAAATCCAAAGTTGTTTTGCTCTATGCACTCGACATCAGATGAAAAATAAATAGATCAAAAAGTTGAGCGAAAATTATATTTTTCTTCAAAAAATGAAACCTCCGCTTGCGAATTGTCAACCATACCAGAGGCAGAAGGCACAGGATTAGATAGAACACAACCGATGCAGAAATATGGTAGTCTGGGCAGATAATATTTATTTCTTGATAGTTTTCAACCCCATGATCTGATAGCTTCTGATGGAGGTGGCAGCATAATAGCTACTGAGAGCAGGGAAGAAGACCATGATAGATGATTTTGATCTGCATGATTTGAGGAACAATGCTCGACAACAGTGATTTAATAAGAACCTGTAATTTTCAGGCTCAATAATTATTTTTTTTAATGGAAATGAAACAGAACCTGTTTTACTTGGAAACAGGTTCTATACATCATCTTAGTTGACTAAGGGAAGCTGAAAAGATCTGCGGGGAGCGAAAAAAAAAGCGCCATAAGGTCTCCAATCAGGAAAAAACTTGGGTTCATGGAAGACTAAAATCGACGCAATTCAGAGCAAAAAGTCAATCCTCAGCCTTTCACCATCACCGGGCAGGAAAAGCATAATCAAAGAGGAAGGCTGTCTGTATTGTTCCTGGAAAACTCTCAGAGCTTCATGAATAGGGGATGGATGAGTTGATTCCTGGCGGTTTTCCCAGTTTTCTCATGAACAAAAGAGGGAAAAAGAGCGAGCTCTGCCAAAGGAAGATCGGCATCTTCCCACGGCACTTGGATTGAGAAGGCACGATCTGAAGATCGGAGAAGAAATTCGATAAGAGAATTTCTTATCGCCTCGATGATCGGACGAAAGTCAGTTCATGCAGAAGAAAGAGCAATACACGCACCGTAATAACAATAATAATAAACGGATAAATATGGAAGAGATCAGAGCAAGGATCAGCTCTGGCCGAACAAAGAGCAGCATTCCTTCATTCGGCCCAAGAACAAAGAGGCATTCATGGCAGACGCAACGAGAATTCAGACATACACAGGACTCAATTTAAGCCGGAACAAAAACTCCGAAGCAACATCAGATCAGGCACCAGTGAGCCCTACCGATCGGCCGAGCAGGATCAGCTCTGGCGGTCGAAATCGCACATTAAAGCGTTGTTTCGGGAGAAGGGAAGAATGAAGCAGAGATCCGAGCTGCTTGACTTACCACGCCGCCTCGGCAGTTGGCGCCTTGTCCCTTTCGACGTGCTGGCGGCCGTAGCGGAAACAGGTCCCTGTCCTCCCCTTTTTTCAAGGCAAAGAAGACCCTCCTCTCTCTCTCTCTCCCTCTCTCTCTCTCTCTCTCTCTCTCTCGGTCTCTCGGTCTCTTGGTCTCTCGGTCTCTCTCTCGGGAATTTATTTTATATAATAAATCACTTTAAATACACGCGGCATAACAAATTCACAGCTGAGCGGGGTTCCACGTCATCGGCCCATCTGGGCTTTCATTGGGCTGGACCAGCGGCTTCATGAGGACGGTCTAGTTTTTGGGCCGACTAGACAAGAACCATCGGCCCAATAATGTCTGTTTTACGTGGCATGGAAATAATCGGACACGTAGATGAGCACGAAAATCGTGCGCGCTACTGTGTACCCATCAACGTCCTCTCTCTCTCATCGCCGGCCTCAGAAAGGGACTCTGCGAGGTACCGTGTTCCTTCGTCGGAGGGGAGAACGAGAAGTGGGTGCCCTGAGGAGGAGCAAGGAGGGAGGAGGAAGAAAGGGTCTCTCTGTTCTTTTCTAGGGTTTTGGGCGCTCTTGGGGCTTGTTGAAGGATCTCTGCGCGGTAGTTCTGGGAGAGAAGGATGTGGGCGGCGTCGTGCCTGGCCTCGTGCTGCGCGGCCTGCGCGTGCGAGGCTTGCCGGTCGGTGGTGGGCGGGATCAGCCGGCGCTCCGCGAGGATCGCTTACTGCGGCCTCTTCGCTCTCTCGCTCATTGTTTCCTGGGTCTTCCGCGAGGTCGCCGCCCCTCTTATGGAGAAGATTCCATGTGGGTGTCCTCCCGGAAACGGGAGTAATAGAGGATTGACAGGGAAAGATTTCTTGATTTAAGTTGATCCTTCCGTTCTGATGCGTGGTTTTCTTTTTTCTTTGGGGTTTGGCGTCGTTGATTGCGCAGGGATTAATCATTTCCGTCAGACGCCCGATCGTGAGTGGTTTGAGACAGACGCAGTCCTGCGTGTTAGCCTGGGGAATTTCCTGTTCTTCACCATCCTTGCGGCGATAATGGTGGGGATCAAAGACCAGAAGGACCCGCGTGACAGGATTCACCATGGGGGTTGGACGGCGAAGATCGTCTGCTGGTGCTTCTTGGTGTTCCTGATGTTCTTTGTTCCAAATGGCGTCGTGAGCTTCTATGGTGGGTCATCTCCCGCCCCCTCTTCTCCCTACTTATTGTGTGCAATTATTTGCATGGTTCCACAAACGCAGATGGGGTAAAATGCGTATGGTATGTGGAAGATTGTGCTTTTACCAGGGTGGCCTATGGATTAGAAGCAACTAGCTTGGTTTCTCGGATTCCCTTGCCAGAACTAACCTAAGCAATGTAACTAGGCGATTATGTTGTGTTAGACCCTTTTGTTTTCTTACAGTCTTCATCATCCTTGTGAAGAACTTTTTTCCTCCAAAAGGTGTTATATTGTGTTTATGGTAGACTGAAATAGTATGCCGAGCAGTAGATTTTCTTCTTTAAGCTCAATGTTCTAAAGTTCATTTTTTGTGTGTGTTAATATTTGGTTTTACATATGAAACCTAATGACATAAAAAGGCTACCAATAATTAAGATAGTGATTCGATTCTACTCGTGCCCGAGGTTTCACTTTGCTTTTCCCCCAAATAAAAGCTGAATCCAGCTGCTGGGTAGATCAAGGAACAAATATGATCGTATTTTTTTTTATTTTTTGTTGTTTATTTGGTCAGCTTCGTCATTTGAATCTGAGAAGGTAGCCAGTGCTGCTTACCTTTCCTTTAGTCGCTTTTTTATTTTTTCCATTCGCAATGAACCCAGCCTTCCATTGGATTCCTTTTAAGCATCTCAACCCACATCTTCTTTGGAAAACTTAACCCTATTAGCTTTCAGATCGATCTTATACGAAATCCCCTACTGCGACTTCATAAAAAGCAATCACTGGTTTTTTTGTATCCACGTCAAGTTCAACCAGAGCCTGCGACCGGAGGTTCCTGCAGATCCTTCAGTGGGGGACGTGCATGGCATATCTCCTTTGCCAAATTGGTCACCATATCCCATCTTCCTGTTTGGATAGGTAGCTTGGCCTCGACATCTGGGCACCACTTACCCGCCATGACCTACCTTCCTTCCTGCCTCACTTGCTCCGCGTGATGTCTGTCTGTGCGGCGATTTTATTGGTTCCACAGGGTTGAAGCTTATCTTCCTCTGCATTGAAACCGTCGATACCTGATGAAGACGTTAGCGCCATGTGAATCAACTTGGGTTCATGTCATTGTTGCTCATCTCTCTGTGTGTTTTTTCTCTTGGTTGATTTCGGTTTCTCATCATTGGTGGTAATGTTCTTGAACTCCTGTCCACCAAAAGCTGTGGCCTTTGGTAACATTCTTGAACTCCCCCTTCTTTCTCTCCCTCAGTCATCCCTTCTACCCTAATCACATCTCACGCTTCCCCTTCTATCTACCTCACCACAACAACCTAGTGGCATCTGTTGAGTGGAGCTTGCAGTGGGAATATAGATAGAGGAGGGGGGGAAGGGCGGCTTGCTGGTTATTTTTGGTAATATCCACTTTAACTTTGATGGGGAACCCATCATTTTTGTAAAAGCTCTCCTCTTGATTTATTTTTTAAAATTATTATGGTTAATTCCTTACTTTGTTGGTTCTGGAGGCAATTATTAGCGTTCAAGAGAGATCTTTCTCCGTATTACTGATGCAACTCTCCGACTGCAGAGGGAATCTCAAAGTTCGGATCAGGGCTGTTCCTCCTTGTCCAAGTTGTCCTCTTGCTGGATTTTGTTCACGGGTGGAACGATAACTGGGTGAACAAAGATGAGCAATTCTGGTTTGTCCCCCCCCCCCAAACCCTGTGCTACCTCTGCGCATCCTTCTGACAACCTCTTCTTTTTTTTCTCTCTCTCGTCTCAGATTATTTGCGTATGCAGGAGTTATAACGTTTCTGTCTTGGTTAATTGGAAGAAACTGCGCTTATTTTAATATTTTTCATTGTAATATTTTCCATAAAAATGCATGTTTTGTGAATATTTCATTTTCTTTTTTTTTGCGGAAAAATGTGGAAACCAGAGAGCTTCTCGTGCATCCATCGTGTGCTGTAAACGGAGCTCCCTTGTTCATCTCTTCACCGCAGGTACCTGGCGTTGCTGATCGTGTCCCTGGTCTGCTACGTGGCGACGTTCTCCTTCTCTGGACTGCTCTTCCACTGGTTCACTCCCTCGGGGCATGACTGCAGCCTCAACATGTTCTTCATCGTCTTGACCCTGATCCTCGTGGTTGTCTTCGCCATCGTCGCTCTCCACCCCAAGGTAGAAATGATGCACATCCCCACTGCTGCTGCCGCCTGCTCGTCGTTAGTGATCTGTGTGGATGAATCCATTACTTATTTTAGCTGCCGAACCGGCGACAACTGATGCCGATGGAAATTCATGTGTGCCCAGTTGCTTAATTTTATTTAAAAATATATTTTACCATAATCTACCCTTTACTCAATAAGTAATGGTGAACTAACTAGTGGGCCCGCCTCTCTCTGCCCACAGGTCAACGGGAGCCTGCTGCCGGCGTCAGTGATCTCTGTTTACTGCACCTACCTGTGCTACAGCGGGCTCTCGAGCGAGCCAAGGGAGTACGAGTGCAACGGGCTCCACCACCATGCCAAGGCCGTTTCCACCGGCAGCATGACCCTGGGCTTGTTGACCACCGTCCTCTCGGTCGTCTACTCGGCGGTCCGCGCCGGCTCCTCCACCACCCTCCTCTCCCCTCCCAGCTCCCCCCGCGCAGGTACTCACTCACTCGGTCAACTCTTCTCTCTTTAGGGATTCTTCTTCTTCGTCCTCCTGCAATGTGGGATGGGGCGGTTGACTTTGACTTTCTGTGAGTAGGGTCGTCGCAGAAGAAGCCGCTACTGACGTTTGACAAGGTGGAGGCGCAGGAAGAGGAGGACAGGAAGAAGGAGGGAGGGAGGGCGGTCAGCTACTCCTACTCCTTCTTCCACCTCATCTTCTCCCTGGCGAGCATGTACTCAGCCATGCTGTTGACCGGGTGGTCAACCTCCGTGGGCAGCGAGAGTGGGAAGCTGGTGGACGTGGGGTGGCCCTCCGTGTGGGTCCGCATCGTCACCAGCTGGGCCACGGCGGCGCTCTACATGTGGTCCCTCGTGGCCCCCGTCCTCTTCCCAGAGAGGGAGTTCTGAGCACGGCCCTCTACATCTTCTCTGCCTCTCTCTCTCTCTCTCTCTCTCTCTCTCTCTCTCTCTCTTTCTTCTTTCTCTCTGTCTGTGATCTGTGTATTATAAAGATTTCAGTGAATTGCTCGGAGTGGGAAACTGGAATCGAGCACTTGAATAACACTGCTGTGTGATGAAATAAGAGAACTCAATCGATTTGATCATGCTCTGTGAGAGTTCACTGCTGTGTGTAATGTTTTCCCTCATCCTTCTGGATGTATGTATATGTATAAAACCCTGGTTTCCTATATACAGTCTAGAGAGAGACACAGCTCTCTCTCTCTCTCTCTCTCTCTCTCTCTGTATTATAATGATTTCAGTGAATTGGTCGGAGAGGGAAACCGGAAACGAGCCGTTTAATAACAGAAGTGTGATGAAATAAGAGGAACTCCATCGGTTTGATCATGCCCTGCTAGTACTGTCCCTCCCTTCTCTCTGTGTATAATCCTGGTTTCCTATATAGAGTCTAGGGAGAGAAGGTTAGAGAGAGAGAGAGGGAGGCTTATTCCAAGGATGTGATCCGAGTTTGGAAATTGCTTGGCTTTGGGTCGCCCTCTGTTCATCTCAGATCTGCTTCGGAGTGGGAAGAACCCACCTGGGCGCCTCTTGTTCTTAGCCGCTGCAGCTCCTCCTGGGCGCACACGAGTCTGTCGCATCAAAGGACGAAAGTCAAAATAAATAAATAAAATAAAATAAAAATAATGATCCCTGAGGGTGTGGCTACCTCGATTGCATGTCATTGATCTCGCGCAGCAACTCCTCCTCCTTTTCGTGGGCCGACTCCAGCTACGAGGAGGATCAAAAAGCCTTTTATCAGCATGAGAACCCCACGACTATGAGAACCCACCCTACGACCGCTCACCGTTGACATTTCTCCCACGTCGGAAGGCGGCGGCGGCGGGGCCCCCATGCGTCCTCCATCTGGCGCGCGTAGTCACCCGGAGATCAGAACATCAGTATGGATTGACATGATATGCATGCTTTTCAAGTAGAAACTGGGTACCTGGAACGCCACCAGCGCTGACCAGCTTCATTAGACTTAAGAGATAGTCCTGCCAGAAAAAAATGAATCGAAAAACGAAAAAGAAAAAGAAAAAGGGAATTAATCTGAAGAAAAAAAGAAGAGTGGGAAGAGTGGGCCCCGCCGTACTCTCTGGAGAGTGTTGGTCTGCAGAATCGAGGCCAGGTGGTGATGAAGTGGGCAGCTAGAGTCGCCGACGGTGGTGGTGGTGGTGGTGGTGGTGGTCGTCGTCTCTGCGGCCTGCTGAGGAGAGGCGGCGGGAAGCTGAGAGATCCCCTACGACATGAGAAGAAGACATTTAGTCAAACCCTATGAATCTAAATTGCATTATTTTCACAACTTTATTGGAATTATTATATCATGAAGAGTCGTGGCATAAAAATGCGACATCCACATCCATTTATTTTACTAGCTTTACGCATATATGCTAATGGGATATTCACAAAGATGCTAATGGCAGAGGATCTAACCTGGACAGTGTGGTTCTTCTGGAGAAGGAGAGAAGGTAGTGCCTGGAGATTCACGTGTGCCGGAGGAATCAGATTCATGGCTCATTAAGATCACATCAGTTGGGGGAGTATCACGACGGAGAGTTACCCTGTCGGTGTCAAGATTCTCAGATGTTACTTTGAAGCGGCCTTTCTGCTGGACCACCGGCCCCTTTGACTTTTCGTCACCGTCGTCAGCGCCGGAGGCTATAGGCAGTAAAGACAAACTGTCAATGATCCTTGGTAGAACTGGCACGTGGGGATTACATTTATGGAGTTTTCTTTTTGACACGTGCCTGTAAGCTTGGTCCCTTTGCTTGAAACCTGGCATTGTTGGTTCGCCCTGGAGAGACAGACGGCGCAAACGATTCAAGAATAACATCATGCGACGTGTTTGGGATTCCATTATCTATATTTTAGACGGCAAAAAAATAAAAATAAATATTAATTATATCCCTAAGTCCACATTGTACTTAAATTAGGATTATGAATAATGAAATTTTTGTCCCAAGAATGAAAAAATAATTTTAAAAAAATATGATATAATAGAATGTCAGATGTGATAAAGGAGTGATGTTGAAGAAAAGTCAACGACAAGCAACAAGAACGACATGAGTTTCAACAAGGCCACAACCAAGATGCATTTTTACTTCCATGGTTAGAACAGCACAGAGGATAAGCCATCATGGAAGAGTCAAACCTCTCTCCTCCAAAGCAAATATCAGCCGTGTCGGATGCAAAAGAGCTGGCAGATGCCTTCCTTTCGTAGCAACACTGAGCACGTACATTGTTTGGATATTTTTCATCAACTTCAGAGTCGCAGCTTTCACTTAAATAATTGTCCAGTTGACTGGTACGGTCGGTTGAACTTCCAACCAGAATTTCATCATCGGACCCCATCAGCTTGCCTCTGGCAAAGAGAACAACAAGAACAGGTCAACGGGCGCGCATGAACCATACTTCTCCCATACATGCTATCATCAAGAATTAAATGAATGTCAACGTCGGCTTCTGGATAGAGCTCAGGGCTAAAATATGTAAAACTTTGGTCAATTCAAACATGTGTAGTAATCATGCAAATATGCAAAAATTAACTTTTTAGTACCTTAAAGTATGTGAAGTTTCTTCTGAAGAGGAAAGAAAGGGTGCCTTACATTGCATTATCTCGTCATTTCCCTGAAAGTCAACTGTACTGTAAGCAAAAATTGAAATTCTGCTCCAAGAGAATATATGTGCTCGTAGAGATCACCAACCCACCTCCTTTGAGGAATAACTCGCCGTTGATGACATAGTGGGTGAAATTTTCTCTTGAAGGTTGTCAAACTCAAACAATGAATTTGAGGGTACCGATGGTTGTTTACCTTGAACTATCTCATCAGGATCCTGGATCAAACAGAAGCATCTGAACATGTTTAGATGAACGAGCTTAAACCCGTCAAGTAAAGATGCAACTAGGAGCTCGAATGGCAGCCATACCAGAGCAGCCTGAGCCTTCATGTCGTCAATGTTAAAGCTCCAGCCACTGATACCTCTCTTGTACTCATTCTACATGAACGTTCAAAGAGGAATTCAGGCAACATATCCCTCTCTTTCAAAATCAATAAATCTTGAAATCTACGATGGAGAATAAAAAATACCGGTAGCTACAGAACCTGAAACAGACATTAAAAACATAAGATACCTCAAGCTAGCGATCTCTAATACCTAGAAAACTGATCCTATAATTTTTTGGTGGAGGAAAGGCCATCCAATCCACATTGAGGGTCCCGAAATCGGATTGGAATCCAAAATGGGCCTTTCAGGTTCATTTTTGCATTGATTCAACTGTTAAAATCCAAGTCCTAGATCTCGATAGAAAAGGTCCATGGGTTCTTTTTTTTTTGGGTATGATGAACTGGTTCAGTCCATTCTTTCGAAGACAGGTTCCCTTTTGATCGATTTCCAGACGGTCGGACGCAAACATCACCCCAGAAGGATATAGCTTGAAATAGCATAACCTACTAGAAGCTGTACATACGACCCCCTCCATCTTTATGTAAAATTACAAGTAAGGATAAAAATAGATCCACGTAACTGAAAGAAGAAAAACATGGCTTGTTTCTCTCGAAAATTAAGCTGACGAAGAAGTAAAATATTAGATGAACTGAATTTGAAGAAAAAAACCAGATACTGAAACAGAGAACCTAATGAAAACAGGGCAGACCCGCTACTTGCTTAACTGCAGAAGAATCTGCTGATACAAGCGAAAAGCGACAAAGAAAACATGAAATTCTGACCTGTGACAACTCCTCTTTCTTTCCATCAGGCATTTTCTTTTGGGCAAGCATATCTTCTTCTTTAATCTGTGATGAATTATGAATCACACTTTCGCTTAAATGAATGGCAAAAAGAAAGAGTAAAGGTCAAAATGAACGAGTAAAAAAACACCACCTTCAGTGCTCTAATACGATCACCAAGTGAAGGCAAACCCTCCAAAATTGATCGACAAATAAAGTCACTTGATCTAGCTTGCTTAAAGAATGAGTGTTTCAACAACTTAGTCGAAGAAGGTCTTTTCCGAGGATCTTTCACCAAACACATTGCAACCATTTGCTTAAAAGACTAAAAATGAGAGAAACAAAGAAGCCGTAAGGGAATAATGTCTCTAGTGAACAACAGAATGAGCATTAGGATACCTTTGAAAACTTCTTGTCCCTTTCATAGTCAAGACTTGGAGGGGCATTTTGCAACGTCATGAGCAAAACCTACCAAAGACTTGAATTTATACGCTCGTTGTATAATATGCCAAAAATAATCAAGAAACACTTTTTTTTCCCTTTTTTTTTCCCTTCTTATTATCTTGTAAAATCAGGTCGTATTAGTATGTGACCAAATCTTAAGAAATATTGGCTAATTGTACCACGTAGTTCTTTCACCGGTGCAATTTGGTAATTGACATTAATAATCATTCTGTAAGTACCTTCATAGGAGGGTACTTGGAAAAAGGTGCATGACCATGAGCAAGCTCAAGAGCAGTTATACCAAAAGACCAAATATCGGCCCTGCAGGGACAGAAGTTGACAATGATAAAGACTACCACTCAATTAACTGTGCAAGAGTGAAATGAACTAACTTGAAATCATAGCCATGTAGTTGCTCCAAAACCTCTGGTGCCATCCTGGGGAAAGAAAAATGGAGTCTAACTATCAGTCACAGAAAAATGGAATCAGGATTAGTAATCTAAACAGATAAATTCAATGTCATTCACCAGCAAGGTGTGCCAACAAACGTATTTCTTGTGCGCTGTCTGTCACCAGAATCAAAAAGGCAAGCAGAAACTCCGAAATCTCCTAGCTTAACTCCACCACGTCCATCCACTAATATATTACCAGCCTAATATAACAGGAAAAAAACCAAAGAATTTACAGATGTTTTAAGGTAAAATTCAATTTTAATGGAGACTGAATGAACCAAAGACACCACGGAAATAATTTAGAATAAAAAAAATCATGGGAGATGTAAATAATTTATTAACATGAGTAGATGTTCCCTGGTAGCATCTAAACAAAAATGCCCATCTTTGACAAAATACAGACTCTTAACTAAACACCAAACAAACGAACTTAGCTTTTTTAATAAGTTATTGAGAAATAATCGTGAATAAAAATAAATAAAATGGTTCATGAAAGTGGTGTCATCATAGATAAAGGATTTTATCTGAATGTCTGCAAGTGAACATAATACTAGTTTGACAGAAGCCAGATTAAATCCCTGAGGGATGATCAGGCAGTTTCTGAGGGTATAGCCAACAAAGAAAACCTGAAAAAATCCAAGCAAGAAAGAAATGGAGAGCTAGAATTCGGAGTAAACCCACAATCCGTGAATCTATGACAGAGTGGAAATTAAAATAAAATTGGTTAGAGCTCCGCCGTGATAATGAATAAGTTTCTGATCATAGAACATAAATGTGATATGGCCAGTTACTACTTGCCTTGACATCTCGATGTATGTGCCCATGCTGATGAAGATATTCCAGTCCTTTCAATGCTTCACGTAACAATGTTGCAATGACTGCCTCCTCAAAACCATCTGGATAGGCAGACTTTAGGATGTGAAGACAAGAGCCACCCGCCATATAGGGCATGACAATCCACAAGGTATGATCATTTACAAATGAACAATGCGCATTAAGAACATTAGGGTGATCGACTAATGTCAATGTCTGGGCTTCACGAGAGATGTTACGCTGCATAGATAACGAAAAAGTTAGCCTTTATAAGTTCGTACTTGTCAAGAGTACATTTTCCTATAAAATTGTTAAAATAATGAGATTTAGATTCATATTCTTGACTACATGGACATCTTACAATGTACAGTAGATAGCCACAGAAAATAAGTAGAAGAGAACAACAAAGAATCAAGGCGTGGTAGGGTTCAACTGGTTAAAGGACTAGAGTTTTGTATCAAACTTATTTTATCGTATAAAGGACTGGAAAATGCCAACATCAGGAGTTGGCATTTTTAATCTTCGTAGCTTTTACATAGATTCAAAGTGGATTCCTGAGTTACACTAAATCATACCCACGCTTGATATGTCATTTTTTGGTCAGATCACAGATAACAGAAACCAGCGGCGGAGTATCTCTGTCATCAGATCGTTAGATATTATGGCATTGACAAAAATAAATATTATACATAAGGAAATGTGCCAAAGAATTCACGTCCTATATAAAAAGTTCACAGCCAAGACCAAGAACTCTAAATACGAACAGAAAGGAATTTCAAGAGATAATTTATTTATTTTTCCTAAACAAGATAAGGATCATAAATGCCCTGATCTCGTTCTACCGATATAGCTAAACAAGCAGGAACCGAAAACCGTCTTTTCAAACCCGTAATTCAAGGTCAATGGCTAAATGGAAAACTTGAACAGTCATGCCAGATACCTTGACATTGTGAAGACTACGAGAATAAATCTATGAATCCACAGAGTACATCTAATCAACAGTTTGGCAGGGAATTAATGGCATTTGCAAACTGACACGAACTGGCAATGTTTGAGAAACAAAGTTCCATTCGTATCTGTAGATCTAAGGATATTTGTTCCATAGATCAAGAAGCTGCTATTAAATGAAAGAGGAGGATAAACTCAACTGACCAGATCGCTATTGTGTTTCTCGAAATCGATGACCTTAATGGCCACGATCTCGTTCAAAGGGATGCACCGAGCCTTGTAAACGCAGGCGCTGACTCCTTGCCCCACCTCCTCGTATAGCTCATATTCCTCCGCGTGAATGGGATACTTTCTCCTCTCCATGGCGCAATACGAAAAGGAGAAACTCCAAGATTTCCAGCCTCCTCGATAACCCTAAACCCCCTGCGATATAGAGAACCAAACTTTGCAACGAAGAGGAATCTTATCAAGGAAAACGGACAGAAATAATTAAATATCCAATGCGAAACAAAAAGGAAGGAAATCCAGCCCCGGATTTCTCGCTTTCTCGTGATCGGCAAGCTGGCGAAGAGGAGAGAGAGAGAGAGAGAGAGAGAGAGGGAGGGAGGGAGGGAGGGAGGGGAGGCAAAGAGAGGAGAGAATACCGCCGCTTCCGGTCTCCACTTCTCCCTCGCTTTCTCGTGATCGAGAGATCAATTGAGAGAGAGAGAGAGAGAGAGAGACCGCAGCTTCCGGGGTCTCCTCTTCTCTCGCTCTCCCTTCACCCCCCACCTCTCCTTGCTCTCTCTCTCTCTCTCTCTCATTCATACAACGAAGATTTTGAATGGGGAGCTTCCATCGAAAAAGCGCGCAAAGATGCATATATAGCTTCACGGGGGGAGAGAGAGACAGAGAGCAGGGTCCACTCGAAATATTTACTGCTGAGCATAAATCTCGGCCCAAAACGTGGTGGGCCCGTCAACGGCCAACGGCCACGTGGGTCCCTCAAGAATCCCGTTGAACTAAAAAGGCGGCGGCCTAACTGATAGAGGACTCCCACAGATCTCCAACGGAATAGAGCATCCGCCGTGTCGGCGCCGCCAGGCCCCAGCCCGCCTTTCCCGCCATCGCAACACGGTAAACCGGTGCCGTTGGGAAGGAGGATCCGACGGTCGAGATGCGTCCTCCGCCGCCGTCTCAGACGGATGGGGAGGAACCATTCGCCTCTCCTTCATGGGGAAAGTGAAAGTTTTCTTATGCTCACCTCCCACGATCTCCATTGATCAAACGGACCTGCCACGTCTCTCTCCCCTCAACTGCTGGACCAGACTCCTGTGTCCGCGCTCTTATTGGGCCTGCCATGGACGTAAAATCACAAAAAATGAGAAAAAAATCATTTATTGAGAAAAAAAACCGAAAAAAAAACTTGGATTGACCCATCTGCGTGTCACATCATATTCTTCATGTTGACTTTAGGCTCATCCAGCTGCTAGACAGACACGTGGCAGGTTCACCCCCTTACCCCCAGAACTCAGATGTTTTTCATAGGGCGAGATAAGTGCATAACCGGCCCAGCATGATCTCTTTTGATTTTTTTTTCTTATTAATTATAGATATGTAATAAAAACTCACATGCCCCCACATGAATTATAATTAGAACTACAAGTGTTGACTTTCCCCCCTCAGAAAAAGTCAAAAGCTACAAGTACCTAGCATAAGGGCTCGGAGGTTGGCAAGGAGGCAGGTCCATGGATCCATACGGATTCCCAAATGGGTTGTTAGCGCAGTCAACCCCTGTAGCTGCTGCCGCTGCCGCCGTCTGGCCATCGGCTGCTGCCATCCCCCTGGGGAATGAGCTCTCAATTGGGCTCACTTTCCTTGCTGTGGCATCATCATAGAGGCTGTTCAATGTCAGCTCATCCAGCCCCCCACCCTGTGACCAAGAAGAACATCAGCCAATGGAAAATCAGAAATTATAATATTCAGATAATGGGATGTAGAAATAATTACCAGTCTACTTTCCACTGCAAGACTTCCGGTGGGCCCATGCATGGAAACCAGGGTCAGCTCCCACACCGGATCCTCCTTGTCCAGTTCGAGAGTACTTGTGCCGCTGCTTGATGGATTCTCTGGATTCCAATGTGGATTTATAACTCTAAATTATTATATATAAATATATTTATATATTTATATGTGGAGTGAGGTGGTCTATATAAGTGCAAGGTTTCATTAAATTATTTTTTTATGGTGGATTATTCTGAAAAAAAAATGATACTTACCATCCGTCAGGATATCAAGAGCAGATGAATTTTTTTCATCGAGCTTGGCTGCATTCCAGCAGCTGATATCATCTAATCCCTGAAATGAGGGAGCATGGGAAAGATTTCATGAGCATAGAGAGAGAGAGAGAGAGAGAGAGAGAGAGAGAGGGAGCATCTACCAGATGAAGAGCGTACCAGAAGATCTGTGACTGGAGGATCTCCAGGAGCCTCATCTGGAGCTCTTCGATATGGTTCAGAAGGTACTGAGGCAAGCTCGAGCCTTCTGTGATCATCTTCAACCTTCAGAAGCGCTCTGGTGGGCTTTCTTGGCTCACCATCCACCTGGCCGGAGGAAAGTTGGGAATTTTTTTTTCATAATTAATAGCATTAATTACCCAAAAATAATGAATTACCTGTAATTTTCCGACAATATCTCCTTCAGAACATTTTAGAGACTCTGTATAAGGGTTTGTTCATCCTTTCTGGATAATTGAATTTATTTATTATTCTTTTTGGGCATTATAATCAGGAGCTTGACAGATACCTCACTCCGAGGAAAGGGCAATGCTCTTGGCGCTTCTTTGACATATTCCTCCATTGCCGCGGCAAATGATTGAGGGGGCTAAAGACAGATAGACGTGTAAGTAGATTACCATAAATAGAAAAAAAGAGGGATAAATTCTTGACGATCTATAAATTTAATAAAAAAATAAAATGACCTGTTTAATCCTTATAAATTTCTCTGATTTCCATAGATTGAGCCCCTTGCACATTTCATAGAACTCAGACAGTCTCTCAGCCTGCAGTTAATGATGAATCGCTAAGAACTCTATAAAAGGGGAAATTTTTCTAATAAAGAGATATTTTTATTGATAAATAAATATTTTTTATGATATCGCATAATTAAACCAAAAAATTTACCTGCTGGCCTGACTTCCGATAAATTTCGATTGCTCTAACAGCATCATGTCGCTGCATATCAAAGAACTGAGGGGGAACCCTGTCACCATAAATCCATCGAAAATATAACATTTAAAGGGATGATATGATGATAAACTATAGCTACCTTGTTGACCAAGTTGAGAATTCCACTGTCAATAGCAGTATAGATCCTTATACTTTCACTGGCAACCTGTAAAGGGTGAAGCATAAGAGCGCATGGAAAGAAATACATGTCACCAGGGTTACGGTTAAAGCTTCGGCTCACAAAGGAAAGAGCGTATTGGATCATATCGTTGGACATAGCTGCCCCCTCCGGCTGTGGAATTAAAAATTAGATAATATTACTGCACACCCAAATTATTGTGAAATGAAAGGCGCAAGAAACTGAGAAGATGAAAAAAAGAAGTAATTTGTAGAAAATCCGATCTTCTTTAAGTGATTTGGATAGTGAAGTTTAAGGAAAGCGCATTCTTAATCTAGAAAATATGATCGCGTTAAAACTGGAAACAAGGAGTTAAATCAAATTGTTTACGGGGATAGATTGTCTGATTTTTTTAGAACCGAAATCAAGGGGTTTAATCACAAAACGTTCTTCAACCTGGCAACCAAGAAGGCGAAAAAGAAGCTGCTGAAAGGCGGGTAAATGCTCCAGCAAGTCAACAGTTCCAAGTTCCTTCATCCTCTGCTGAAAGCAAGACCTCAAAAGTGAAAGTATATATCCGTACGGCAACACTAGAGTAGATAATTCCACACCACTTTGTTAAAGGAAGAGACGTAAGAGGAAGAATTGGCAGTTGAAGCTACTTACGCACTGTTCTGTCTCAACATCGTACTTGAGTACCCGAAAACATTCTAGCCGTTCCTCCAAGAATAGAGCATATGTCCGAACCCAAGCAGAGTAGTCCCATGCTTACGAAGAAAATAACATGGAGTATTTATATATTATTTTTTCCTTTTTTTAACGTTTTTCAAGGAACGAGAATAATATTTACCATTGGGGCTTGAATCATCCTTGAAATGAGATAAATTCAGCAAATGACCTCTGTTGCTGGTGTAGTTGATGAGCTCTCCTCTAAATGTAGGATCAGCTTCTCTCAAAGTACGGTGTATAACAATCAATATTTTCAAGGCAACCTAAGTGAATTTAGTAAGATAAATTTTGGACACAATAACTATTATAATTTAAAGGATTTGCGATAGAAAGGTGCTTACAGAAACACACATAATCAAAACACGAAAATACGCGAAACAACTTCAAGTTAGATAAATAATTATCATAATGTAACAGGAAGTGAATTATTTTTAAAAATTCAACATCATACTATCAGTCATCCAGAAAAATAATGAGATTTGCTAATTTTAATGCCAAACTGTAGATTTTTTTTATTTTTCATCAGTTAAGTTACTAATATGATTATTATCATGGACAACGTAACCAGAAAGAAAAATCATGGTAAAATCTCTACTGTATCAGCCTCACAATAGGAAGGCTAGTTGGTTTCCAGCATACCGAAAATGTGTAGCCCGTCTCTCATTTTCAGTTAACTCAATGTATATGCTCATGCTAAGTTAAGATAAAATGAAAAATTAAGCGAATAGATTCCCTATAATATTTCACATGAAAGTCCTTAAGAAATATTGCCGATTTAAATGTCCACCAGCTAGTAGTCAAAGTTGATCCATGGTGACTAAAAGTATTAAATACGACTGTAGATAAAACGTACTGCCCAGTTATGTGTTTTGCCAAGACGTCTAGCGAGTGAGCTAATGCAATATTGAATGTCGGCACGAGGCCTTGAAGCTGAAACAGCATCAAAAATCGCTGTCGAAGGAATATCAACAGTAATGTTAGAGTAAAAAAATTCTGAAGATAACCAATGAGAAGTAAAAAAAAAAGAAAACTCTATTTAGCTAGATAATCTAATCTAATTTACAGGAAATTTTTTCAATTATATTTTGGCAAAAATACTTCAAGATCTGAAATAACCAAGAACTCACTGCGGATGTGTTTCTCCTTTGGTATTTTCTCATCATGGTTTGTGGCCTTGACAATTGCAACATCAACATCCTTCAGCGCAAAGGAAAGTAAGAATTTTTTTCTATAAGGACAGGTTGGAGGAAGGAGGGAGTGTAGAGAGAGAGAGAGAGAGAGAGAGAGAGAGAGAGAGAGAGAGAGATAACCTTGTATTCACTGTTCACTTTTGCCAGGCCAACTTTTGTGGAATCTTTTAGAGTTCCAAGAGCCTTCCTCAAGCTCTGTTGTGTACTACCAGTGCCTGACATCCTGTTCCACAATGGATCCTACAATAGAAAAATATCTATATTTTCTTACATACATTTGTTTTTAGCCAAAAAAAATAAACGGAAATACCCTGGTAGCTTAAATTTCAAACTATTTTCCCATTTCTCCAAGTACCTTTGTATCTACCAGAGCCAACTCTTGCAACTACCAGACGAGACAAATCGAGGAGTTGAATTGGGTAAGCCTGATAAGTAATCTAAACTGTGAAGGGATTGATTTTTGTATGTGTATCCATCACCTTCTAACGGTCAATGTTCTATGCCATGATGCAGTAAGCCAAAAGAAAAAAGAGATGTTTTATGTATATCACCAATCTCAATAAATCAATAATCCGAACCTAAAACCAGACTAATCTGACCAGTTTGCACTCCAATTCATGTTTTTACATACTAGGAACTCTACATTCCCTTCTCAGGGCCAGAGTTTTTAAAAATGATTAAGATGGAGGAGATATATAAGGAAGGTGAAAAGAGTAGATTCTCTTGCTATTATGACAATATAATATTCTCAAATTAATCCAAAATAAGAAAAAATAAAAATAATTCAACCTTTTCTGATCTAACCAGCCTGATTTTTGCCAGTTCTTGATTGATTCCTGTTAGTTCATTGAGGGAAAGCCGGTTCTTAACCCAGACACGCCACTACTGGACAAGCCTTTTGACTGTTCCAATCAGGTCCAGTCAGACAGTCTGAACAGGCCAATTTTTTAATACTACTCAAGTACCATGATGAAAATGAAGAAAATTGATGTGGCCAAAGGACGGCCATAAAATCATACGCCGTTAAGACCTCTCCCGGCTTCAGGAGTTACATGCAGTGGGAATCATGAAAGTCATTCCGTAGAATTTCCTACGGAGCATGTTGCAGAGCAAACAGCAATAACCGAGGAACAATCACAAAGTTTCCAAGAAGTGCACCACCGCACCCCAAAGCAGATGTCAATGACGATGGATCTCCGATCGCCACGGAACTATTGAACCTATCATTCAGAGATGGAATTCACCATCATTTCCAAACACGGACATTCTGGAGTGCGGAATGTGGACGATCCATAGTGCATAAAGGTCATAGAGTAGGAGGTAATGATCCAGGAACAAATCATTCCACTGAACTTCAGCACGTCCAAATCAACTTGACGCATAACGCGAAGAAAATGCGATCGAAATAAAAAACCTTCTTAATCTGAGAGCCGTCGGCGTTCCTCCCTCTCCGGCGTGTATCTCCTCCTCATCCCTTCCCGCCCTTAGCGGGAACCACCGCGGGGGGAGGGACCACGTAGAACGGACAAAGAGAGAGAGAGCGAGCGAGAGAGAGAGAGAGAGAGAGAGAGAGGCTGGCCAGAGTGGACGTCCAACGTCTACGTGGCTTACAATGGGATGGGCCAGGAGGATAGAAATGAGCCCACCGCAACCTTGCCCAATAAACCCCTGACAGGGGTATTTCCGTCAAAACGTGTGATTAATATTTTTTTTCTCTTTGCCGGAGCGTGACCGCCGGTCTCCGTCCTCTTTGGAGCCCCTCGTGGTCGCCGCCGCTTCCACCGCTCGTCAACGTTCAGTTTATTTATAGCGAGAAGCTTCTGGTGTCTCCCGCGTGCAACTTAGGATCATTAAATAACGAGCAATAGACCACAAAGACCAGGGGAATAATTCCGCAGTTTATATACCGCCGAAGGCCGGCGGATCACCAGATCCAATCCTCACGGCGTACGAGAGTGCGTGGGATAAAAAGAGAGACACATGGTGGGCCCCCAAGAGGATCCAAGGTTAAATTAGGCCGTCGTTCGCGGTTGACCGCGTTCGTTGGGGCCCTAAGGTGGGCCCCACTATGAATGGGCCCCACCCCCCTCACCTCTTCTTCTTCTTCTTCTTCTTCTTCTTCTTCTTCTTCTTCCTCCTCCTCCGGCGGCTGGACGAGACCCAGGAGGAGCAGTTAACCAGAGGGAGTAGGAAGAAGAAGAAGAAGAAGGAAGAAGAAGAAGGAAGAAGAAGAAGATGAGGGGGGCGGCGGCGGCGGCGGCGGATGAGGAGCAGTTCCCATCGACGCCGGGGAAGGTGAAAATCGAGAGGGCTTACAGCATGAGCCGGCAGCTAAACCGGTGCTTCACGTCGAGCACCGTCTTCACGTGGGTGCTCTTCGTGATGGCGCTCATCGCCTCCTACCTCAGCTTCCAGTCCATCCTCGACACCAGCTCCCGCTACCTCGCCGCTTCCTGGGGCGGCATACAGTGGGAAGCTCAGGTCCGGCGGTCTGCGCAGATCCGCCGTACCGGCGGCGCCGCCGTCCTCGTCACTGGGGCGGCGGGATTCGTCGGCTCCCACGTCTCCCTCGCCCTCAACAAGCGCGGCGATGGCGTCGTCGGACTCGACAACTTCAACGCCTACTACGACCCTTCGCTGAAGCGGGCACGGGCGGCGCTGCTCGCCCAGCGCGGCGTCTTCGTCGTCGCCGGCGACGTTAACGACGATCGGCTTCTGGGGAAGCTTTTCGACGTGGTCCCCTTCACCCACGTAATGCACCTCGCCGCCCAAGCCGGCGTCCGCTACGCCATGGAGAACCCGTCCTCTTACGTGCAAAGCAACGTTGCCGGACTGGTGGCGATGCTGGAGGCGTGCAAGTCCGCCAATCCTCAGCCGGCGGTGGTCTGGGCTTCATCCAGCTCCGTCTATGGCCTCAACGAGAAGGTGCCCTTCTCGGAGACGGACCAGACGGACCGCCCCGCGAGCCTCTACGCCGCCACTAAGAAGGCCGGCGAGGAGATCGCCCACAGCTACAACCACATCTACGGGCTCTCCATCACCGGGCTGCGCTTCTTCACCGTCTACGGCCCCTGGGGGCGACCCGACATGGCCTACTTCTCCTTCACCCGCAGCATCTTGCAGGGGAAGCCCATCACCGTCTACCGGGGAAAGGACCGGCCGGAGCTCGCCAGAGACTTCACCTTCATCGACGATATCGTGAGGGGCTGCCTGGCGGCACTGGACACCGCCGGCGAGAGCACCGGCAGTGGCGGCAGGAAGCGCGGGGCGGCGCCGTACCGGATCTACAACCTGGGCAACACCCGGCCGGTGACTGTGCCGGCGCTGGTGGAAATTCTGGAGCGGCATCTGGGGAGGAAGGCAAAGAAGAACATCGTGGAGATGCCCGGCAATGGCGACGTCCCCTTCACCCACGCCAACATCAGCTCTGCGCAGCTGGACTTCGGCTACAAGCCCTCCACGGACCTGGAGACTGGCCTGTGGAAGTTCGTCAGGTGGTACCTCTCCTACTACGGCTACCAGCGGGGGGGGTATATACCCTAATTTTACCCTTCTTCTTCTCCTTCCTTCCTCTTCTTTGCGTTGTTTTAGTTGGGATTCTTTAGGTTCGAAGGGACCAGCTCTACTGTACTCCCTCTCCCTCTCTTTCTCTCTCTCTCTACCTCTACCTCTCTTTCTCTCTCTTCGTTCGGAGTCGCGGGAGGACTGCCGCCAGAGAATGGAAAGCCGCCACCTCCGCCGCCTCCTCTTCTGGCTGTGTCCTTGACGGGGTCCATGCAAGAAGGAAGAGTGGGCGGAGAGTGCGTACATGTGGCATTCATTCATTGAACATGGCGTTGTTATACTAACCAGCTGCATCTGAGAGGGTATCTCTCTCCCTCTCTCTCTCTCTCGGTGGGAGAATCGAGGAGCCCCACTGGGGAGAAAGTCAGCGGTTCCCTCGTCCTTCTAAATGGCGTAGACTTTTATATTAGAACGTGCTCTTTTTAAAACTTCAATTCCAGAGGTATAAGGAACAATCTTATTCGTACCTCCTCTTTTCCCCTATTTATTTATCTAACATGAAGTAGCTTAGAACGTGAGAGATCCAGCAGGGAACGCATCTGCAGATTCTTTATCTAGCCATTCCCGCCGCCGCCGTGCCCTTCGCCGTACCCTTCACCGTGGCCCTCGCCGGCGCCGGAGACGCCTCCTCCTTGCCCCCCGCCGTAGCCGGCGTAGGAGCCCGCGCCGGAGCCAGCGTAGGAACCCGCCCCGGAACCGCCGCCGGCGCCGGAGACGGAGCCAGAACGAGAGGCGGACCAGGAGCCGGAGCCGGAGCCACTGAGGCCTCCGAGGCCGACGCCGGCGCCGATGCCGAGGCCGAGGCCGAGGCCAAGGCCCAGGTCCTTACGAGAAACCCTGCTCTCCGCCACCATCGTGGAGGAGACGAGGAGGAGGAGGATGATGGAAGGGCCGGCGGCAGAGGTGGTCGCCATCTCCGGCCGTGGGGAGAGCTCGCATTGAGGAGAGGGGAAGGAGGGGAGGTGGGCTTTTATGGCCTCCGGGGAGCTCGGTGGCTGCCATATGGGGTGGAAGGAGATTGTGGCGGAGGATGCATGGGGATCCCTTGGTGGGGGCTGGTCGTGGTGCGTTTAACTTTCAGGTGGAGTCCCCCACCGAGAGAAAGAAGACAGGTGGAGTGTGATGGTGGAGGAGGGACCATGGATTCCAGATCTGGATCCTTCGAGGGAGAACAGCAAGGAAAGCCACTAGGGTGTCGGCACGCATGCCTGCTACAGTATCTCTCTCTCTCTCTCTTGTGCATGCAAGCCCATGAAGAGAAAAGGACAGCTACGCGGATGAGAATCGCCATTAAGAGGGAGAAAATGTGAATTAAGTTCAATATATTCAGCCGAGTAATTCTATTGATCTTTGTATAATTATCATAATTTCAATTCTAACAATTAAATCTAAGGTTTAGTCATGAGATTTTTGTTATTTTTCTATCTTAGGAACATTTGAGGATAAATAATTACTTATTGAAGAAATATCTATAAACAAAAAGTTGTATGCCATATATGTTCATATGACACATGTCAACATATTCACAAAAGCGGAATATTTTATTTAGATTATACTTATGATGATTTAACAACAATGTTGCAATATCTATTTGTTTTATAGTATTTTCATGTGATGTGAGGCATGCTATCTAAATTATCACAAGCATTAAATCAACAAGAAAATAAGGAACAAAACGTGGATTCAAGTTTGAAAAGTATATCTCATGGTGACACATCAGATATGTATATAAAAAAAAAGTGAAATAAAATATGATGATCTAGAGTCAATGTGGATATCATGTCCAATTTGAACTTGAATTCAACTTATTGTACTTTTACCAAGTTGATTTGATGATCAATAACTCAACAACTACATCCGATACACTATATTGGGCCCTAAGATAATTACGTTGTGAGGGGAAAGAAGATTTGACAAAGGCATGTGATGTTTATAGTTGTATTTGACACGAGGGACTGGTGTGTTGCAAGGTGTCCACATAAAGAAACTTGAGATATTTAGTTTGTTAATTATTCTATAATTAGTATGTATTTTTGAAGGTAAGGGTAAAAATAGAAGATAGTTTCTACTAGAACTAAAAGTAGTTAAGTGAGGGATGAAGTATTATAAAAATCCTATGTTTGTGGTGAGAAAGTATAGGGGGTGTCACTACCACAAAGAACCTTCTGTGTATGTGAATAAGGCTGTTTGTTATAATAAAGAGAAATATATCTAAAGATTAAATATGGCCGATCTACTTTAATCTCAATTTTAAAGTATATAAGTGAAAAACATGTAGCAAAAAACATTCAAAGATTGATAATGAAGAAAAAGATAGTCAAAGGTTGAGCATGGCTTTTTATATGATGGAGAATAAGTAGATAAAATGGGTGGGTAATGAAGAGGAAGATACTCAATGATTGAGTGTGTCCTTTCATAAGATTGAGAGTAAGGAGATTAAAAAAGTAAATGAAGATGAAGATCTTCAAAAATTGAAGATGGTTTTCAATAAGATTGAGAGCCAGTTCACTAATGGGTTTTCATTTTTTTTTAAATGGGAAGAGGAGTTTTAGCAGCTCACTAAGCAATATTCTCTTGGTCTTCAGCACCTTGGTATGAAGTATCTCAGTCTCCCTCACTGTCAAGATCAAGTCAACCTCCATCACATGCATCTGCCTCACTTGTCTCATGTTCAAGCTATTCAACTTAGAGTGGAGTTTGGGTGATCTTTGATGTTGGCTAGCACATTATCATTCTTCGGTCACCAGTTGCATCTCAAAAGTTAACTCTTACCTCATCATTCCTGATGCCTCATTCTTCCTCTTGAAGCATAATGTTATTAATAGTGGACATTGATACTAGCTTATGTAAAGAGATTCATGGATGACTGTGAGTAAAAGAGTGGAGATGCTCCATTGATGGTGCTAGGAATATTAAAAAGTGGATGTAGATATGAGAGCGCTCCCTATATTTTGAATGGATCAAGATTAATGGCATGGCAGCCTACTTCCTGGCTGGTTCTTCACCATAGTTAATGAAAAAAAAAATTGAAATTCACACATGATGAAGAGAGAATTCACGAACACAATAGATCTAGAAGAAGTAGAAGGATTGAATGAGAAAGAAGGAAAATTCAGATCGTCAAGGGCTCTAGATATTGGGGAGCCATCCAAGGTGCTGGTGGAACCCCCGGTTTTGGAATAGTAACTATCGTGGATAAAATGTGGTTTTTGATTAGACACTTGGGAGACACACGAGAGAATAAATAATAAGCGAGAGAGGGAGAAGAGACTGATTAGTCACTGTAGATGACGAAATAGTGATGATGCAACCAGAAAAAGGCTCTCACGATCTAAGCCTCTCTTAGGGAGACGAGAAAGGCAGAGAGTGGGCTATGAATCATGGACTCGGGAAACTCCGAGGGCGAGAGAGAGAGAGAGAGAGAGAGAGATAACACGGGAAGTTCGAGTGGCCCGACACTCCGAGTACTTCTTCCATCCTTCTCTTCCTTTCGAAGATAACATTCTTCTTAATGTATCATTTTGTTTGCGATCTTTGTTGGTACACATTCAAACATACAGTGAGTAGAGGTGGCTGTCGTGTTCCCTCTATATTAGTGATACTCTGAAATACTGGTCACGGCCTCTAGAGGAGTGGTTCTCATGTGAGGAGGATCATGTACTTGGGGTTCCATCAATACTCCTCTCTGTCGAAGTCACCTTGTCCTCGAGGTGCACATAAGATGATGTCTCAGCATCAGAGACAAGCAAGATCTGCAGCTCCTTTTTGCATGTGGCCCAATGTATATTTATTCTTGTAGGAAAAACCTAGACCGTTGGAACGTTGTGCTTGTATTTTTGATTTGGTGAGATTGATGTGTCGTCATATGAAAAGGTTGCAACGGACTGTAGTGTCGCTTGGAATATCGATGAATTTAGTGTCCTAAGAGTCCTAGAAGACATTCAATCTCTTGCTGATGGAAGAACTCAAAGTTGGAAGTTACCATTGTGATCTTCTACACGCTGAGCAGTATCCACAGTAGCCGATAAGTCGTTGGGGTTAAGGAGACGGATTTCAACAGAGATATCAGGTTTGAGTCTTTTGACAAATATTTCTAGTAATATGTTATCGAAAAGGTCATCTATGGCGGCTAACATGAGTTCAAATTTTCAGTGATAGTCGGCGATGGTGCCCATTTGTAAGATATTGAAAAGTTGTTCGCTTAGGGTGCCATAGTGAGATGATGCGAAGTGGTTAAGAATTTGATGTTATATGTCATACCAATCTTTGAAAGGGGTTGATTTGTCAACTCAACGGAACCAGGTGAGAGCATCGTCTTCAAAGCTAACTCTTGCCACTGCTAGTGTTTTGTCTTTCTTTAAGAAATGTAAAGAAAAATAGAGGTCAGCTCGATATACCCATCAATGAGGATTAGTTCTTGAGAATAATGGCATTTTGATGTTTGGTGAGGGAACTAGTCATTTGGATGACTTAGAGGAAGATCAGGTACTTGGGGTTGGTTGGGAGGAGTGCGAGCGTTGCTTGGCTGCTGGGGACTTAGAGTGGGTGAAGCAGTAATCGCTTTCCATGATGCATTTCCATCAAGAGACCGTGAGTAGTCTCGGACTGTTGCTACAATACATGTAATTTCTGGTCCACGAATGCTTCAATTTTGAGAAGTTGAACAAGTTTCTGTTGTATCAATGAAAGGCAACGGCGATCTTTGCACATACTGTCGATATCCTTGTCGTAGCGAGTATGCCACCTTTGGGAACGATTGACGACAGATCAAGGAGATAGGGCGAGCGAGCGAGAGAGAGAGAGAGAGAGAGAGAGAGAGAGAGAGAGAGAGAGCATGAGAGACAAAGAGAGACGAGACATGAATAACATGGTTACTTTGAGTGGCCCGACACTTTAAGTACTTCTCTTCCTTTTGAAGACTTTCTTTGTTGAGGGTATATATATATATATATCAAATAATACCTTCTCGTAATTTATTTATATAATTTTTTGGCTTTAAAAACCCTACCTTTGCCAAATTGAATCTAATGGGTTTTTTCTCCATCGTCCGCTCTCCTCCACTACCGCATGTACCCCTCGGAGGTAGGTCATAGCTGTGGCCACCTCACCTAATCAATAGAACGCTATCAACCACACTTGGAGGTTATGATCCTTATGAATTATTACTTCTTACTAAATATTATTTCCTCTTCCTCTTAAGACTTTTGGGTACGTTATCTTCCTCTAAGTCATCCAAATAAGAGTACGTTAGACCTTAAAGTAATTAGAGGTGTTCTTCTTGACTACTCACCTACACAAAAGGGATAGATATAAATGATTTGATCTTTTCAAATATATGGAAATACAGCATGAGAGATGTCGCATTTTATAGTTGACCTATTACTAGTCCACAACTCAAAAGGAAACTCCTTATAATATGTCATGTATTTCAACTGGTACATTGATTATCTCTACTCATACTAGTCAACTCGATTCTCACCCACCTCACATGATAGATACCTCACAATCCTCCTTGCAAAATCCACCACAAATGAAAAATGTTACCTATAGTGAAAGCCCTGTAGATCATGATTAAATCACACAGTCACAACCCTTACATGATGAAATGATTTTTCCGATGTCTGACTATGAGGATGAGTTGAATCTCAATCTACCTATTGCCTTTTGAAAAGAAGTTTTCTCTTGCACTCAACACCCCATGTCTAAATACATAAACTATTAGAAGATTTCTCTTGCTAATCACTCCTTTTTATCTTCATTAGGCTCATTAGCACCACCCAAATCTTACACGACTACATCAAAGGATTTTAAATGAATCATAACTATAGAAGAAGATATGAGCACTTTAGAAAAAATAAAACATACGAATTAATAGACTTACAAGTCAGCAAGTCAATTGTAGGTTCCAAGTGGGTTTTTACCATCGAACAAAACTCTAATGGCAAAGTCATTAGGTATAGAGATTGTTTGGTTGCTATGGTCAATATTATTAGTACTTTTAGTACACTTTAATTGGAATTTATACCAGCTTAATGCTAAAAATAACTTCTTAAATGGAGATTTAAAAGAATAAATATATATGAGTCCTACTCCATGTGTAAAAACTAGTGGTAGAGTATAGTGATTAAGGAAAGTAATTTATGATTTGAAACAATATCCTAGAACATGGTTTAGTAGACCTTGTCAAGTCATGACTCATTTTGGTTGTCAACAAAGAAATGGTGAGCATACTCCTGTTTTCAAAAGAACTAATAATTATTACTCCTTTTTAATTGTTTATGTTGATGATATAGTTCTCACCAGTGATGATGAATATAAAATAGAAATGTTGAAAGAAAATTTAACAAAGATTTAAGAGAGTTAAAATATTTCTAAGGTATTGAAGTTGCTAGATCTAAAAACGGAGACATATATATTTGTAAAAAGAATTCTATTATGGGTCGACTAACCAAAAGAGGAAATTATGTTGTTAATAATCTACTACACCTATTGAAAAAACTTACACCCCACTAATATGAATGGGAAATAACTCAAACAAATCAAAACATATTTATCAAGAAACTGTTGAAAATCTTTTGTACATATCAATAACTAGACCTGTTTTATCTTTTGTTGTAAATCTATTGAGTAGATATATGCATGTTCCTCATACCACTTACATGCAGGCTGTCCATTGGATTCTACGATACCTAAAATCTTGCCCATGTAAGGGTCTGCTTCTTAAAACTTCAAATCACTCACACATTGAAGGTTTTGTTAATCCAAATTAGGTTGGATCTCACGATGATCAGTCAACTACAAGCTACTGTGTTTTCTTGAGAGGAAACCTTGTCATATGGTGAAACAAACAATAAACAATCATGGCATGATCGAGTGCCGAAGCTGAATATCATGTGATGGCACATGGACTGATTAGAGTTATTATGACTGAAATTTTTTATGCATGATCTTAGGTTTCATGCTGAACTACCACTCAAATTATTATGTGACAACAAAGCTGCACTAAACATTGCCAATAATCTTGCACATCATGATAGGATCAAGCATATCAAAATCAATCGACATTTGATTTGAGAGTTATGCCTTATCTACACACAATCAGAGGATCAGTTGGTCGATGCATTTACCAAGAGATTATCATCGATATATTTTGAATCTAATATGAGCCAGTTGAACTTAGCTGACATCTACATTAAACTTAAGAGAGAGTGTTGAAAAGGTATATATCAAATAATACCTTATGTAAGGTATTTGTATAATTTTGTGGCTGTATAAACCTTACCTTTCCAAATCGAATTTAAAAGGCTTTTTCTCCATCGTCCCTACTGTGGCCACCTTAACTCCTCTCTCTCTCTCTCTCTCTTTCTCTCATCTCGTTTGCCCTCCACCTAGCAGAGGTGCCTCGTCTCGTTGCCCTCCACCTAGCAGAGGGGCCTCGTCTTGTTGCCCTCCACCTAGCAGAGGGGCCTCGTCTTGTTGCCCTCCACCTAGCAGAGGGGCCTCGTCTTGTTGCCCTCCACCTAGCAGAGGGGGCCTCGTCACGTTGCCCTCCAACCATCGAGGGCCTAGTATCACTTCCTTCACGATCTTCCTTAGTAGACGTTCAAATGTGCAGTGAGTAGAGGCGGCTGTCGTGGTTCCTCCGGAAATACTGGTCATGGCCTCTAAAGGAGCAGTTATCATGAGAGGATGAAACTGCAGTAGGAGACCCAAGAAAAAGCACAGATTCCAGGTCGGCAATGTCGAGCATCACAAGCGCCGCTCTCCTCTGGAGGTTGCAGAACGAAGCTGCCTCGCAGAAGCCCTCCCAAACAACTATCCACATCCTATGATTGCCGTCGCTTGAGTAAATTCATATCTCAGAAGGCGATCACAGATTTATTGCATATTAGGTAGAAAACACACGAGCGGCGAGCGAAAGACGAGCAGATGATGAGATTCCGCATCTCACTGAGGAAAGAAACCGAAAAAGAATAGAGAAAATGGGGGGAAAGAGCATCTCTGGAACCGAATTCAACGGAATAATTTACCCTCACCAGAGACCCACTGCTCGAGGATCAAGCAGGAACCGAATGCGACGGATTAATTACCGCTTGATATCGCGCTTGTCATCGGATTCTCGCAGATGTAATCCCAGCGAAAAAGCAGTCTGGAGGAAAAGAGGACGCAGGCGGAGCTCACCTCGAAGAGCGCTGGACGAAGAAGAGGGCGACGCTCCTTCCCCCTTCCTCCTCTTCCTTCTCCCCCCGCTGGCCAGCCAGAAGCTCTGTGCGAGGACTGGTCTCTGGAAGAGAGAGAAGTCACCTCACTCTCTCTCTCTCTCTCGCCTCCGGGGCCGGCGGGAATTCATAAAGCCCATCCCTGGCCCGACAACCGCAGCCTTCACTCACATAATTTATCGGGCTTTTTCTCCGAGCCTGGATAAGTGAAACGGGCTAGCCATAATTTTAGTGACGGGCTTGGCCAATGTTAAGTGGGCCGGCCCGAAACTTGCTACCCTAAATTGCGAACCGAGGGTCGTAGAATGGCGTGGTCTGACCAACCTCCGTCGACTTCGACGCGATCGGGGCGAGAGATCGAGAGGAAGGCGGAGGAGGGCAGGTTTTCTGCGGATGGCGGAGGTAAAAAATGGAGGCAATCCATTGAATCTACATCGAATCTTTCTATCTTGGTGCATATGGACGGACTCCGCGTCAAAAACCGCTTTTGGGAGTTTTCTGCTGTTTCGGCGGGAATAGTTAGGGTTTCTTCTTATTTTCTTTATTCCATCGCTTGAATACTGTTTGTGTCCATTTAGAACCAATTCTGAAATTTTTTCGACTTAGGAAGAGCCGTGATTTGGACATTGCGCAGCCTTTCAAGCGTCTACTCGAATTGCTGTTGTTGGGGAATTCGGCGCAATTAGGGGTTGACATATTGTTTCACGAAATGGATCTCAGTGGCAGTTTTTCTGTGAGAAAGCGAAATTTTTACATTATTCGAGCATTCGTTCGTTTTGAAATGCACTTCGCATTGAAATTTCTCTTTGTGCAAGCCCTGATGTGGCCGTGGTTATAGGGAGATGGATAGATAAATCGCTGGGATATAAAAATTAAGTCTGCACCTCATGCTCAGCTAATATACGATGAACCAAATCGAAACGTTTGCGGGTAGTTATGGATGCCTCTAAATATTTCTGCTTTTACCATGCCAAAAAACCATCATATGGTTGATCGGCACCATCCCGTCTATGTTTCATTGTTAACCAGAAGTAGAAAGGATCTCAGGTTTATTATACTTTATCTGAACTTAGAAGCCCAGGCTTGAACTGGACTCTACATATCTTTGTCAAATTAAATGTTGTTCGCTGAAGTTTAGTCATAATTTATCCTTCCTCCACAAAAATATTATTTTCTTCAGAAAGGAGACGTGAGTTTAAGGCTATATGCTAGTCTATCTCGCAGTTTTACCTATTAACTACTAATGCGCTTTACCGGATCACGAATCATTTTCTCGGATTTTATTGTATACTTACTTTCTGTGCGTGCCTCACACAGTAATTCCTTTCTTTCTTTAATTTTTTTCCTCCGGTCTTGATTGTGTATCCTTGTTGGTTTTCGGATTGTTTCCCTCGTCACATAAACTCTTTTTTTATGTCCACTTACTTGTCCGACAGATTGAGATAAAAACTGCACCGGCTGATTTCCGGTTCCCAACCACGAATCAAACAAGACACTGCTTCACTCGCTATATTGAGTATCACAGGTAATAATTCTTTGAAGCAATATACTCGATGGATTAGTGGGTTTTTTTTTTTATCGTGGATTAAATCACTAACTGTCGATGTAGGTGCTTGGCAGCAAAGGGGGAAGAATCTACCGAATGTGAAAAGTTTGCAAGATATTATAGATCCCTTTGCCCTGGGGAATGGGTAAGTCCTCAAACTCTTAATGTTGCCGATTCCCTTCTGCATAATTTGTGGGGGTATTTTAATTTCTGCTGCTGATGTTCTATGTTTCCTGGTTTTTATGCTTTCTTTCAGTCAGTTTACTATTTATTGATACAGCAATCAACATAAAAATTTCTGCCACTATCTGTCAATAGTTGTAGCTTCTTTCTCTTACTTCTCGATTGAAAGCTTCTTGTCACAGGTTAAGCACATTCTGTATGAAGCACTTAATAAGTTGTGCTTGCCTAGTTGGGGAAAATATGCTCCCATATAATGAGATCCAAGGTTTTTTTTCTAAACGAGTTATTCATATCTTCCTCTCTTCCATATTGGAATTGTGGGATACCAAACAAGCCCGAAGAAACCAACTTCGGCAAGTCAAATACTAGGAAGAATAACTACCCACAAGAGAAACCCTCTCTTAAGGACCTCTCACGAAATGGCGCAAGTCAACACTCTCACGCCATTTTGTAAGTATGTTTAATATTTAAAACTTATCTGCATTCATAATTGCTGATGAAAAGGAATAATGGGATTCTGCGAACTTGAATTCCATTGATAATCATGTGGGAGGAACACAGGAAAAACACTTTTCCTATGCGCCATTTCTGATCACAAAGCTCTGCAACATGCAAGGTAGTTCATCAGCTTCCCGAGAGTCTCTTCTCTTTTTTACTTAAGTGAATACCACATAGAGAGGAATAAAAAAATGCTTTTTCAACAGAATAGAACCTTCAATTTAACATCTTCTCCAAGATGAAGGCTTTCCTCATAGAAAGAAAAAATTTCTATACATGCACTCTCATCAACTGCTCCTCAACTGGATGCGCCTGACTGAGAGGATTCGTTGTATCGCTTGTTACAATTTCCATCCTTTGATATACTGTCAAGTGAGACTGTTTAATACAGGTGGGTCAAATTTTGGTGTCTCAACTTTGATGATAATGATTAATGATTTTATAAAAGATGATACTATTTGTCATCGTGTTGCTTTACTACATATCAAGGCAATAATCCTTGGATTTTTCATAAAAGTGTCAAAATATTTACGAAATCCTTCCGACCCTTTTCAAAGCTCCCTGCAAGCGGGCATTACTCACGTCTGGAAAAGCTGCAGATGCCTTATGATGTGGTTCCTCTGTTGATTCTTGCAGATCGAAAAATGGAATGAGCAGAGGGAGAACGGAAATTTCCCAGGTCCCCTCTGATTTCTGATGGGCTAAAAACAATGGTGGTGCCTACGATGCTGAAGATTCAGTGCATCTGTTTGGATTGCTGCATTGTAATAAGATAACCTTCTTGGAACCCAGGTCAGGTTGTTTGTTGGCCTCTGAGTTTGTCACAAGACCCCTCTATTGCATGCCTTGCATGGGTTGAAGCCCAGTCCATGGTCAACCCAAATCAGTAATTTCATTTAAAAGTCTGGACATGGAAATATTGCTTGTTTCAATTATATTATTTGGACATGGAAAAAAATGATTTCATTGAACGACAGAAAACCAGAGACTGCAATGTTTTAGGTGCCAACTGCAAGGAAGGGTTTGGGGGGGGTCTTCCTCATTGCAAAGGGTTTCCATATTCCATGTCTCCTATTGATTCTTTACCTTGATGAGCCCAAAACTCTGAATCGGATGCATCCTGCATGAAGTCAACGAGATGTTCAGCTTGCATGCCTTAAATGCTGAACCTTGGTGTTTACGAGTTGACCCTTACAGCAAATTCCTTGAGCATCATACTCTGCGTTGACTCTTGAAGCATCGAAGTACTTTGCGTCAAGGCATGCAAGAATAAATTGTAAGATTCTCAAGTGTCGATATCTGAAGCATTAGTATTGACATTTGAGTGAAGAACAGAGGACTCTGCAACAGGTGGATACTTTGGATAAAAAACGAGTTGACATCTATGGGGTGAAGTTGATTCAAGAGACTTGAGGGTTGACCTAACAAACCATGTGCACCTGCAATAGAGGTGGTGGTATCCTCACAAAGGCCAGAAAAAAGAGAGAAATGCAAGTGTTGACACGAGATGCGACTGTTAGACTGAAATGTCAACGCTACTTTTAAGTGTTGACTCCTACAAAATGGCGGCATCTTGTCAACTAGAATAACGACCGGAAAAGGTGGAGTCTACTCTCCCTGTGAAAAGTAGAGTTAGATGCTTAACCTATCTACTTGTTATATTATTGGCCATTTAGATGCTCAAGCAATAAAAGAAGATAAACTATATATATCTGCACCACATTTTAAGGAAATCAAAACTGCCAAGCCATTGAAGCATCTCTCCCTAAGCTTAACACCATTTCAAGCGAGTTCATCAAAGCTCATCTAAAGGAGATTCTCCAATGGAGGTTATCTTTTGGACAAGCAAATCTGTTGTTATTGTGAGTTTGAGTAACGTTGTTCTTGAGAAAGGCTTATTTAACTTTAAGGGAACAAAGTCAACACCTTAGGAACCCAACTCATAGCAAGTTAAGAGGCAGATAGTCCAATGCGAATACCCGATGAGAGGCTCAAGGATTAGGGTAGGCGTGAGTTGTATCTAGCCACTGTAAGAATTCGTGTTATTATTGAATCACTATCCATATAAATTTAATTTTATTCTATAATTTAAAATAATTAACCTCCCCCCTCGTAACACATACATACTATCTCTCTGTCTCTCTCTCCCTCCATCTTTCTCTCTCTGTCTTGCCAAGATCTTCCCTAAAGTTTCAATGCTAAATTTTTTGATCATTCTGTTGAATTAGTCATTCAACCTTCAGATGATCCGTCTTTATTCGTATATTTCCTCAATCAATCTGCTCATTTAAGGTTTCTGCTTGTTTCCAAGTCTCCATTGGGATCGTATTTTCTATTATTCAGGATATATTGAAAACATTTTATCTAGATTCCAGCGGAAATGTCCGTTTTGTTCTTCATGTTCTTCTAAATTAATCTGGTGGATAGTCTAACATCTTCACGAGTCGTCGTTTCGGTCTGCGAGAACCGTCCGTCGTCTATATTTTCTTAGATTACGGGATTTATTAATGAAAGGCGTTCCGCTTCTCTAGGAGATATTGCTCTCAGTTCTCAACTCTGGTTTGGTGCTCAGTTAGCTCTCTTCTCGATATCATGGTGCACTCCATCAACCAGCAGTGGCTCCTCCAAGCCCGTCTTCCTCCCCTCATCAGCGGCCGCCGAGTGTTGCACTCTGTGCTCATCTTCTTGCAGGCTCTCTTCCTTCCTGGTGCTGTACTCTTCAGCTTTACCCCAGAGCACAAGATAGAGCCCGGCCACGACAACAACGGAGCTGACCAGACTGGTAAGAGGGAAGTGTTTTAGAGCGAAGCACCATCTCTAACTGTTTGCAGGGTGGCTACAGCGTTGATGAGTGGACGTACCTTCCCAAGTGGAGCTCCTCATGGAGGAAGAGTGAGGACAAGATGGTGGTGATGACCATGCAAAAGGGTGAGAACATTGCCGAGAAGAGTGCCCCTCTTCTTGAAATGCACCAAGATTGCACAAACATGGTCACTCCGGAGCCCAAGACTCCCTACAACACAGTTGACTTTCTTTGAATGAAAATATTCAAGTGAGTTCGGCTTGAAATTGGTGGGCTAATGAGTCAAACCCGGTGGCCGTAGAATGTTGCACCGTATTAGCAAGGGAAATAATTGATCGCAGTTAGCTTGTACGTGGAGGCCATGCTAAAACAGTCTCCCATCGAATAATATCCGACTCAAAGTCAACGGTAAAATGGATGAGCTAAACTCTTTTGTAAAATCACGCGATTGGACTTACGATGAACATGTGTCAAGATTTTAGCATAATAGTCAAGAGCTGACTATAAGCTGTGACGTCATTTAATCGACCACAAAATAGAGGTCAAAGGCCAGCTTGGATTAGGTCCAACAGTTCTAATCGAGATGGAGTTATTGTGACTTACCGCGTAGATGCAGCAGATGATCTCTATCGTGGAACCCAATCTCCATGCCCTTAGGTCGGGCTCGAAGATGAAGGTGAGGGCGACCGACTGCAAGAAGGCGAAGAAACATATCCACGCTGACCAGGGTAGTGGATGGAAGCAGGTCCTGCTGATGAACACCTGGATAGAAGTGGGCAGGGGGGAGCTCAGATTACCATAGTGGGCAGGTGGGCGCTGACGGAGAGCCACCGTGAGTACCTGCAGGATGAGCCAGATGGACCAGCAGCAGATACTGCCGAGGAGGAAGAGGCAGCCCAGATACCAGTCCTTCCCCGCCGACTGGAAGATGGAGGTTGCCGTGGTCTTCGAGCCTGCAAGGAGGAGCTTAGGGCCCCTGAGGAAGGCCATGGTGGCGGCACCGATGACGCAGACCCCAGTTCCAGCTATCTTGGCTATGCCTCTAGAACTTCGTAGGCCCGCTTTCTCTAACCTGCTCAAGGTTAATGTGAGAGATCGAGGTAGAGAAAGACGCTTAGTTTCTCTCCGTCTTACGTGACTGTGCGAGTAAACTCTCTATATAATTGTTTCCATTGTCTTCTTCCATGGACTTGCGATCCCCATAAATCCACTGAAACGATAGAGAGAGAGAGAGAGAGAGAGAGAGAGAGAGAAGGGTAAGGGAGATCGGGAGGTGTTACCCGAGAGGGGCTGCCATGAGAAACGTGACAGCAGGGACAAGGTTCGACAGGGCCGTCGCCATGGAGGCGGATCCCAACCGTAGTCCGAAGAAGTAGAGGCCCTGGTTGAGGGTGATGCTGTAGATCATGTCAACATCATGAAGAACAGTGGAGGAGCCCAAGTGCTCTAGAATGCTCGTTCGAAAGATTTACCCAAACAGCGCCGCCAGAAAGATCAACCAGAAGTTTTCCCTTTTCAGAGCGGCCTGTCTCCTGTTCTTCATGAGAAGCCAGAGATTAGCAAAACAGAAAGAGACACAGACAGAGAGAGAGAGAGAGAGAGTCTGGACATACCCTTGAGAGAGATATGCAACGGGAGCCAATGAAAGGGTTGCGATCCCCTGCCTGTAGGACAGGTAAACCAAAGGGCTCATTCCTTGAGAGAGAGCAGCCTTCCCGAGGAGGTTGACCCCTGCGTAGATGAACTGCAACGCCGCCATTGCCAAGGTCGGTGTATGCTTCTCCAAGAACCCTCCTCCCATCTCTACTCGTACACAGCGACAGAAAGAAACAGAGAGGGGGGGGGGAAGGGTGATAATATAACGTGAACATCTTCAGATAAAGGATAGGTGGAGAATGAAGGAGGACAGGGTGGAGTCGCCGGCGGCTGGCTTGGCTGGTGGTGGGGACGGCGGAAGGCTTGGCTGGCTGTCCACGCGTTCTCGACGTGGGAAGCGTTGGATTTTCCGGCGAGACGATCGCCGTTCCATATCTCCCTTGTTCTCTTCCGCCCTCGTTTTGTTCTTCTCCGCCGAGAATCTGAGCCTCTGTTTGAGACCTTCCCTCCGTCCTCATCTCCATTAGTTCTAGGCCTTCCCCTCATCGTTCCTCTACAGGTCGGCCAGAAGTTCGCACGTGTGAAAGCAACGTGCCTGGCCCGACCCTCCGACACCCTGCAGAGGATCTATGGGAAAATATGTGTTTATTATTTAATGTTTATAATGGCAGTAGTGTCTTCTAGCTTGGAGACGATTCCTCACCGTCATTTACGATGCTATCATGCGTCGACAAGCTAAGTATTCTAATTAGCAATCTAATGACAAGTCCTAATTAACTAATTTTGCCACGTTGGATCTGACCATTGAAGCATCTGTCCTAGACAAGAATAGGTCCGAGTCTGATCTAATCCTGTCGGAACAGACAGGGTAGAAATGGACCTGGGTTCCTCGGCCCAATTCAACGAATTTCTTATTTATCTATCCGAAATTGTTTCTTTCCTAGTTGAACGACAATCGTAGCAGGCCAGCTGGCATGACATGCTTGCACGTTGCTTTCTTTCGGATGTTGCAGCAAACCCCTTCTCTCTCTCTCTCTCTCTCTCTCTCTCTCGGTATACATCACAATATCACATATAATAAACGAGTTACTTATAAACTTACAGAAAACTAGTGAATAGGTATACTTAGTGACGTTAAAACGTTGGATTCGAGACCGAGCGGGCTTGGTGCACAAGCGGAGATGCCACCCTGGCAGTCAGTTACCGGGGAAATTTTGCCGCTGAAGTGGAGGTGCCAAGTGTGAAAATGGGCCAAGTTGGCTTTCGGAGTTGAGGAGCGCATTAATGTCGCCGTGTGAAGACGGTTGATGGGGACAGTAGCAATCAGCGTCTCACAAGGTTAGTCTGCGTCTTATGATCTGAGGTCGGGTTCGAGTGATGTCTGGTGGCCCATCATGTCAGCTCTCTGTCTGTCTGTCTGTCTCTCTCTCTCTCTCTCTCTCGGACGCTCTCCCAAATAGATGAGTAGGTTTTTGGGCTTCCTAAGAATTTGATCCGTTGCCCTATTTTATAAGCTTTCCTTCGTGATAGGACCAAGCTTACAGCTTGACGCGTGGACATTACGAGTAATATCTATAGATCCCTTGTGGGCAATAGGAATACATAAGGAAGGGGGAGGATGTTAGTCTTCTTATCCAAGTCTATTAAATTATATTTTTGATTCAGATATGCATAGATAGGGTGAGTTAACTTCTTCCATGGGATATGAAACACACTAGATTTTACTCTTAGGTTATTATGCTACCTTCACTATGTGATACTCATTGAAAATAAAAATCATTAGCTCTTCTTTCCTCTAAATTTACGGCTCTATTCAGGAAGCACATCATACTTTTAGGACTTGCTCACTACTCCTAAATTAATTGCCATTAAAATTGCCTGAGTATACCCATCACTTACTATTAGCGTCAGTCAATTACTATTAGGGACCCACACAATCTAAATCTATCAAGTTTGAAATAAAGACTGGTGACTTTTTACTTCAAAGCTTTGCAAGGATGTATGAACCATGATCTATGAAACTTATGTAGCTAATTTATTTTGTCAACATTTTTAAATGTGGGATATCCACATTCTTATGGGTATTAGGTGACTGCTGGTACTTCAATTTTTAACAAAATAGTAAAAACCCATTGATCAACGGTAGATTCCGAGGTGTAGAGACAAATTTTGAAAGTATTATCTTAAAAAAACACTAGTTCAGAAAAACTTCTTGAAAGACACCTAAAATCTTTAGTGTCAACACATGTTGTGAATTGGATCTTTAGATGGATTTATGGTAGTTGCAAGGATATGATATATGATTAGTATACAATCCTCACGTCGTAGATATGGTCTTAGTTATAAAGAAAGGTATGATGATAGAAGACTATGATATCAAGTAGCTTGGTGTTATCAAGCATGCTCAATATTTTCTTTTTATGTATCATTTCAAACTTACTTGATATTCCATTAACAAATTATGGAAAGACATTTAGTACCTTCACCGAAGATAATATCATCAGTAAGAGGTATATCATGAGCTTTAATTTTGTAAATGAAATAATTCATCAATATTTTTTAGTGGAAAATCACAAATTTTTACACCAAGATTTAGGACTCTTGCTCACTTCGAGAACATGGGTTAGAAAATTTAGACAATGAAAATAGGTTATTTTTTAAAATAAAATTATTGTACTTTGATTGAAATTTACAATGAGTCTTTGCATTTATTCATATAATTCAAATTATTTCAGGAAAACAAAAGAAAGAAAAAGGTTAATGACTCTCGACCTTAATATAAGAGAATGCCATTGGTTTATTTTGATGATGAAAAAGAATAATAAAAATATATATCATACATTCCTAGATCTAGTTCATTTGTTACTTGATTGTGTTTCATAGACAAAACAATAAAATGATCATAAGGAAAAACAATAAAATAAAATAAAACAATTTTAGAAAGAAATATTGACTCAAATCTTGAGCAAGTCAACCTAAGTGAGTTGAATCAATGAGTCAACACAACAATTTGACAAAACAAATTTCAATCTATGGGTCAACCAACCATTTGACAAATCAAATTGTAGGAGAGAGAAACAAAGATTAAATGTGGTAAGAGTATCTACCATCAATTATGACGTATCTTGAAATATTAGAAGATCAGAAAAAAAAAACTAGAGGATTGGCTATTGACACATCTACTAGTTAACAAAATAATATGACTTTATAGGTCAACACTAGGGTTGACCTAGAAAATATTTCATGGATTGAATATCACCAATTTGAATTTCAGTGGTCAAATTTTTGGGCTCGATAAAAAGTTAGTCACAAGAGTTTCTACAGTATGTTTTAATGAAATATCAATTTGAACTATTGATACTAAAATTTCACATCCACTTTTTTGTAAGCACAGCTGTGGGATGTTCTATGCGGGGTGTTCCTCTGAATAGATAACACTAGTTTGCCTTGAGACCGTCTCTTCATAGAGATGTGTCCAAAATCATCTGTGAAGAAATTCCTCTAAAACTTCCAAAAGCAATCAGGCTAAATTCCATCTGTGGTGGCTAGACCTTCCTCACTAACAACGCCTTTCGAAGTTTTATGAGAATATGAGCCAAACTTTCTTGGCAGCTCATCCTGAACCACAGCTTCGTGTGATACGGTAGTGTTGGGATGATTAAGCAGTTCTATGTGTTTCCCTGGGGAATGAGGATCGATGAGTTGCTTACTCGATTGAACTCAAGAAAAATGTATTAAAGATGGATCCAACAAAACGTTGTTGTCTCAAGCTCAATTCATGGATCTGTTTCTCTTATGTTTAGCTCCAATAGTGGGTCCAATATCTCATGTCTATATACGTCCAAATCAGTTTTAATAATGTTTTTGTATCCATCAATATCATTGAACCCAAGTGTGAAGATGTATCCACGCTATGTCCTAATCTTTGTTTTTTTGTTGAGCATATGTTCAGCTTCTGTTAAAATAAATTTATTTTTTTATGAATATTTTTTTAAAATATGTCAATGTTAGCTCCATCAATTTTCATTTTTATCATGTTTTATTAATGAAAAAGCACAATAAACTCTTCAATAGTTTGTTTTACTAGGTTGCAAATTTACATATTCTATAGATTTGAATAAATATCCAATCAAAATTCGCTAGGAGCCTACGCCTCTCTCTAATCAAAATAGATGGAAAGTAGACATGCATAACTCAAAAGTGTTTTAATGGGGACTTCATTACTTTAATATAATTTATAAATATTTATTTCGTGAGTATGTGTCCAGTCATGTATACATTTGAAATATAGTACAAGAGGGTAATTACTTCAAACCAAAAAGTAAAATTCTCTCCATATCTTCAAATGTCCTTAATTTTTTTACTTCTACTTCTGAATTTGGATTAGATGTCCTATTGGATACAAAATTATGTTCATTTCTATGTTGGTCACAAATCATGATTTCCTTAGTATAGGCTGGAGGCTTAAAATTATCTTTTGAAAATAATCAAAGTCTTTGTTTTCTTATAAATATTACTTAACTTATCTGAAATGGCTTATAATTGATCTTCTCTCTTTTTTTTTTAAATCATGCTTAATTTCTCATTTTCTCCTTTCTACTTCAAAAAGTTCAATTTAAACTTTTCATGTTTCTAATTTAGTTTTCTAGTGCTTATTATGTTGAAGTTATTTCACAACAAGAGCAAGTTTTTAAAACATTATATCATCCGTCTTTCAGATGATTACCCTTGTATAAAGTGCCTAAAAGGTTCCTTCTAATATATTTTTCTCTTCACACAACTTTGTTTGATTTTTTCATGGAGAAGAGGAATGCACTCAGTTTTTGCAATCATTGTTATTAAACCTTAAAAAGTAAGACTTTACGACTATCAGCTTATTTTTCTTGGGTTCCTCCTCTTTCATTCTGAATACGTATATTGTAGTTCATTACCTTTGGAGTATGATAATTGGGTAAAGATCTGATTTTTTGTTTCAATTAGATTAAATTTCATAAAATGTTCTTAGTCCCTTTAAAATCTCAACAAACCTGAATTTCTGAGATTTTTCATCTTGGTTCATTCTGAAAAGTTCACACTAGTTTTTTTTTAAGTGTTCTCCTATATTTATTTGACTTACCAGATCCAGATCTCACATCTCAGAATTTATTTCTCATTTATTTTTAGAAAAGTTTTTATTCACTCACCACCTAAATTTCGTAATCTTTGGTCTCATTGAATGTGATCCTTTTATTTTCATAAGAATCATGAATATATGGAATGCATAAACTTATGAAACCTTCAACAAAAAGGAAACGTTTGAAAAAGCCTGGAGGACTCACTAATGACCTTTTATGGGGGAGAGAGAGAGAGAGAGAGAGAGAGAGAGAGAGAGAGACCTTCTTATCTTGATCGTAGAATTGTAAATTCATAGAAGCCTTTATACCTCACATCGGGAAGGACTTTAATTCCTTGAAAAGCTCAGCTATATCTTCCAAAAGTTCTTTATTTCTGTTTGTCCAATGACTAACTTTATTAAGTTTATCGTATTCTTTCAGTTGTTGACATTCTAGTCTAACAAGCACTCTAGAGGTCATGTATTTACCTTTTGGGGGACAAACCCTCATGCGCACTACTGTTTGACAAGGGCTCTATTTTGTCACATGTGTTGACTTATATGCATGCTGATCTCTAACATTCACACCTTATCTCTTGAAATTCTCATAGTTTTGACAATAACTGTATATTTATTAGTAATTAGACCTAAAAAATAAATAGTTAAGAATATTCTAAACGTAACATCTCTCTTATTGAGCGCGCTCCTCTCTCTTGATTTATCTTAAAGTTCATGATGGTAAGAGATGTAAATAATGAAAAGAACACATTCTTATGCCACCCTGGCAGTCAGCGTGGCCGATTTTGCATTCGGAACCAGAGGCTGAATTTTTGTGCTGTAGATCCAGATTCCATGTGAGAAACTGGACACGTGGGGCTTTTCGAGCCGTCTGGACCTTCTTCGTCCCTACCATGGACGATTAATACACGTCCCCCACAGAAATGTCGACAGTACAGAAGTTGGGATCACGGACGGACGGGACCGTTGACGCTCCTTAATGGGCGGTGAGCCGCTGGAAACAGCCAAGGTTCTTATTGATGGCTGCCAACTATCATCGGCCAACAGGCCTGGGGACTGTTCCATGTTGACCGATTGCATGTATCAGATTGACGTATTTAATGTTCACTCCACGAGATGCTACCTTGTTCGATGAACATATCAGGACCCATCATGTCAACGCTCTCTCTCTCTCTCTCTCATCTTACTCCACGCGCACAAGTTTCCGTGTTTTTCCTTCTGTCGAGGCCGGATCAGAGGCTCGACGAGGCTAGACCACAGGTCGGGTCCTATTGACGCCCCTAAAATAAATATGTGTCCCCTATCTCTCTTTAACTTCATAGTTTTGTACGTGCTATTCAGGTCTTTACCGACAAACACATAACCTCGTTGACTCCCAAACCATGTTTCTTCGGCCCCTCCCTCCCCACTCTCTCTCTCTCTCTCTCTCATCTTAATCCACGCGTACAGATTTCCGTGGTTTTCCTTATGTCGAGGCCGGATCAAAGGCTCGACGAGGCTAGAAATCGGGTCCTGTTGACTCCCTAAAATGGACAAACCAGAAGAACAAGGTCTCCCCCGCCCCCCGGACAATCCGGATCTCCCCCTCTATTGCTGCAACTGAGGACATTACAGGACCAAAAGGGGAGGGAGCAAGGCCAGTTATCCCTCATAAATGGTTGTAACTGTTCTCACCCTCGTGCTTGGCTCCTCCTCGGTCTCCGTATTCTACATCTCTTCAACGTGCGATGGCCGCTTCTCTTTCCCCGCACTCAAACTTATCGGCTGTTATCTACTCCTGAGGGAGACGCGCCGGTTTCCCACCAATTATCCGAACAATCGAAACCAATGGAAGGGTTTCAACTCAATATTGTCCAGATTTGCATTTAATGGGAGCGGGTGGGAGGATTCCGCTGCCGTCTATACTCTCCTCCCCCTCCGCCCACTTTAAAGAGGAGAAGGACCTGGATATTAACAACAGACCAGGCCACACCTACTCACCCCCACCCCCCAATTGTTATGTGGGTCGTTGCGATATATCGACCAATGTTGTTTGTCGTCATAATCAAGATTGAAAATGACAAGTACTTACAAGCCCGCGGGCTTACTCCCGTTACTATCGATTACTTTCGAGTTGGACACAACATCAACCTCTTCGAGTCCAACGGGTATATTTCTTGAAAAAACGATTAATTTAATTCTTTAAGCGTGATATCAGGGCTGAGTTAGATATATGTATTCATTTAATTGAACAGTCGCTATCGGTAGGTTATATTTATGTAATTACTACTTAACCAATCAAGGTATTTACATCGATTAGTGTTCGATTGTGGAGATAGTTTAAAGACTTGCTGGAAAGCTCTCGTGAAATGATGACCACGTAGTTTGGATCTAAACTTCCAACTTATTACAAAATACCAACTTTCTCAATTTAATAAAAGTATAGTTCACTACACTTTTCGTCAGTTTTGAGTCAGATATAAAATAGTTTATCTTGATATAAGGGCTTAACTCAAAATTATTTTGTTCGACTCATTCTCAAACTATTTTGAGTTAGATATTCAATGAGTTTTCCAAAACAATATAATTCCGCCGTAAATATATAGCACGGGAAGACTTTCATTTACCGAACACAAGTCTTAGGTTTGAATTCTATCTTCTTTATTGCTATAACGATGTTCACATTACATCGTTCACTTTTACGTTCGGTTCACTCTTTGCGTGCTAGAAGATTAGCATGTAAATAACTTACATTAAACTGTGTGATTAAGCGTATGAGCTTAATTGCATCTAAATATTCAAGAATTTATAGATGCCAAGATTACCAGGGAAATGGTCCGCTGGAGATTCCCAAGAGCTGTGGACGGCGGAAGGACTCTATGGTGGACGGCGGCGGAAGGACCACCGTCTTTCATCCCGCATCCGTGGCCTGTCGTCGACGGCAGGGCATCAAGAAAATGACGGCACTACAATTACCTCTGCCGCCGGTTCAGTGACCTACGATCCTCTTGGTCATCTGAGTACTTAGAGAGCGAACCATAATGATAGAGAGTGCTAGGATGTGATCGGACCTATGTCGAGTTTAATGTGACAGGACCCACTAATCTTCTTCTTCGGAAAGATTTCCAGGATTTCTGGGTGGGTTGGACGCGTTCCAACCGGCAGAGGCCATTTTTTTTTGCTGATTTTAGAAATATTTGGGTTCGAAGATCGAGAGCCATCCATGAATGAAAACGAAGAAAAGAAGAACTTCACAAACCCTAACCTTCGCTGTAGGACCTTTTCTCCTCCATTGCTCTGGTCCCCTCCGCTACCTTCTCCGGGCCTGCTGCGTCCACCGCGCCACCCCCAAGCTCGCGCCAGCGGGAGCCTTCCTCTCTCCTCGACCCCAAGAATACCCTTAGCCACCATGCCTCCTCTCTCTCTCTCTCTCCCCCCCCCACCGGAGGAGAGAGAAAGTCGCGCTGCCAGCAGCCGGTTTACAGGTGAGGGGACGAAGTCAAGGGGTTGACCGGGCAAAGTTCCGATACCGTCTCACATTAATGGTCTTAAATGACGATTCATCGCTACATCCTTGATCCCCCCCCCCCCTCCAACCCCCCGATTTCACAAGTTTGACCTAGCTTCCAGAGAGAACAATGCGACGAACGCGGACTCCATCTGGTCCTGTTGTTAACCAGTGCGTTGACTCTGGCTGCCCAGGAACCGCGTCTCCGTGGGCTAGCTGGCTCGTTCGCCAGAGTCGGCGGAGGATAACTATGGCCGCCAGCCGGGCTCCGGTCAGCGCGGGTCGCGGCAGCCGGCAATGAATCTGGGCCGTCCGCAACTTGCCCAACCCCCCCCCCCCCCAGAGGAACATTCGCTCCCTCCGCGGGCGCAATGAATGGAGGGTGACGAGACAGTGGGCCCCATGTCTTGGGACAGGTACTGTTCATCTGGCGGAAATCGAAGCGAGATGACGTGGAAGAACCTGGGTGGCGCGTGGCATTCTGCCGTGGCTCCACGTCGGATGACAGCAGGGATGAGAGAAGACCTCGCGTCTCTTTTCGCGCAAAATAGAGGTGATGACGTCATCAAGTGCAGCATGTGGGTGCCGTCACAGTGCTTTACTGCTCCGGCGTGGACTGTCTTTTGCGATTGATTCTTCGGGAAGAGAGAGAGAGAGAGAGAGAGAGGTATTGATTGGGAGGCGGAACTGAGGGATAGGAGTGAAGGAAGCTCCATCTCGGCATGCGGGGGGGGCCCTTGGATTCAAGTAGGTGGGAATAGAGAGAGAGCAGTTGAGAGAGAGTTAGACCTCCGCGTTTCCTACTTGCTTCCTCCGTGTAGATTCATTGCACAACCCCACATAGGTCTGCTGTGCTGGTATCAGCAATTTATTTGACGGGGGCGAGAAATAGAGAGAGAGAGAGTTACACCTCTCCCGGTTCAGAAGATCGCTATATATTGGGGTGCCTCGGAAGGAACTCTCATCTCACGAGTCAGCAGCTCTTCTGGAACAAAGTTGCAGAGACGTAGAAGAATCTCTCTGCATCTCTTCTCGGGGCTCCATTCCTTTCGGGCTTCCTCTTCTCCTTTCGGTCTCGATTTCTAGAGAGAAAGCACTGGTGCAGGGGATCATGGCCGCTCCCCTCTCCTCCTGGCCCTGGGAGAACCTTGGCTCCTACAAGGCACTGCTCCCTGCTCCCACTCCTCTCTCTCTCTCTCACACACACACACACTCACTCACTCTTTATGGTGCTAACCTTCTCTCCTTCTTCCCCGTTCTCCTTGCGCAGTATATTCTTTACGGGCCGCTGCTGGCGAAGGCCGCCTACTCGACGCCATGGGAGAAGCTCACGCCCACCTGGTGGGTGCATATTCTAGCCCTCTGCGCTCTAAGAGGCCTCATCCACACCCTCTGGTGCTCCTACGGCAACATGCTCTTCTTCACCCGCAACCGCCGCATCATCAAAGATGGGGTCGACTTCAAGCAGATCGACAAGGAGTGGGACTGGTACCTCTCTCTCTCTCTCTCTCTCTCTCTCTCTCTCTCTCTCTCTCTCTCTCTCTCTCTCTCTCTCTCTCCCTCTCTCTCCCTCTCTCTCTCTCTCTCTCTCGCTCTCTCTCTCTCTCTCTCTCGCTCTCTCGCTCTCTCTCTAACGGGATGGAAAATGGCAGGGACAACTTCTTGATCCTGCAAGCCTTCATTGGGGCCGGGGCGTACTACTTCTTCCCCTCGGCGGACAACCTTCCTCTCTGGAACGCCAAGGGGCTCTTCTACGCGCTGCTGCTCCACGTGACGGTCTCTGAGACTCTCTTCTACCTCACCCACCGGCTCTTCCACAATGGATTCCTCTTCCGCCACTACCACTCCCTCCACCACTCCATTCCCATTCCGCAGTCTTACACAGGTACGCCATCCTCTCTTTGCACCTCTCCCTCTCTCTCTCTCTCAACCTCACTGACCTCTCTCTCTCTCTCTCTGGCTGGTGCAGCTGGATTTGCGACGCCTCTGGAGCACCTGGTGCTGTGCGCAGTCATGGGAGCTCCTCTAGTTGGGGCCTTCCTGGCCGGACATGGCTCCATAACCCTGATCTACGGCTACGTCCTGGGCTTCGACTTCCTCAGGTGTATGCTGCACAGCAACGTGGAGGTCCTCCCCCACTGGCTCTTCGAAGGCCTCCCCTTCCTCAAATACCTCGTCTCCACCCCAACGTAAGCCTCCCCGAAACCCTAACCCTTAAAACGCCCCGAGGACGGAGGGCTCCTCTTCCGACGAGCTGACATGACTGCCGCTGTGTCTGCAGGTACCACACGCTCCACCACAAGGAGAAGAACTCCAACTTCTCCCTCTTCATGCCCATCTTCGACGTGCTGGGTGGCACCCTCGACGCTAAGTCCTGGGAGGAGCACAAGAGGATATGCCAAGGTATGCATGCGGACACTTCCTCGCCATTGGATTCTCATCCCACGGCTGAAAGTTCCCCTAGCGGGAAGGCTGCAGTTCATTCAGTAGTCCCCGAAAGTTAAACTGTGCCCATCTGTGGGTCCGACAGGGCGCCAACGTCTTCATTTTCGCCCAAGCCTTCCTCTTCCTCCTCCTTCCGCCTTGTTTTCTTCTCCGGCTGAGCCGTGGACGCTATCTATGGTTGCAGTGAGGAACGAGGACGTGCCCGGGTTCGTGTTCCTGCTGCATGTGGTAGACGTGGTCTCGTCACTGCACGCGCCGTTCGTCTTCCGGAGCTACGCCTCCTTGGGCTTCGTCACGAGACTCGTCGTCCTCCCGCTGTGGCCGCTCGCCTTCTTTTCCATGATCGTTATGTGGATCTACTCCAAGACCTTCCTCGTCTCCTTCTACAACCTCCGCGGCCGCCTGCACCAGACCTGGCTCGTCCCCCGCTTCGGTTTCCAGGTACAGATCCTTCTCGTCGCAGCCCCTTCGCCGCCGGCGGGGCTCTCGAACTTGACCGGTCAGTTCTCTAACCCCCTGCGCTGTCCCGTGCAGTACTTCCTCCCCTTCGCCAAGGACGGGATCAACAAGCAGATCGAGCTCGCTATCATGAGGGCGGACAAGATGGGAGTGAAGGTCCTCAGCCTCGCCGCATTGAATAAGGTTGGTGGTCTCTCTCTCTCGCGTAGAGGGTGGTAGTTCATAATTGAGTGGAGGGAGTTGCGGTCTAACTGGGAGGTCTTTTGCTTGACAGAACGAGTCGCTGAACGGAGGAGGGACGCTGTTCGTGAATAAGCACCCGGACCTCAGAGTCAGAGTCGTCCACGGTAACACACTGACAGCCGCCGTCATCATCAACGAGATCCCCAAGGACGTCACAGAAGTGTTCCTCACCGGCGCCACCTCCAAGCTCGGCCGTGCCATCGCCCTCTACCTCTGCCGCAAGAGGATCCGCGTCCTGGTAAGCCCCACCCCCTCCCTCTCTTTCTCTCTATCGTTCTCTCTCTCTATTTGGGTGTGTGGAGGAGCCCATTTGATCAACGGAAGCTGGCTGGCATGGCAGATGCTGACACTCTCAGCGGAGAGATTCCAGAGGATCCAGAAGGAAGCGCCGCCGGAGCTGCAGCACTACCTCGTTCAGGTCACCAAGTACCAAGCCGCCCAGAACTGCAAGGTGATCACCGATCCTCCATTAATGGATGAATGGTAACTCCCCTGAGCAGCTCCCTAACCTACAAAATCCCCGTTTCCTGCCCAACAGACATGGGTCGTTGGCAAGTGGCTGAACTACAAGGAGCAGCAATGGGCGCCACCGGGCACCCACTTCCACCAGTTCGTCGTGCCGCCCATCTTCGGTTTCCGCCGTGACTGCACCTACGGCAAGCTCGCCGCCGTGCGACTCCCCGAGGACGTACAGGGCCTCAGCATGTGCGAGGTAAATCTCTCTACCCATCGCCGGCGCCGGCGGATTTTCCGGCAACACTCCGCCGGAGACTGTGACTGATCCCCGCTTGTTCTCTCCGGTGCAACAACAGTACACGCTGGATCGAGGCATCGTCCACGCCTGCCACGCCGGAGGCGTCGTCCACTTCCTCGAGGGGTGGACCCACCACGAGGTCGGGGCGATCGACGTTGACCGGATCGACGTTGTCTGGGAGGCGGCTCTCCGGCACGGCCTGCGCCCGGCGTGAAGCCACGGCGAAACTCCCCCACAATAGCCCTCCTCTTCTCCTCCTCCATTCAGCATTCATTTGCTCAAAGGTGTCTTCTTCACGTGTAGTGAAACACATCAGATTCTCATTAATATATGGGTTCTGCCAAATTTCTGCACTGGGTCCTCCCCATAGCCTCGGCTCGCTCGCTCGCTCGCTCTGGCTTCGCTCCACTGCTCACAGATTCCCTCGATGGCCACTGTGCTGGGCAGGCCGCAGGCGTCTTCTTTCTACTATTCCTACTGCATTTCCACGATAACACTTTAGAGAGAGAGAGAGAGAGAGAGAAAAAGAGTGGGGGAGGTGGCCTAACATGGGAAACGCCGCCGAAGGGCGCTGGTTAATGGCCATCAATGCGGATCGCCGGCGAACCCACCAGCGACCGGCCAAGACCAAAAGCGACGGGATGCAGGGCGGAGGCGGCGGAGATGTGAAGACAATGGTCTGCGGGGTCTGCCGGCCGGAGTAATGGCCGAGACAACCGTACCTGTGAGCCATAAAGGCGGCTCCGCTGCCACCGAAAGCACAGGCCGGAACCCTTGTGCCGATTGATTAAAGAGAGGAAGATTACTTCCCGGAGTGTGCCTGCAAGTCCTTCCATCCAGTACGGGAGGTTACAGGGTTTTAAAGGTCGCCTTGACCAGGGTTCTAGATTCAGGGTTCTCTTCATTTCATCTCTGGGCTCCACAGGGAGAGCGAGGTTGTGAGGATGGCGGCTGACCTAATCTCCCATCATGGCCAGCACCCACCATAAAAGGAATGATTCTACTCACAATATATTTCTAAATAATATAGAACAGCACGCTCGCCCATGATCCTCTTCTCTCCACCCACCGTCGTCTTCTTCCTCTTTCCTAATCCCCATGGATGCCCTACAATCCTTAGTTTAATCTCAACCACCGCCACCACCTCCTCCTGCTCCTCTTCTCTTGAAGCTTACAGAAGCTATGGAGGCATCTCCCTGCCAGCTAGCTCCACTCACACCATGCGCTAGCTCGCTTGGCTCCCCCTTCCCTTTCGTTAAACTAATTACTCCATGAGAAGGAAGCCGCAATAGGTAATCATGAAAGTACACTTACAGCCGCAGCATATAGACAGCTCCGCTGAGATTGCTCTGCCCGCATGGATCGCCTGGAGGGCGCAGGTTGCAGCTCGGCAGCTCCAGTCTTCTAGCCGGCGGCAGCTGACAGCGGGCTGAGCTCCATGGAGAAGCCGCTGATCAAGCTTGAGGACGGCAAGAAAAGAAACCCGGTAAGTGATGGACCAGGGCTTCTAGAGAGAGAGAGAGAGAGAGTTTTTTCCAGTGAGAGAAGCTGAAAGAACTTGTGCTCTGTGGCATGTGAAGGACGGAGATCATGGCGATACAGGGTCATTGCCCACATTGAAGATAGATGACGTCAAGGTAAAGAGACCAGTTTTGAAGTCGAGTGTTCTAAATATAATCAGGGAGGGGCCATGGGAAATACTTGTGTTGCTGACTGGTTCTGGTTTGAGCACCCTTTTCAGTCATGGATATGGCTGCAGCAGGCGATCCATCCGGAGGTGGACTATGAGCGCTGCATGCAGAAGAGATGGGTACTCTGTTGTTAATTCACAAGATATCAAATCAAATCCATAGAACCAAATAGAATAGATTATAGTTCAGTTTATCACATGAGGCTGGCCTCAAATCCATCATACAATCCAGTTTCATTGATAAAACTGCCATCATATGCATCTAAGCATGAGAAAAAATCATTAAACTTGATGGTCTGCTATCAGGGATTGGTTGTGCATTGAATGCCGGAGTTGCCCATGCAGATCTCGAGGAAGATCAAACCCTGGAAGGCTCTCTCTATAAAGAAATGGATTGATGAAAGGAAGCAGAGGCGGAAGGAAGAAGAGCGGCTGCAGAAGGCGGAGGTACACGCAGCAATATCAGTGGCACGGGTTGCCGCCATGTTGGCGGCTGTGGCCACTGATAACGCAGAGAGGAGCCAATCGAATCTCTCAAAGGAGACTGCAGTGGCATCAGCAGCGGCTCTTGTGGCGGAACAGTGTGCACGAGCAGCGCATGCTCTGGGCGCACGACAGGAGCATATTGCTATCACCCCTGTGAGCACCACCAATGCCACCGACATCCTGATGCTGACAGCGGCTGCTGCAACATGTATTCATGCCTTCACTTCTCAGCACCATTGATATTATTTCATAAAATAGGATGCACAGTTATTACCTTGCCAGGATGTTCTTAAATCATTCATGATCAGATGAGAAGAATAACTCTTTACATGCCAATTTCAGGAGGATTTCACTAGATTTCTCTTAGATCTGGTTCATGAATTAGGCACTAGCTCGATCAGTTTCACTGATGAATACATCAACACTTCTTAAGTGCATATGTTAGACCTTCAATCATAGACTAAAAGCAGATATAGATCAATCATCACATCCTCAGTTATTTCATCGAGATCCCCGAGAATAGCCCGCTCAGCACAGTGGCAGATTAAGATAGTAGCAAAAACAGCCAGCAAGAAACACATTCAACACTAAGCGCTAGTCCATGAAGATACTGATATTTATCAATATTGCGTCACAATGTCTTCTTTCTTCTCAATGTTAAAAGAGCACAGTTTTCATACGTTTCAGCATTGAGGGGCGTAGCGACCCTCAGAGGGAGATCAGGATCGAAATTTTTGCAGAACAACAGCACAACTACCATTTCAACAGGGGAATTTGATCTTGATTTTGAGAAGTGCATCGATTCGCTGGCCAAGGGTACTGAACTTCATGTGATGACACCAGATGGTATGCTGATGGAAATAACCTTTCATTTGCGTTTCTATTCTCGGGAAAATAAAATTCTTGTGGAGGCCCATTTTCTAAGACCATGTGGGGAGTTTGATTAAGTATTATTCCGTAACTTTGTTCTACTTGGCTGCAGGAAATTGTAAGATAAGATTAGTATCAGTCTTTCTAAACAAGGAGGCAAATGTCGTTCTCAGGGTTAAGAAGATAAATGCCTTGACGCCATTTTCCAGTGGAAAAGAGAGTAAGCCGAAAGTTTTTCCAGTTCATGATGTTATAAAAACTTGAACATTTTGGCAACACAGACCGACATTTGTGAACGCCAATCTATATTCCAGGTTTTGTATACAGCTTACAGAACAGCGAGGACAAAGAACCAAGCTCAGAAGAATATCCATCATACTCCATTGTTATGGCTACAAGTCACGGAACAACCAAATTGAGGATCAAGGATTATGTCTGCTACAAGATATGGATCACATCCATCAGCCATATGCTAAAGCTCTCCACAACCTTAAGCAATTATGAGCTTCAGTTTTACAGAAACTGACTCATTCGATTACAATATCTTTTGCCTTATCTCACTAAGAAATACTAATAAATGGAAGTGTATATAGGGCTGTGAGCAAGTTTTATTGTGTTTCAAATTCTAATATCATCATATTTTGATTTGAACATTTTAAGCAATAATGATTCATGTCTATATGTGTCAACCCTTGCACAACCGCGTGACACCGCACGTATCATCCTCAGAAGAATAGGGAATCGGGCAACCACAAATAACATTGCTGCTACTGTTTTTGGGCGTTTTATGCTGAAACAGATCAACCCAGAGAAGAAATCTTTCATGACCGACAAGAAATATGGCGCGTCAGACAAGTCTAATTGCTCAACGTGGAATCATTTTTTTCTTTTACACCAAACATTTCATCATTCATGCTAAAGCGGAAACGGACGAAAGAAAAATCATAAATGAACAGTATCAATTATTCATACCTAAATCATAGCCCCTAAACCGTTGGCTGAACTGAGGGAAAGTGACGATGGCCGCTAGTGATTCACGTGGACCCTTCCAAATACCAACAGCAGCGTCCTCTTTCCACGCGTCGTGCGACTCCCCCACATACAGGAATAAGACCTGACACAGAGCAAGCGTCATCACATTACGCCAAAGTTAACATTCTCGAGCTCCATTTGAGTCACATAATACGATCCCAATACGATCCAGAAACAACGCGAAGTCCATGCGGGGGAAGAGACACTCACTCTGTTCGGATCAAAGCGAAGACTGGCGCGCCGATGAGATGCCGCGACCTGCATTGGCAGATTCCTTCTCGTCGCACAGACGAGGATCTCCGCAAGAGGCCACGGCAGTGGCCAGCCGACCTCACAAGAACAACTAGGGCACGCAGCAGAACCTTAAATGGGCCCCGGTCCGTCCATTCGGGCCCATTTAAAAGCAACGGTCTGGGGCGTATCATGAGCCACGTGGCCGCCGATTACCGTCCCAGATGATCACTAAAATAGTCCCACATTAAAAAATAGTAACTTATTAAATTATTAATTATTTAATAAGTTTATTGCCTTTATAAATAATTTCAACAGGCTGAATCAGACTGACACGTGGAAAACTGACACGTCTACGTATACTGCTGACAAGCCCTCTCTCTCTCTCTCTCTCTCTCTCTCTCTCTCTTCTCTGACGACCACAAAACAAAAAAAAAAGGGGCAAATCCGTACGAGAACAGGCGGCGGCCCATTGGAATTCCACGCTTGTCTGAGGGGACAAGCTTGACGATCGCCCGATGACGTCATCATCGCATTAGTGGAATGGGGCGCGGGGGTTCCATCTCGGGGTCCACTGATTAAACGGTGGTTAGGGGTGCAAGTGGGCCCGGCCAGACAGCATCGGCCTCGTCACCTTCTGCAGCCTTTAGCTTCTCGGTCTTCGCGAGAATGGAGAGATCGGACGGTGCACATTCGTCGAGCCGACTATTGTCGTGTCCCTGTTACGTCGCACCCGCGGAGGAGCATACCGCTCCTTTTCATCCTCCCCCGTCTTCTTCCTCCCTCGCCTGTGCTTCGTCCTCTTCTTCCTCCTCGTCGTCTACTGTGGCCGTGGCTGCTTGCTCTCTTCCTGTGGCTATGGACGGAGAACTGTTGGAGGAATACATGGAGATAGCCAGCGACTACGAGCACGAACCCAGAACCGGCGGCGGGGAAGGGTACGCTACACCAGCGCCGCACCACCGGCGGCCGCCGCCGCCAGCGAAGTCGATCAAGGGCGCCAGGTTTCTCGTCGTGGTCCTCCAGGCCGTTGTTATGTCCTCGGCGCTGCTCCTCTTCTTCCTTTTCGCCGGGATCGCCGCCGTGGTGCTCCTCCATCTGTTCGTGGCGGGGAGGTCGCTGCGCCGCCGCCGCCGGCGCCCAGGCGGCTCCGTCGTCGTATCCAAGGTAGGGTTCGGCGAGGGGCTGTCTCAGGAGGAGCTCAAGAGGCTTCCCGCCTCCAGGTTCTGTGAGAATGGGGAATCGGGGGCGGCGGACTGCGCCGTCTGCTTGGAGGCTCTCCAGGATGGGGAGAGATGCCGCCGGCTCCCCCGATGCAGACACGTCTTCCACAAGGCATGCGTCGACAGATGGCTGGTGGCGGCGCCGGCGTGTCCAGTGTGCCGGACGGGGGTCCGCGAGGAAGCCGGCGGGCGGCGGCCGAGTTCCTCCGACGGAAGTCAGGTTCAATCTGTTCCTGTTCGTTAGATTAGTCTCTTCCTCTTGTTTTTCCAGGGAAATCTGCAGAAAACATGGATGTACATATGATCCTTCAATGGATCTCCTCTGTCGCTCGGATCTCCCCCTCCCCTTCCCTTTTTTTTTTTTCTCGTCTCCCATGATCGATTGCTCTCGAGCATTCTGGTGCCCGTTGCCGATCATTCCAGCGAAGATGAACAATCCGAAAATTCTCATAAAAACAAGCTTGGTACAAAGAATTGAGCTAGAAGGAAGGACACGAATCTGGGTAAGAATCGGGGCCAATCGCTGATTTCGTCTCTCTCTCTCTCTCTCTCTCTCTCTCTCTCTCTCTCTCTCTCTCTCTCTCTCTCTCTCTCTCTCTCTCTCTCTCTCTCTCTCTCTCTCTCGCTAGAACTGGTACAGATTACGAACACAACACAGTCTGTCCGACCTTCTTCAAGATCTTCACCTTCTGTGATTCCGGGAGGGCGTAGTTCTTCTCAACCTCCCAGGCCTGATGAGACATGGAGTTGAAGGTCGACTTCACCCCCTTCTCGTCGGTGACTTCTCTGGGGAAGGGAATCCGAGCTTCGAACACTTCTTTTTCGGAGTAAAGATACAGATCAAACCCTAACCTGTCGACCCAGATCATCTTCGAGTCCACCACCTGTGAAAAAACAGCCGATTCATGTCATACAATGCTCCTCCACTTCATCTCCCAACTCAATATCACAAGAACTCCCACCAACTTTCCAGATTTCAAATAATCCGATCATCATCTGGCCCAAAACGGATGATTCCTTCAATATCCAAAGAGTGCATCGAAGTTTATGGGCAAATTCATCTCACGGTTAGATGCCAGATTTCTGTGTGAACACTGAGGAATATAAAGTTTCCAAGGAAGATAAAGATCGAACTGGGTGATCTAGCATGGAAGAACACACTGCGATTACCCACATGACAAAATCATCAAGATGAACTAACCTGAAATTCGGTCTCAACATGGGCACTGCTAAGTCGTTGGACATCCTCAGAATGCTCGGTGTTCATCTCGTGCACAATCTTCTCGGCGCAGTTCCGAAGTGGGTCTGGCTCTGCGTTCCCATACTCCACAGAATTCACCCAAATCCCATCCTGCAGACATGAAACTCGCTCACATAAATATGCATTTTTATTCAAGACTTTATTCATTGGCGACAGCATTCATCTGGGAATCCATCTGTGCGTGTGTTCATTGTGATTGGATCAACTTCTAAAAAGAGAAAGTCTACGAATGACTGAAATAGTTTATCTTTCCGGAAACATTTAGCTGACAATGGACCCAATTCTATAACATTTTAGGGTTTCATACTACAATTCCGGTTGTATGTATATATATAGATAATGGAGCCTGATATCCCTCCTCCACTATTCTCTTCTGCTTATATAACATCCATATCTACTTTCCGAGAAGGGATTCAAAACTGTTCTTGGGGAAAACAGCAGTCATAAACAGAAAACAGATTGGCAGTGCCTAATGCTGAAGAGACGCATACCTCATTGAAATCCGCAATGCATAGCACCCGTTCAACAGAGACAAGGTATATGAACTCTTCATCAAGCTCTTCAGCAAATCTCCTCTCCCATTTTCTCTGAAGGTCCTGAAAATGCCAGCCAGTCAATGAAGATGGTATTGGCTATTGAATCCAATGTCTTCACTCTATGGTAAGTAGCAACCTACGAAAGCTATTTGAAAAACATAGAGTTTTTCAGCTAGGTTCAGATCATTTGATGTCCCCAGTCTTTAGGAAAACTATAGAAACTGGTGCAATAAGATTAAAATTAACAAGTTAGAACGAGAAAATGACCCACAAGTGTAAGACTGCCATGAAATCTTCACATTAAACGGTTTGTTCAGGTGTTGCTTTTGAAGATTCAACAACTATTCAAAATATATCGCGAGAATGCATACCTACTTCTAGATTAAGAAACAGTTGGGAATCGCATTCAGCCTCTAAAGCCATAAAAAATCCCAAATAAATGTGTTCATAAGAAATTTCACCCCGCGAGAGATATGAAATCCAGTATACTTCAATCAACCCATCAAATTCTCAGAGAATGCAAACATATCTTCAGAGAATGCACGTCTGATTCAAGAACTTAAAAGCAGTTGAAGGATTCTTTTCGATACCCAGAGTCATCACAAATCTCAAATAAATTTCTTAATTCGACGTCATGCTCTGAAAGTGATTAGAAATCCACCATGCTTCAGTCACCTGATCTATTCATCCCTTCGGGAAAGCAGACAACTGAGTCATTCTAAAAATGGGTAAAGCCACAGGCCACTTTGCAAAGCAGTAGATACGTAGACAGTCAACGCGGGTGGATATCTTCTCAAGGTGAGAGCATAAAATCCATGGAAGAACTCAAGAAGGATGAACACAGGCGAGGAAAACAACCTTCAGAAGCAACCCATGTTCCGGTTTGGTGAGGCTCCCCAGCAGCGTGCACTGAGGAGTCCGCAACCCACTTTGCTCCAGCTGTTCAAGTTTTTGGGGGTGAATCAGTAAAGGCGCAAGAACAGTGGCGGACTTAGAAAACAGATCGAATTGCCCGAGCACCACCAGAGTGTGGGGTATGTTCGCCCCCAAACGTCTACCTGGACGTGGAAGCTGGATTTGCCGCCGACGGAGAACCTCCCCGCTTCGATGTTCTTGAGGCAAATCGCCGGGGATCCATCCATATCCACTACGAATCGAGCGCCTACGCCCAGTGGCCAGCCGTCTGGCGCGACCGCGGAGAGAGTCCCCGTGGAGGAGAGCTCCATGACCGTCCTGGCAACCTCGGCGAACGACGGCTTCACGGGGCCCGCCGCCAGCACCACGCCCCCAGCCGGCGAAGCCGCCTCCGCGACGGAGGCGGCGCTGCAGCGAAAGGGCCGGGGGGAGGCGGAGGACAGCCGGAGACGCGCGTGGTGGCGATTGGGGACGCGGAGGAGAGGGGAAACGGCCGGGATGGTCCTCCCCGAAGGGGGGAAAGGGGATGGGAGGAGCAGCGCGCGCGCAGACGCCGGCGGCATAGCTTCGGACTCTAGATCAGGCAGCAGCGGCGGCGAGTGGTGGCGCTGCTGACGTGGAGCCGGGCGTGTGCTCCCCTCCTCCTGGATAGCTCCTCCGCCCCTCTTCCCGACTTTCCAGAGATGTAATCCTCTCTCTCTCTCTGAGCGCACAGGATGTAAGCTTCAACAAGGTGCCTTGGTTATTGGACCCGGTTGGGCCTTCTGATGTGTGCTGGCCCATTTGAATGTATTGGTCCCTGAATCAAGCTCCAAATGGAGGGGTGGGGTGGGGGGGGGATTCAATAAGCCTAATCAAGCGCATGATCTAGACTATGCTCTCTAATCCAGTAAATTAATAAGAATCGCAAGGGAAATTTGAGATATGATTATCACAAGCTTTCAAAGGTTTATGAAGAGATGTGCAAATAATTAGGCATATTGAACATGAAAAATAAATGAACAAGTTTGGAATGCTATGGTTTAGCGGACCACATACATCTACTCTCCCAAGAACTCTCACCACTAGATTGGACTTTGGTTAATCTACATAAACATCACACTAGGTACTTGACAAGTATATGACCTAATATATGTTAGTGTTCTCATACTTCTCTATAGTGCTTTTACACAACTAATACATAAATAGAATGCCATTTATCAAGTCAACCATCATTTTTTTTTTTCTTTCACTTTTTAGCTAGCTAAATGATCTATCAAGGCATTGTCACATCATTGGGTTCAAGTTGTGGTCAACTTTGAGTGCAAATGCTGCCTCTCGATTCAACCTAGAACACCATTTAATCAAATGATATAATATAAAAATATGATTTTTTTAAAACAAGTTTTGTTTGAGACTTTGTGGTCAAAAAAAAGATTTCTTAGTGTGGAACAAAGTGGTATAATCTCTTCACCTCTAGTAGGTTGGATTCTATGTATAATATGATTTAGTAGCTTTGAAACTCTCATAGTAAACCTTCTTCCTTCAAGGTGTTGGAATCCTAGTTTTGTTAATGATGTGAATTAAAAGTTGGATCAACCAGAATTAAATGTGGATCTTTGAATGCCTTTTTGATCACAATTAATAAGTTCTAATCCCCATAATTCATGAGTCTAATTCAATGAACATATTAAAGGTTTTATCCACAAACTTCAAATTGGTTGATTTACTCACACTAGTTGAAATATTGGTTATGGATGAGACATCAAGTTATAAAATACTCCTATCAACCATGGACTAAATATTGTAATTATTAGACCAATTCTATAAATTTGATGAAGTATAATTTTTTCAATTATACTATATGGATTATTTAAAACAATCAATAAAGGTTACATATTTCCCACCAGCTTACAACAAGCTATGCATTGAATACACCATATATAGTCCTTGAGATATTTTCATGATTAACTTAATTAACACTACCATGATAAATTAAGGTTTCAGAATTGAAATTTATAATTTTTATTGGTAGTTGAAAATTTAACTCATTCAAATAAGTTTTAGACCCCTATTTCTATCACATATTTAAGCATTCATGCACCGTATGGAAAGATATTTGAAAGAGGAAGATGGTATAATAAATGAAATCTAGAAATTTTCTGATTTTATATGAATTTTTTAAAATACTTTTGAGTATTTTTCTACCCAGGATTTTGTTTACTGATGTGATAACTAATGCCCAATTTTCAGCCATCATTAGTTGCCACAAATGACCATGAGAAGCCTCTAAATTCAACTTATAAATATGTGATTTTACTTAACTCTTAAGGAGGAGGAACTGGAGTGCAATAATAATCCAACCACTTAAAATGATTAATTGAACATGTTTAGAGCCCAAATAGAAAAGAAGATTCATTACTACTCAATATATTTTGAGAATGAGCTCTCTCATACGATTTTGGGACTGCCCAAACAACAACTTGTGAAGACCAACATATGTAATTGCATCAAAGTGGTCCCCATATGAGGAAATTATACAATAAGAATATATGCTTTTATTATTTATATTTTTACCTCCATGGTATCAATTATTGATAGCAAAGGCTAAAGTTTATAATGCATTTGGACTCAAATTTGACAATAGTTTGAACTATCTAATGAGATAAAACCACAAAGTGATGACACAAGCTAAAGCTTTCTACAAAGTTGAGAAGTAGCAATGATGTGATAGGTTGTCTAATAGGTCAAAGCTAAGAGTCTCATCAAAGCTAAAGCTTTCTACAAATTAACTCTACACAGATTGATATGTCGAAGCGAAGAGTTAATGAGGGAATGGAAAGCATCATGATAGACTATGTGGTGAGTAAGGCTATTAAGTTAATGAGGGATTCTCTTAAATAATCTTATTTAGTGTGTGAGTACTCATATTAATACATGTTAAATATATTGATACCTCACATCAATATTTGTGAGAAGTGTTGATACTAGATAAATGAGTTGTAGTCTATGCCTCTAAATTATGTAAGGATTATTGATAAGTCTTCATTATCATGAGTTAATAATTAACTAATAATATAGTTTTAGCCTTAACTCATGATAAATTTATATTTATGTTAAATTATGAAAAAAGAATTTTTAGTTGATTAATGTGAAATTTTAGTTAATTATGTGATTTTATATAATTTTCATAATCTTATTTTTGAGATAAATAAAAAGAAATAAAATAAAATAAAAAGATAAAAAAAGAGGATAACTTGCTGTCATCTGGACTCACAAGTGTGTTAGAACCACAATTAAGTGGAGCCGCAAGTAGTGGGCTCGAGTGGTTAAGGACAGACCAATAGAGGACACGTGTGCATCACTCTCCTTCCACATCACTGGTGGTTAGTTGAGTGTAAGACAAAGAGTGGTTATATACATGCAAAAGTGAGGTTTATTAATCGTAATATCTTCTATTATTATACATATGTTTCCAAACTTCTAAAATAACCGATATTAGACTAAACCGGCTCCCCGAAGGTTTTTAATAATTTTAATACCTAAAATACCCTTTATTTATAAGAACGAGATACTATGATAATGTTAGTATATAATAATATTCCTCTATTTATTTCACTCTTTTTAATACAAGTTTGCAACTGAAGAGGGTTCGAATTCTACTAGAACTAAAACTCATATTTTTATCTAATTAAATCATGATTTTTCTGTAAATTTCTAGTGAACAATTAAGTTGTTAGATTTTGTGGAGCATTATTATTAAAATTATCAAATAATTCTAGATAAAAGGATCGTGAATCCATCAAGTAAATTATCTTCGATTAATTGACGAATAAGCCGTCATTGAAAAGAAGATGATTTACTAAGAGACAAGTCGTCACCTCTTGAGAGCATATTAGATGCGATGAAGAACCTGCTCTTATTGCTCAAACATGAAGATGAAGTTCTCTAAGACGTGCCACCTTCATCCAACTCATCTACATATGTGACAGTTGCTGGAAAATCACAAACTCGTCATTTGAGGGTGTGGACATTGTATGACAATCCTCTTGAATACTTAAGATTCGATACATCGTCAACGCATTATCATCGTGATGTCAGAACTTTATTTTACTATTTTTTAACTAGTTTAACTTCCACCATCATTTTTTGAGCTTCAAAAGGAGATCCAACAAATGTCTAAATTATCTATATTCAAATAGAGCCTTTGTGTTTGTGAACATCGTATGATAACTATCCCTAATATGCAGGCTATTCCGGACATCACCCTAAACTCTGTATTTATTATTTTTAACTTAATTTTTATTTAATTTAGTGATTCTTTGTGTGATTTCAAGTTTTGAAATTTTTCTTCATTAATTTACGATTCGTCTTATTTTTACAGAACTTAATTTGACCTATTAAATCATTTGTAATTGCTTACATAAGAATTGTTGAGTAGAACTTTATTTTTGCCTGATTTGCATTTGTTAGGTGTTGACGTCATCCTAACATTCACACCCTTATTTCCTTTTTTTGTAAATTTTTAAATATATTTTATATTCATCATTTAGTCTAAAATTTATAAAAAATAGTTTCTTTAGAAAATAATAAAATATTACTCAATATTATCTTACATTCGTATGATCGACTTGGAAATTTCTCACTATTTTTAGAACTTTTTATCGAATTATAATTAGTTTATTTCTTTTAATGTTTTTCTAAAAATTTAAAAAATAATATTTTCTAATTTTATATATTTTCAATTTATGTGATTTATTATATAATAATTGTCACATTAATTATGATATTAATGACTTAAAATGAAAAATATGGTACATGTCTTAAAGATTTGGAGACAATGTCTTTTGGTGAGACTTTTGAAATTTCTTTATATTATGAGTTTTAAAACAAATCTAAAATAATTAAATATGAGACAAACATACTAGTTGGACTTTGTCTAGGACTATAACTTCACAGTTTCAAACCACCATGGTAAGGTTCATGTTCATGTCCACATATGTAATATAAGTGAAAGTTTTATGGTAAAATTAGAGAGGCTTTAAATAATATCATCTATTGGTTACTTGATATACCTCATGAATTAGTAGAAGTTAAAATAGTTAACTAAAAATCTGTGATTCATCAAATTAGAAGTTTAATGTTTGTAAATAACAAGTGCATGAAGTACTATGAAGCATAAAGTTACTATTACTCAAAATATGGTATTGTACTTGTTAATTAAAACCATATTAAGATTTGTGACTTGAGATTAATATGAGAAAAGTAATAATAGAAATTTATGTGAATCAATCATAGTGTTCCAAATCTACTTTGTGATTCCAAAGTTTCATGTCAATATTGTGTTAAACCTTTGACATATGAGATGAATATAAGTATATGTTATGTGATAGACACATACATGTCAACTTTAGAAATGATAATTTCATATTGTCAGCAATAATTACCTATTCAAAATATGAGCTGAATAGAAAATACAAATATATTTACTAGGCCATTTTTGAAAATCAAATGTCATAAGAATAGATGAAATTAAAGAAGTATTGCATCATTTTGATAGTAGTGACAACTTTTCCTCATGATATATGTTTGAGAATACATCATGCGAAGCATGTGAACAACATTGTATTCTTCTCTTTTTCTATCAAACTCCCTCTTTCTATTCACTAAAAGGGTGTACATGGCCTTAATGATGCTCTTCTAAAAGAATAATAGCAATAGTAATAATAGTAACACCCCCCACATCCCCCCTACCTTCGACTATTTCTAGGATACTTATATTTGTTGAGAATGTCTAGTTAAAAGTACTTGAGTAGCAACACCCCATTTACTTGTTTAGCATGCTAGGAGGGTACCCTTGTTCTTTAATCCCAACCTTAATTTTTTGTACTTTCTTTTTTCCCATTTTACATACCAATAATTTTTCCATCCTATATTTTTATGATAATACCCATTAGGTGATTTTTCTTCAAATATGATTTTAGTACTTGACAAATTAGAAATTTACAATTGGGTCTAATTTTATTCATAATATTCAAAAATATTATTTACCATAAAAGATAAAACTAAGGCATTGTGGAGATGTAGGTTAATGATCAAGATATCAAAAGATAACTTATGAGTTTTGACTTTAAAATATTAAAGTTATGATGTTTGTTTTTGTTGAAATGAAGAAAAAAACTTCATCATGAAGGACATAAGGGAGAATGGCAGAAACTACCTTGCTCATTCTTTCATCCTTAATTTCTCTTAAATAGGGATGAACCCTACATGCATTTTCTCATAAGACCCTTGGTCATTTACAATATTACACTTATATATTCTAATACTCCCTTTAGATGAACTTTAGAAAAGTTCACCTTGATGACATAAATTGCCTCACCCATTCATTCATCCTTAAAGTCCCTTAAATATGGACAAACCCTATATGCACTTTCCCATGAGACCCTTAGTCATTTATAATATTACACATATCTTCTAATAATTTTTGTATTCCAAATCTAGCTAAACTTCCTTAATAATAGTTAGGGAAAGCATATAGATTATATTATACTATTTATTTGAGAAATAACAAGATGTACCAAGACTTTCATCTAAATATGTAACATGTTAGTAGATTAAATCTTGAAAGGCCTGAAAGGCTTGGTGAACTCTTGACAGTGTCTACATTTCATATCTATCAATTGGTCCAAACATTGGAAGGTTTGTGAAAAACATATATTAATGTGATTATGGATCTACATATCATCCCCAATTAGATTATACATGATGGAGATCCTTCGATTACTTTATGGTTCTAATACAATTTACAAGCTATCCTAAGTACTCGATTAAAATACAACTTATTATATCATTTATGAACTGAAGATTTTGATGGAAAATTCAAACTTTGAAAATATTTCGAGGGTATACAATTTGAGGTGGAAGAATAATTAGGATAAATCCCACCATACTTGAGAGTATTGTTCCTAATAATTGTAATCACCTTGGTGCTATACGGTCTCCTTGTGAGGGTCTTCATAGTTGACTTTGCTACTCACTAAGTTAGTAGAAGTAGTAGTTAATTAGATTTAATATTTTACATAAATTAATTAGAAAATGTGAAATTTATTTGAGAAAAACAGATATTAACAACAAAAGGTAGGTAGAAGAGTTGCGTTAATACTAAGTATTGTGGCATAACATTTAATGAAAGAGATGGTGTGCTTTTCAGTTTTTAACATGAAAAAGAGTTCAGTTTTGGAAAGAAGAGTAAGTTATAGCTGCATTTTATTAGCCCTTTATAATTGTTTGGATAAGGTCAATGATTTGACAAACTGTTTGACTTTTCATGCGCAAGCATATAGTTTCTTTGAAAATACATTTGAGTGCCCATCTCATGAAATTGACAATGCACCCTACATCTTGGATTGCATTTAAAATAATAATAATATCACACCATGATGTTCATGTTTTGATGTATTCTATATCTTTTAGAAAAAATATAAATATTTCATTTACGTTCCTCTCTTAGTAATTTTTTATTTATTACATTCTACTACTTGTCATGTTGTATATGTTTTTTATCTAGTATTTTTATTTTAAACTATTATTTGTTTTTATATATATTTTTCATATTTATTTTGTGATGTGTATATATATATATATATCTTTTTTTGACATTTCTATAAGAATTACCAATAAAAAATATTACTCAACTAACCATCAAGTTGACAATTCAAGTAGCACCCCATGTGGAATTTTTTTGCCGACCTAGTTGAAGTCACATGTGCTTAAATTATTCTCTCTCTCTCTCTCTCTCTCTCTCTCTCTCTCTCTCTCTCTCTATCATTGTTCCCCCAGCCTCCCTCCTCTCCCTCTCAACCCACTGGGTAAGTTGACGAAAATCTAGAAGGTTCCCCTTCCTTTCTCTCTCTATCTCATATAGTGGGTCTTTCGAGACTCCAACTTGGAAGTCACTTTTTGGGCTTTTCTCAACCTTTTGGGCCCATTTGGTTTTGTAAAGGGATATTCAGGCTCAACAAGTGCTGGGGGCCAACTCCGGCCACATTAATGCCTTTTTATCTTCATTTAATTATTTATTTATTTGGCTTATGTAAGCCCTTTGTTCGTCAGCTATTACAACGCTGAAGATGATCTGGCCGCATGTACGCTTATATAATTATTTTTAGATAAACCCCTTACTTTTTCATAAATCACACTATTTATCTCACACTCATCGACATTATTTTACTTCACCATTTTTATCTTTTCGGTCTCCCTTCTTGCACCAGCTAATAAATATTAATTACAATAATATAACTAATATTATCAATAATAATAGTTTGTCTTCCGGTGGGGCCCAGTCAGTAATCAGACGGCCCTCGTTGCCCTGAACCGAGGATATCCGATTATTCAATGTTTGGCGGCGGAGCGGCGCTGCGGTGGTGGCGGGATGCCGAATTCCGTGGCGGCGGCGGTTTCCTTTCCCCGGGCCAAACGGCTTTACAGCTGGATTTTTAAAAAAATATTAAACTTGAAATCCGCCCACAACTTTATGGAGCCTCTTGGGCACTATTTAGTAAAACGGTTCCCACCAAAACGCCAAAAAGGAAGCCCTAGTGGATTGACTGGAGCGGAGGAAAATTCACCGCCGACACTGGATAAATGTCGTGACTCTCTACAGATGGGCCGCAGTGATCGACGTGGCGCTCGGCTTTGTTTCGGATAAACATGCCGGGGCCGAGCTGACGCTGTCAAGGACACGCGTCACGGAAGCGACGCACGGTCTGCCACATCATGCGGCTGGTGAGGTGGGCCCCGCGTCGGCGGATCAGGAACGACGGCGCCTCACCGCGTCCTCTTTATCTTCGCGCCCACGTTTCAGATCCCGGTCCCACTCTCTCTCTCTCTCTGTATATATCTCTCTCTCTCTCTATTTTTCTCTTTATCCACTGCAGAAGGAGCCCACTTTCGAAGCTTTCTCTCTCTTCCATCTTCTGTACGCTATCCCGGAGGAGTCTGTTTGCCTGCTTCCTCTCCCCCTTTCTCCTACCTCGTCTGGAGCGGCCGGCAATAGCGGAAGCCCAAACCCTAGCTAGGGCCGGAGACGACTTCCCCTTCCACGGCGGCGAGAATGCCATCGCGCTCCTGCGTCGACCTCTTCGATCTGGTGGACCTGCCTTCTCCCACGAGGCCGCTTACCCCTCGGCTCCCCCGAGTCATGGCCTTCCCCGGCATCATCTCCGATTTCGGCGACGGCGATCCCTCCTCCGGCGGCGGCGCCGGGGGAAGCTGCGGCTCTCCCGTCCCCCGGCAGAGGAGGATCATCGTCACCAACCAGCTCCCTCTGCGCGCGCTCCGAGAGCCCTCCACTCGCCGGTGGCAGTTCTCCTGGGACCAGGATGCGCTCTCCCTCCAGCTCCACGCCGGATTCCCCCAAGGTACGGAGGTCGTCCATGTCGGGACTCTGCATCCGCCGGACACAGATGCTGATGCGGCCGTCGATCCCGCGGAGAGGGAGGAGGTCTCTCAGATCCTCTACGACCAATTCCGCTGCGTTCCCGTCTTCCTCCCTCCCGAGGTTCACAACCGGTTCTACCATGGATTCTGCAAGCACTACCTCTGGCCGCTGTTCCACTATATGTTGCCCTTCTCCCCCGCTGACAGGGGGGGAGTCCACTTCGATCGCTGCCTCTGGCAGGCCTATGTCTCCGCCAACAAAGCCTTCGCGGACACCGTGACCGAGGTCCTCAATCCAGACGAGGACTACGTCTGGGTCCATGACTATCATCTCATGGCGCTTCCCACCTTCCTCCGGCGGCGATCTCACCGTGTCAAGATCGGATTCTTCCTCCACTCCCCATTCCCGTCGTCGGAGATCTACCGGACTCTGCCTGTGAGGGACGAGATCTTGCGGGCGCTCCTCAACTCTGACCTCATCGGGTTCCATACCTTCGACTATGCCCGCCACTTCCTGTCCTGCTGCAGCCGGATGCTGGGGATCGACTACGAATCAAAGAGGGGGTACATCGGTCTGGAGTACTACGGGCGGACGGTCAGTATCAAGATCCTCCCCGTCGGTGTGGACATGGGCCTGCTTGAGAGGGTGATGCAGTCTCCGGAGGCCGGGGAGAAGGTCAAAGAATTGTCGGAGCAGTATAAAAACCGGACGCTGCTGCTGGGCGTGGACGACATGGACTCATTCAAGGGCATAAGTTTGAAGTTCCTGGCCATGGGACAGTTGCTGGAAGAGCACCAGGAATGGAGGGGTCGGGCAGTCCTTGTTCAGATTGCAAACCCGGCAAGAAGCAAAGGTAAAGATGTGCAGGAAGTGCACGACGAAATGCGCGAGGTAGCGGAGAAGATCAATGGTAGATTCGGCACACCAGGTTATGAACCAATCGTCATAATTGACCGACCTGTGCTCACCTACGAGAAGCTAGCTTACTATGCGATTTCAGAATGCTGCGTGGTGAACCCAGTCAGAGATGGTATGAACCTTGTGCCTTACAAGTACACGGTATGCCGGCAGGGAACACCAGCATTGATGCATTCACCAAAGAAGAGTATGATCGTGGTTTCAGAGTTCATTGGCTGCTCCCCATCGCTGAGTGGTGCGATCAGAGTGAACCCGTGGAATGTTGATGCAGTGGCTGACGCATTGAACCTGGCCATCAAGATGCCAGAGGCAGAGAAGCAGATGCGGCATGAGAAACACTTCAAGTACATCAGCTCTCATGATGTAGCATATTGGGCAAGGAGCTTCGACCAGGACTTGCAGAGGTCCTGCAAAGAACATTTCCTGAAGAGGTGTTGGGGAATTGGGTTTGGTCTGGGTTTCAGGGTTGTGGCTCTCGGTCCTCATTTCAGGAAGCTCTGTGTTGAGCACATTGTTTCAGCGTACAGAACTTCTAGCAGCAGATTGATATTGCTTGATTATGATGGAACAATAATGCCCCATGCTTCGGTGAATAAGACTCCAAGTGATGAGATCATTGCTGTGCTGACCAGTCTATGCAGCGATCCCAAGAATGTCGTCTTTGTTGTCAGCGGCAGGGACAAGGATTGCTTGAGTAAGTGGTTCTGCCCTGTTGAGAAATTGGGTATCTCTGCTGAGCATGGCTACTATACCAGGTATGTTCATCTTCTCATTATTGGTGTACTAGATATTCCAAAAATGTATTGAAATCATAGGTAAACTAGATGAGATGTGTTCTTGGAATTTTCTGATGATTTAAACAGAGCATCATCATATCTCCGGAAACTATGGGGTTGCTATATTCTCTATAATGATCTGGCAATTTATGGCACAGTTTGATATCTGGGTATTTGAGGAATTTTGATGTTTCAAGTGAGGTAAAATTCGTCAGATTTTGTTGAAAATAAGAATTTACCAGCCATGAAACATGTTTGTCCAGGTGGTCCGCAGATTCTCCATGGAAGAAGTGCTCTCTATCCGTTGACTTCAATTGGAAAAAGATTGCAGAGCCCGTCATGAAGCTGTACATGGAGACGACCGATGGTTCATCCATTGAACACAAGGAAAGCGCGCTGGTTTGGCATCATCAGGACGCTGACCCAGATTTTGGGTCTTGTCAGGCTAAAGAACTTCTCGATCACCTCGAGAACGTGCTCGCCAATGAGCCTGTCGTGGTCAAAAGGGGGCAACATATAGTCGAAGTCAAACCTCAGGTATCATACGCGCGCACCTTTATTTCTCTTGCAGCATTATTATACTTATTCGAGTATCTCAGATTTTCTTAAACTATTCCCTTCCGAATCTCTCCATTACAGGAATAAATACTGATAATTTCCATATATATCCGTTATTATTTCTCGTGGATCATCATTATTCGTTCCAAATTTCTCCAATTATCGGCAGAAATGTCGATATTTTCCATAGACATTCGTCATTATTTTGTTTTGCATCGTTATTAGTCTTATTGGGTCTGTTCCCTTCCAGATCTTTCCGCTGTACGCTTAATTCTTGATATTCTCCAAATATCTCCATCATCATGATCATGCCCAGTTTGGAAGTGAAAACACTACATTTTGACAAAAAAGTCAACTGTAATCTGCAGGGAATCAGCAAGGGGATGGCGGTCGAAGATCTCATCTCCACAATGTCAACGGGGGGGAGGTCTCCAGACTTCATCCTGTGCGTGGGAGACGATCGATCCGACGAGGACATGTTCGAGAAGATCTCAAGCTCTTCGGGGGTCTTCGCCTGCACCGTCGGCCGGAAGCCGAGCAAGGCCAAGTACTACCTCGACGACCCGGCCGACGTGGTGAGGATGCTCCAGGGCCTGGCCACCTCCACCGGCGCCGCCACCCGGCCGCCCAAGCCCGCCGCCAGCCCCCCCGTCTCCTTCGAGCGATGACCTCACTGGCGGCGCCGCCGCTCAGTACATACATATATATCCCGCCGCCGCCCGGCTCCGGAAGACTTGGAGGGTGAAGGTGGGGGAAAATCTGTCTGGGTATAGAAGTCAGCGGCTTATAGATGATGATGATGCGGCTGAATCGTCGCACAGTTTTGCAGAGGATGTTGTTCTTGGGAGTTCAGACGTTGACCTTTGTGGGTCCTGGCCGTTGGATCGGACCGATCCGGGTTCAGGCGGACCCGAGTCGTCGCCGATCCTGTCTTCTTCCCCCAATTGTTCCCATTCGATTTTTTTCATGAGGTGAGAGAGGGAGAGAGAGAGAGAGAGGTGTTTCAAAGTTATTTCCTATCTCATGTGGTGGGGTTTTTGAGAGAGAAAGAGAGAGAGAGAGAGAGAGAGATTGAGTTCTGTCATGGCTCATATTCTTCATAGGTTTTGAGGCGGAGTCATTGAGGAAATTTCCTAAAAAACCGATGATCTTCCCAACGGTTTGGGGGGACCAACGGCCTAGATTTGTCGAATTGAAGATCTCACGCGGAGCGACAGATGGACGGTTTCGATCAAATCACGTTGAGCCCGACACCCCGCAACCAACGGGCATGAACGATGTGCCCTGCTAGCCGGCCCGTGAGGTCAAAGATCAAACGACCCGACTCTCTCGCACGCGCGAGTCGGGCCACTGGGAGAGAGAGAGAGAGGGGGGAGCCTTTCACGTGATACGTGGCGCGTCGTCCTTCGTCCATGCAAGAGAGGAGAGCGGGAAAAGGACCTTCCCTTCCGCGATCGCAGCATGACGAGGAAGACGGCGGCTTGATGCTTATCGGAGCAACACCCTGGGCCATCCCTAGAACATTCTCGATAACATTCTCTCTCTCTCTCTCGTCCATTTTGTGGCAGGCGGACGATCTTGAGGAGTCGTCGCCTTGTGATGGAGAGACGGTGGGGATCGAACATGACAGAGGGGAAGGAGCAGATGGAGGAGTTCCTGGGGGACGGGAGTGAAGACGGCGATGCGATCGACAATGGGAGCAGGAGTAGCGGAGGAAGCAGTGACGGAAAGGACGAGGAGATGAGGATGGGGATGGGTGAGGATGATTCTCCCCCATCTTCTCCATTCTATTCCCGGCAGTGGCCACGGAGCTTCAGGCAAGGCCTCTTTGTTTACTCCTCCGCCATTGTCAGCTTGTGATTATTTGTCCATTGATTTCTTTAATCGTGCCATTCCTTATTCCATCGGATGATACCTAAATGAATTTCTGTGCCCTCAGAACTGCACCCATACCTTGCTTTTCCTGCCTTCTTCATGAGCTACTGCCTGTTCTCTCTTACATTCTCATTCGAATTTGAATGTGTGGCTCTACTCGTCCCCAGTAGTCTATTCCACTTCATCTGGTTTTGAGAATAAGGCGGGAACGGAATATTTATTTTAAATTGGATAGTTGGAAATGAGGCGTGAAAATCAGAATTGAGTTCTGAGTGACTTTTGAAACCAGACGAACGAAGTCGAACTAGTTGCAGGAAATTTTTATGTAGTCCACTAGGAGTCCAACAAAAGGCATTTTATCCCTTTGGCTCCAGTTGGAATTCACAGTAGCATTTGTTAAAAACCAAGTAAACCAGAAATGAATTATGTAGATCGTCGATATTCCGAACTTGGATTTAAGGTAAAACTAAGGCTTTATACAAACTAAATCACGATCAATATCTTGTTCGTCCCACAAAAAATGTGGAAAAATAAACTCAACAGCTGACTTTTGGGTGTCTGTTTATGGAGTGGTGGGTGGTGGCTTTCAGAATGGATCTGACTCAGTGGTCGACAGTTGGAAGGGATGGGCAGAAGAGAATCGAATTCAGACGATAATGTGATTATAAACTTACAAGCCGATGCCAATGAACGAAAATAAAAAGGTTATGTGGAACGTTCAGATTATATCAACTATACATTTCGTTCAGTAAAATTGAATAAATGGGGCTCACACTTTGCCGTAAGTTGATCTTCTTGGATGATGCCTCGGAGTGCGTTTGTCATTCCCTTTTCCTCATCTCTGGGTTCTCTCAGTCTTGATTTACAATGCTCCGCCTGAGTATTGGCTTCTGGATGACAGGGAAACAACTGATTCTTTCACAATATCACCGTCCCCAAATTTTCGATTCATTGGACGCGCTACTAGTCAGAGATCAAATTCCAACCTCTACAACCAGACTGAACATGACGCTGACCTGAAGTCGCCTCTACTGTCTCAGAGCTCATATGTGCCTGAAGATTCAGATAAAAACTTTCAGCAATCATACAGATCAACCTCCGATAAGGAAATATCTTTTCACGTGCAATATACTGATAAAGGGTATACTCGCCAAAGATGTAACTTAACACAGACTGTGTTTAATGGTAAGCTGTGTTATTAACCTTATGCTTTTGTTTTGCTTTTAAGACTATCTCTAGATCACAATTAGTAAGATTTGGATTATCCTTGTCAATGCTGGTCTTCATATGGATCGTAAGATTCCTAATGGGACGTTCCTTTTTATTTACTTTTTTCGTTTTAAACAGGAATGAATGTTCTAGCTGGTGTTGGTGTCCTATCCACGCCATTTGCCGTGAGAGAGGCTGGCTGGGCCAGCTTGGGACTCTTGCTCCTCTTTGCAGTTGTTTGCTGTTATACAGGCGCCCTCCTCAAGTACTGCTTTGAAAGCAAGGAAGGCATGTCAAGTTATCCAGACATCGCTGAAGCTGCTTTTGGAAGATATGGGCGACTTTTCTTATCTGTGAGTCCTTTTCTAGAAATTTCTTCCTCGTAGGATTTGAATGGCAGACATGAAGAGACGCATATAGAGTTTATTGAACCCAAGAATACTGTTCTTGGTTGTTTAATGCTCAACTTCAGATTTCACTAAGATCGAGGACACAGGTAGATTTTTCAAACGGAAAGTTTGTAGTAGCATAATAAGCGAAGTGATCAATTGACTGTGGATGAGGCCAGACAAGGACCGAGTAGGGCCGGAAGTAGGAAATTTACCCACGCCAGAGTGACATCACCTTTTGTTTTTTCTTAATTTAAACAAAACAGATGATCTTATTTCACTGAATATCGTATCATTTTTTATATTAAGTAGGTTTTCCCTATTGGAGGCATGGCCTAGATGAAAGAGAATTAAGCAACCTTCCCAAAAGATACTTACACCCTGTTCCCTGGTTCATGGGTAAACGATAATTTTCATTAGGATTAAAAAAAAAAAGTTTTTCCACCGGCAAAGGGGATGGTTGACCCACCCGCGTAGTCGAACGGGTCACTGTCTTCTTGCATCTGTTTCACTGATTTTCCCTCATCTTGTTCGTTGATTTCGAGTCAATTCTATCGATATGATCTGGCGATATTGAATTCCTTTTCCTTTTCCTTGCAGATTATTCTATACACAGAACTATACGTAAGTCAAAAGAGAGCCGAATGCTTGGGGAGCTCCTCATCCACATGATTGTTTATTCTGTTCGACTGATCCCTCTGCGCCACTTTCTCTTTCCTATGGTCGCCTGAATGCAGTCATCTTGCGTGGAATTCATCATCTTAGAGGGCGACAACCTCACAAGGATTTTTCCCGGAGCTTCCCTCGATTGGGCAGGGCTTCACGTTGACTCCACGCACTTGTTTGGAATGTTGACCGCCCTGGTCGTCCTACCCACCGTGCTGCTTCGTGATCTCAAAGTCGTCTCCTACATTTCAGGTTCAACCCGCCCGCCAAATTTCGATGACTTCACCGCCATTATATGAATGGATGACAATTTTTTCCCAATAGAGTATCTTATAATGCTTTGACCCAGGATCTTCTTATCCGTTCATATCCTCCTTTTCAGCTGGCGGCGTCCTCGCCACCCTTCTAGTTTCTCTTTCAGTCGTCTTCGTCGGCGTTACGGATGATTATGGATTTCATCAGACCGGCAAGGCTGTGAACTGGAGCGGTTTCCCCTTCGCGATTGGTGTATATGGGTTCTGCTTCTCGGGCCACGCGGTCTTTCCAAACATCTATCAGTCCATGGCTGACCCAAAAAAGTTCAACCACGCGTTGATAATATGGTGATCTGATATGCTCTCGACTTTTTTGCTAAATATGTCCATCTTATTTTCCTTTTCTAAGATGTCAGCTCGTCCGCGTTGACCTTTTACAAAACAGCTTCGCTCTGTGCACTGCCGTGTACGGCGGTACAGCCATCTTCGGATATCTCATGTTTGGGCAAGAAACTCAGTCGCAAATAACCCTTAACCTGCCGAAGAACGGATTTGCTTCAAACGTTGCGATCTGGACGACGGTAATTCCCGCATTCCTGGAGCTCTTCGCTGACTTTGCTCCATTGACGACCCTCGATTTCCTCTCTTCTGATTATGATTCTTCCCGCAGGTGGTCAACCCGTTTACCAAATATCCTTCAGCCGGGGCTCAGATGATCTGATCTTCTTTAAAAATAAATAATTATTTTTTAAAATAAAAACTGTTGTTCATCCCTCGGGATCCTGCTGTGAGATTTCCTTGACAGAGAAACACGTACGCATTGCTGCTGAATCCGATCGCGAGGAGCATCGAGGAGCTTCTTCTCCCGCAGATCTCCGACCGGATGTGGTGCTTTGTCCTGCTGAGGACGACGCTCGTCCTCTCGACCGTCTGCATCGCTTTTATTCTGCCTTTCTTCGGTGAGCATCCGAGGGGGGAGCTTTCTTTGACCGCAGATCCCCTCACGGCCTACCTCGGATCTAAGAAAACCACGCTTCCTCCTTGCAGGTCTTATGATGGCTCTGATAGGCTCTCTTCTCAGTGTACTGGTGGTAATTTCTGACTTTCATCGCCTCTCTCTCTCTCTCTCTCTCTCTCTCTCTCTCTCTCTCTCTCTCTCTCTCCTGCGTGACTGATAGGTGCGTGTCGAGCCCATCTTCCGGGCTTTTGACTAACCCGGGTTTGGCAGAAGACCTGATGAACAGCACCCCCCCCCCCTTTTCTCTCTCTCCCTCTCTCTTCCTCTCTCTTCCTTTGTCTCTCTTGCAGGCGATCATCTTCCCCGCCCTATGTTTCCTGAAGATTGTGAGGAGCAGGGCCACGCCATTGCAGGTCGACTCGATCTATGAAGAAAAATTTCTCTTGGATGGGGGAGGGGAAAAAAGGAAAAAGGTTATGTTGACTTAATGGGTTCCTTGGTTCTCTAACAGGTCACTCTGAGTGTCGCCATAATTGGGCTGGGCGTGGCCTGTGCTGTTCTTGGGACGTACTCCTCCCTGTCGCGGATCGCCGGCAGCTACTGAGGTACTCCTCTTTGCTTTCTCCCTCTGCACCCATCTGAGATAGAGAGAGAGAGAGAGAGAGAGAGAGAGAGAGAGAGAGAGAGAGAGAGAGAGAGTTTCACGAAGCTGGTTTGAGCTTATTTTAACGGCCCACCATTGTTTGGGCTTCTCTGGGCTGATATTTGAATTCCATTTACTTATTTGTTGATTTTGTTTCTTGTGGTGCAGTTCTACCTCAACCCAGACCTTTACAGCCCCCTGATGAGTGAGAGAGAGAGAGAGAGAGAGAGATCAGGTAGTTGATTTTGGTATTTATTTAATTAATTATTAATTTCGCGGAAGTCAGACTCTCTAAATTCTTTATCTGATCGTGCCATTTATTAATTATTTTAACTGTCTTTTTAACAAGTAAGGATCTCTTCTACCCGATTTTCCACTAGCTAGTCCACATCCCCCGCTCCAATCTCTCTCTCTCTCTCTCTCTCTCCGCCTCTTGAGGTTCTGAGGTGGTCAGGCGAAGATATTTTCCACCGTGCCCGTTGACGTAATTGAATGGCTGCAGAGTTGCCCCAAGGCCTTTTTTGTCCGTATTAGGTATGAATGAATAGGCCCGCCACCTCCAATCCCCAACTTTTTATACGAGAACCCCGTGAAAAGTATGCACATAAATATAACATCCTACGACATCAAGTCTCCGCGCTTGCTCCTCCACGTCGGTCGCTGATGTGGAGCGTTGAAATTTCCGCCTCATTCATCCGTTGACCAGGCCCACTCTCTCTCTCTCTCTACGCTCGAAGACCCAACGCGTTTCATTAAACGCCCGGGTCAACAGTTGACGAGATGGAGTGGGGGGTGAGGGGGTGGTTGGAAACACCCATCTTTGCCCGCAAAAGGATGAGGACGGAATTAAATGGCAGGGCGAGCCCCATTAATGACGCCTTTTGGGAAGTTAAAACCAAGGGCGATCCTGGGCCCATTCGGGCCCATTAACTCTGCTCGGTCCTCTTCCACCGCTGCCCTGAACCAACGGTCATCGGACTTGATTGGCGCCCCCGGGTTGACCACCGATCAATGCGAACCGTTGGTTAAGTTGGTCCAGTTCTTCATCAAGGAGTTATTCGAGAAACCTGTTTGTCTCTCTCTATCTCTCTCTATCTCTCTCTCTATCTCTCTCTCTATCTCTCTCTCTATCTATCTATCTACCTCTCTCTCTCTCTCTCTCTATCTATCTATCTCTCTCTTCTCTCTCTCTCTCTCTCTCTCTCTCTCTCTCTCTCTCTCTCTCTCTCTCTCTCTCTCTCTCTCTCTCTCTCTACCTCTCTACCTCTCTCTATCTCACGCTTACACACGCATAGACAAGTGCAAGTGGAGGGCTGGGCTAGGGCTAGACTTCGTTGACATGAGTTTAAATTCCTTTTTCGGGAGCCAAATTGCCTGCTAGACGGCATTCAACTTCATTATGTCATCTGACATCACACAAAACGGGTTCACAGGATAACGTAAACTAGTGATAGGGGGATGTGGTCAATGGGTTACGACTCAAGCTGGGCCTTCGTCCGTTGACCACAGGAGGAATCTCCAATGGATAGGGATCATCGCTTAATACTGTGATCGTTGGGGAGCACGTCGAGCCAGCTCCTCCATCGGAACGATGGCCGAGTTCCTTGATAATAAACAGGCCTGTAGGGCAAATTCGGGTGGGATCAAGCATACGGGCGATCCCATGATCTCGACAAAGATCGGATTGGGTCAATCGATCCAAATAAATTGAATAGTCGGTGATCCCACGTTGTCGATTGAATTGGTTGCTATATTTATTGATCTGGATCAAACGTTTAGACTTCTCTTTAAGTATGAATGTATATGGTACCGAAGATAATCCGAAAAGCTTCAAGTAACTGAGGATCATCAATGGTTGACGTTGACTTGTTCTCCGCCTAGTTTTCTCAATCTTGTGTCTAAAAAATGAAGGGAACCGTCAAAATGTGTCCGATCCAGCCTAGATTCAGACTAAACACGGCTTAGCTTTCGTTGTCCAACCCAAAGGCTGTCTTTTTTATCTTATCATCACTCGAATGGCATCTACGCCTCTCTCTCCCTCTCTCTTCTCCCCACCTCCTTCCTCGACGGCAGAAGAAAGAGCACTAAAAAAAATGAAACTTTTTGGTGGGCAATATCTCCTTTCAGTGGCGGAGTCCGCTTCATTGCTTCTCGTCCTCTCGTAGCGTATAGATTCTCCTTATTTTACGTCTCTCTCTCTCTCTCTCCTGAAACGATGGGGGATTCCACTTTTCCGGCGGAACATTCCGAGTCCAAAGTTATCTCGCCTTTTCCCAAGCAGTCTCGCCGGAAAGCCGGCACTCACTGCGTATCCCCCCCTTCCCTGCATGTTGCTTAAAGAGTCCCCCATCGCATCCCCCGGCGCCCTCCGGTGGGTGCGGCCGGCTGTAACTTGCACGAGTGAAAAGCCTCTCTCTCTCTCTCTCTCTCCTTCTATCCATTTCTCTGTATTATCTCTCCATCTTTGTGTTCAGGTGGTCGACAACTGTGCACCTGTTGAGAGGCGTCTCCCACTTGGGCGTCCCCGAATGGACAGCTCCTCCGGTGCATCTCCCCTGCTCTCAGTCACCCCTCTTCACTCCACGCCCCTTCCCTTCCTCAATGGATCAACTCCCCCTTCTCCCCCCCCCCCCAACAAATATCCCCCACATTTAATAAATCCCCCATTAAAATTATAATTATAATTATAATTAAATTAAATCAAAATTAAATCAAAATTAAATCAAAATTAAATCAAAATTAAATCAAAATTAAATCAAAATTAAATTAAAATCAAAACCCAACCTCTCTCTCTCTCTCTCTCTCGATATCTCTCACAAATACACTAATAAAAGTGGCGCCGGCTTCCTACTTTCCGGCCCGGGCCCGGCCCGGGGCCGGGAGCCCCCTACCAAGTCAACTCCAGCACTGCGGCATGTCGGCAGGCTCTGGCTGGGTTGTATTATACAAAAAGCCCAAGATAAGTACTTTATTGTATACAAATCCCAACGAAGATTTTGTTTTTTAAAAAAAATAGGGCTCGCGTCAGCGACACTTTTCAAATATGCCACATTTATTTGGACATAATTATAAGAAAAGCCGATGGGCACATTTTCCCGGCCGGGCCCACGGAAATGTCAAACTATCCGTCTACCAGGGGTCGTAATGTAAAATTGTCCATACTCTCCAACTAATCCCGTCAACAGGCCGCCACGCATCGCCGTGCTCGCGTCTGCCGAAAGCGCGTCGGGATTAAAAGTCGAGTCCTAGTTAATTGGAGGGGTAAGGTACAAAATTCGCATATCAGACTACGGGCCCACGGTGAGGATCATCGGGAGCGTTGAATCCGCCGACAACCTCCGATTCAACGGTCAGAGACCCTCCGAGTCCAAAAGTTATCCGGTTTTTTAAAAACAAAATCAAGGAGGAGGGTTTATATGCAAAATAAACCTCCCGTGCCCGTGAGAGCGATCGCGTCTTCGCGTGCCGTATGCGTAAGAGTGCTAAAAAGTATAATCAATACGGAAAAGGAAATTTAAGGATTGATCCTCCAAAAAGATGAGACTATGTCTCATACACAAGGACGAATCTATATTACATATAAACTGACTTCCCTTCACGGGAGGGGTATAGTTGATTGTCTAATGCAGGGGTATTAACAGATATTTTAAAAGTAAGGGTCTTATCGTACGACAGGCGAGCTGCCGCAACGAGTAGGACGGTTCAGAGCAATGGGCGACTGCCACGTGCACGTTCCACGTGAAGAGCCGCACCCGCAGAATCATTTCCACGTACGAAAAGAAAACCAGTTAAATAATAGCCACGTATTTAAGCGTGGATTTTTAAAATAAAATAATGAGCGGATTTATGACTCTTTATAGTTCAAAGACAAAAGGCAGTTTCTATCCTTGTAGGAGGCAAAAGGTGGGGGTCACTATAGTGGGCGTGGGGCCTGCATGTGGTGACGTCACCAATCACGTCATCACGGGTGGGAGGAGACGGAGAGGAAAAGGCGGGGGGGAGGGGGCAGAGAGAGAAAATCCCCCATTTCCCACCTTTCCCTTTCTCTCTCTCTCTCTCTCTCTCTCTCTCTCTCTCTCTCTCTCTCTGGCTTTCGCTCCTTCCTCCGCCTTCTTCTCCAGCGCCGGCGAAGTCGTTGCGTCTCAATTCCTCACGGTAGTTCTTCATCTGCTCGCCGCAGTGGATCGAAGGGAGAGAGGAGGATGCGGGCGGGGCTGAGCACGATCCTCCAGACGCTCACGCCGGACGCGGCGGGCGTTCTGAACCAGTCGATCGGAGAGGCGGCTCGCCGGAGTCATGGCCAGACGACGCCCCTGCACGTCGCCGCCACGCTCCTCGCCCCTCCGGCGGGGATCCTCCGGCAGGCCTGCGTCCGCTCCCACCCCAACACCTCCCATCCTCTGCAGTGCCGCGCCCTCGAGCTCTGCTTCTCCGTTGCGCTCGATCGCCTCCCCTCGCTTGGGGGAGGGGTTAATTCCGGTTCGGCGGGTAGCGCCTCCGAGCAGCCGCCCATCTCCAACGCGCTCATGGCAGCGCTGAAGAGGGCGCAGGCCAACCAGCGCCGCGGATGCCCAGAGCAGCAGCAGCAGCCGCTGCTCGCCATCAAGGTGGAGCTCGAGCAGTTGATCATCTCCATCCTCGACGATCCCAGCGTAAGCCGCGTCATGCGCGAGGCCAGCTTCTCCAGCCCCGCCGTCAAGGCCTCCATCGAGCAGTCCATCGCCGCCTCCTCCGCCGCCACCTCCGCCATCGCCACCACCACCACCGCCGCCGCCGCTGCCGCCACCCCCACCACCTCGCCGACCAGCAATTCCCCCATCCCCGCCGGCGGCCTCCTCGCAGGTCTCGGTTTTCGGCCCTCTCCGGCAGCCCCGGGGATCCCACTCCTCCCCGCCAACAGGAATCTCTACGTCAACCCCCGTCTGCAGCAGCAGGCGAAGAGCACCGCTCCCGCCCCCGCCGCTGCTGCTGTCGCCCCCGCCGGGGAGGAGAGGGAGGAAATCAAGAAGGCGTTCGATGTATTGCTCAGGAGAAGGAAGAGGAACCCGATCCTGGTGGGCGATTCCCAGCCGGAGGCTGTCGTGAAGGAGCTGCTGCAGAGGATGCAGAAAAAGGGGATCGGACATGGCTTCTTCCCCCAGAACGTGGAGATAATCTCCGTGGAGAAGCGATTGGCCGCCGGCGGATCTCATATCCCTTCCATGCTGCAGGAATTGAGCGATTCCATCGACCGCCGACTTAACGAGGCCGGCTCCGCCGCCGTGGGGGTGGTCCTCGATCTCGGGGATCTGCAGTGGTTGGTGGAGAAAGCCGGCGGAGGGGTCAGCGCGGCCGTGGTCGCTGGGATGAAGAATCTCCTGGCGAGATTCTCTGAAGGTGGTGCCGCCGCCGGGAGGGTCTGGCTGGTCGGTTCCGCCACCAGCGCGACGTATCTCCGCTGCCAGGTTTACCATCCGAATATGGAGCTCGACTGGGACCTGCAAGCCCTTCCCATCGCCGCCCGCTCTCCCTTCACCTCCTTGCCCGGACGGTACGCCTCTTGAATCTCTGTTCTTCCCCTCCATTTTCTTCTTCCTCTAGTGTTTGCGAGATCGATAGGTAGAGAGCTAGATAGGTAGATAGCGAGAGAGAGAGAGAGAGAGAGAGAGAGAGAGAGAGAGATGGCTGCAAGATATTCTAGTCTCGCCGAAGGGGAGCAGGACGACAATCTCTGCTGCTGCTGCGTTAGGGAGGCATTTAAAAGGGTCATTGTTGTTGGGTCTAAAGTGGAAATCGTTAGATAGATCTTCGAGGAACTGTTCCCCTTCTCCCGTGGGAAGCTCAGCTGTTTACCAAGATTTTCCCCTTGGGCTTTAATCTTCGCTCGTCTCTTGATCTTCAGCCTCGGGAGCAATGGAATCTCCGGCGGATCTGCGGGCTCGCCGGGGTTCCTTCCCATCGTCAACGGCAACGGCGGCAGCCCTCCGGCGAGACGCCCCCTGGAGAAGCCCGAGACCCCCTGGAGCGAGATGTGCCCCCTCTGCAAGGACAGCTACGAGCACGAGCTCGCCAAGCTCGTCGCCATGGAATTCGAGAAGTCGTCCGACTCGCAGAAGCCTCTGCCGCCATGGCTGCAGCTCGCCAAGCTCAGCAGCGGCGACACCACCAGTCCCACAGCGACCCAGTCCCAGGTTGGATCGAAATTGATACATAAGATCACCCAGTTTCCGGGTGTGACTTTCTCCCTGGCACGCCCGTTGACATCTTCCTTCTCCCGGCCACTGTTACAGACCAAGGAGCAGGAGCTCTTGTGGAAGAAGACGACCGAGGAGCTGCTGAAGAGATGGAGCGAGACTTGCCATCGTCTCCATCCCAACAATTCCCATCCACCGGCGAAGCTTCAGCCTGCTCCGGCGAGCAACCCCGTCGGCCCCCGGCCGGGGAGCCCCGTGGGGACGGACCTCGTCCTGGGATGCACCAAGAAGTCACCGCCGACGCCGGCGAAGATCGCCGCCGATCACAGAGAGAAGGTTGCCGGCGGCGCGGTGGTGGATTACGACTCCTTCAAGAGGCTCTTCAAGGGCCTCACCGAGAAGGTCAGCTGGCAGCAGGAAGCGGCCTCCGCGGTGGCCACGACGGTGATGCACTGCAAATCCGGCGGCGGCGCGAGGGGCGGCACATGGCTGCTCTTCCAGGGCCCCGACCGGATGGGGAAGAAGAAGATGGCGGCGGCACTGTCGGAGCTCGTCTTCTCCAGAGACCCCGTCACCGTCTCCTTCGCCGGCCCGAGGGCCGACGGCGTGAGCTTCCGGGGGAGGACGGCAATGGACCGAGTGGTTGACGCCATACGGCGGAACCCTTTCTCAGTGGTGGTCCTCGACGGCGTTGACTCCGCCGACATGCTCGTTCTGGGGAGCCTTCGCCGGGCCATGGAGAGTGGCCGCTTGCCGGACTCCCACGGCCGGGAAGTCCCCATGGGGAGCACCATCTTCGTCCTCATCTCCGGCGAGTCCACCACCACCGCCGCCGCCGGCGAGGAGAAGCTCCTCGCCGCTGCAAACTCCGGCTGGCAGCTGGAGCTGGCGGCGCTGGAGAAGCCCGGGAAGCGGCGGGCCGAGTGGTCGCCCGAGCAGAGCTGGCCGGCGAAGCCCCCGCGGATCTCCCTCGACCTGAACCTGGCGGCGGGCTCCGACGAGGACACCACCGAGGGGTCCCTCAACTCCAGCGACCTCACCGTCGAGCACGACGCCGTCGACTGCAATGGGAAGCTCGCTGTCGGCCCCGGGGGCAACAACAGCGACAACAACAAGATGCGGCTCCTGGCGGGTGGATCGTCGTCGTCGTCGGCGTGGGAGATGCTCCGCTCCGCCGTCGACGCCACCGTGCCCTTCAAGCCCGTGGACTTCGGGGAGGTCCGCCGGAAGGTCTCGGAGACGATGACAAGGAATTTCAGGGCGGCCGCCGGCGAGTGCCGCTCGCTGGTCATCGACGAGGAAGCCATGGACCGGCTCGTCGGCGGCCTCTGGTTCGGGTCAACGACCGCCGCCGCCTTCGAGGAGTGGACGGAGACAGTCATGGTGCCGTGTTTCCGACAGCTGAGGCGGTACTCGGCGGTGCGGCTCTTGCCGGTGAAAGAGGGCTATAGCCGGAGAGACGGCGGCGCCGCTACGGCGGGCGGGCTTCCGACGCGGGTGAGGGTCGCCGCCGACGGGCTGTGCGGGGTCCCATAGAAAGAAATTACAGGAGCCGTGAGGGTGGAAGTGAATGTATCACTGCCCTCAGGGTTATTTTTACAAAAACAAATTATTGGCTTTTTTTTAGGTAATCTTTTTCTCGCCTTGTAATTAAAAGGTAGAAGGGACTTTTTCTTCGTTGTAATTATTAGGGTACCCAGAGGCCAGGATACGAATAACAAAGCATCTCATCCATATCCTCCTCCTCCTCATATTTAGATAGATGCCCTCGCGGGGTGGGTGAAAAGGTGGCCTCATCGACATGGCTATATTTACGAAATACCCCCCAAAACAGAAGGCAGTTGAGAAAACCCCCCGCCCCCCCGGTTCCCTACGAGGAAATCTCCAAGGGCAGCGGTTTCTTGAATCAGAAGATGCCACGTCAGCCATGCTAATGCGCCACAAATCATCGCACGTACAGAAACATCAATTGTCGCCCGCCCTCCTATTTAATAAATAAATCCAGTTAAAATACCGTCTCGCTGCGGGGCCCACAGGCGCAGTCAAAACTCCGGCCTTGCATTCCGTGAGACCGCCCGCCTCGGCGGGGCCGCCACCCACGTTTCTGCCGGAGGACGGCGCCTCCGGCCGGCCATTGAATGCAGCTGGGTTATCTCTCTCTCTCTCTCTCTCTCTCTCGCTGTGTAGGGTTGGTGAAAAGGTCAGCTTGTCCAGGCGCGCCGGAAAAGTCTTCAACCCGCCCCCACCGGCGACAGAGACCGGCCCCCCGCCCCCGTCCTCCCCCTGCTTTCCCGACCTACATGTGCCTCCATTGATTGCCTTTCTTTCCTCTCTCTTTCTCTCTCTCTCCTCCCTGCCACCTTCCGTGGATTTTCTTCTGCAACACGCCGTCGGCTATTCCCCTTGTCTCTTTCGGACGACCGAACTCCATTCACCTCACCTCTGCTCACCTCCAAGGTAGAGAGAGAAAGAGAGAGAGAGAGGGAGCTTGGATGGTCCGTTGAAATTCGCACGAGGGACGTGTGGCGGGGCAGCCGACAGCCGAATGGAGAGAAGAAGGTGACACGTCCGATGGCATTTAGAACCTAAAGCCCTTTCCGGATCTGGTCCCCACGTGCGATGGTGCTGAGTATGCACGTGCCTACTTCCGTGCGGCAAATAAATTAGCGAGTTAATGTTAAATCCTGGAGGACTTTTAGGCATCCGCTGCCCGATGGGAATATTCCTGAGGATTATTTGGACGTCGATCCATATCCCCAATTTTTAGGCGAAAATAATGTTTATAAAGTATGTCGGATTATTCTATTATTGGGCAAAACAGCTGCCCAATAATATATTTATTCGCACTTTTATTTTCACATGAAACCATAATTATTTTTCACATGATTATTATAACCAATATATTTAACTCTCAGGCAAGATTCTCGAATATTATCTAATCTAGACGAAAATAATCAATGTTATAAATAAATAAAGGAAATTTATTAATTCGGGAACAAGTATCAGCTCTATCTTTGCATATTTTAGGAATATAAGTTCAATCATAATTTTTCTAATCTATGAATGACGTAAGAATCCATGTTGCCGCTAAAATATGTCAACGTGATTTTGACCTCTTGCCATAAATGTATGCGCATAAACCTTTATTTTTTTAACTTATACAAATTATATAATACGGCAAGAACAAAATCTATTTTAAAATCACAGAATAAATATCGTTCCTTACTAATTATTTTTATATAAAAGTGATTAATTCTATTAAACTCTTATTTTTTAAAAATGTAGCACAATTGCTGGGTCGGACCACGGTTGACTTTTGACCCTTCATAGTAACATTTGGTCAACCCATCTTTCATGATGACCATGATTTGTGTGAACCTTGCCATGGTGTCTTTATTCCTAATGTCATACAAAGTGGGAGTGCATTAGTCAAAATATTAACTCGTGGGCCTTTGACTTTTTTTCTTTGAGAATTTACCCTCTTGTGATGATGCCATTAGGGTACCAGTTTGATGCTTCGTTGCAAACTCTTTGATGCATAATTTGCCTTGTTGAATCTTTGTATGGTCAGGAAAACTGCCTGATCTAGGTCAACCAACTTATAGAAAACTGAGCTACTGGGCATGTCGTCTCCTAGAAAATGGGAAAAGACTTGAGAACATGTGCTGATATCCCGGTTTATTTTTGTTCTGTCAAACATCATTGGTCCACACCGCAAAGTCAACTCCATGACATCCTTCTCCACTTGCCTTGGTCAGATCGGTGTGAGGTGAGATGGTGAGGGCTTAGCCAGACGGGCATGTCGTCGTCGTCTCGGTTGGCCTCCACCGTGTGGGCCCATTAGAGGCCACCCCCTGACCGCTCGGCCGTTCGATTCACGCGGATTGAGCCCTCCAGGTCAACCGTCCTCGCGCGTTCGAGCCACATCACGGTTCACACACCGGAGACAATTTGCTGATATACCCTAAACCCTATATCCGTAGATAAGTACCCCTCAAATTTACGAAAAGCGGCCTTTTGTCCTCTTCTCCCAGCAAGGAAGAGGGATATTATGGGCCCGAATCGAATGGGCCGAAACATTCATTACAGGCTTGGTCCAATGGACCCATTTCCCTCTAGTTTTTGTCTTGGGTTGTTGCCCATAAATCAATCTGATCTCCAAATAGTTACTCTGCATGCTAGAAAGGTAATAATTCTTCCTGTATTAAGTCGACCATCTGGTTTTAGGGAAGAACTTGTATTTATTTATTTATTTATTTTATTTTAATGTTTTCTGAATCTCTAGTGCTCTCTCATGAAGCTCCAGATTGGTTGAGAGATATAAATCTACTCTACTGGTTACATATTTGCTGTTGATTTCAAGGTGGAGAGAGTGGATGGGCATGCCATTCTACCTTCGGGGGTCGGTTGACCTTGTTGGTGGGGAAGGGCAGCCAGTTTCTCTAATTCCTCCTGGTGGGAAGTGCTATATATATTCGGTTATGAACGCGGGCTTAGGGCATGCATGCATGCATGCATGCATGCATTTCGATGTTTATGGACAGCCTGTGCTCGACGTAGAAAGCCATATCCAGCATATTCTGACTGCGTTTGAGGAGCAAGAATGCCCACATGGCTGCTGCAGGTATTCTTTTCTATGGTTTTTTCAGTTCATTAGGTTCTTCATTCCTTCATCTGCTTTCTTAATGTACGTGGAAATGGCCAGCAGATGTTCTTGTGAAATGTCTGGGAATGAAGATTCATGCTGTGGATCTATGCCCGTAGCTCTCCTTTAGGATGATGCTGTCTGATGAGTTTCGGACGGTGATTTTTGTCTGTCGGGTGATGTTCTTCTTTTCTAAAAGAGGGAACTATGATGAGTAGATCTTCCTCCTTGGGGGCATTCATTTTTAGTCTCAGTGCCATTTCAACAAGCCTAAAGAAAGTTAGGGATGAAACTGTCAGGCCCATTGCCAAGCCCACTACTGCCCCGGTTACTTACAGTTGGAGAGGGAAGGTAAAAGTCCTAAGTGGGCCAATGGGCCCAATAAAGAGGTCAGCATAAGGTCCTAAGGAGGCACTCTAGGGTTCCTTCAGAACCCTCCCCTACTTCTCCCATTTCTATCTATTTTTTCCTGTGTGTTTTCTTTATTTCCCTTGATCTCAACCCAATATCTTAGGAGTATTATCAACTGATATTAAAGCAATGATGCCTAGAAACGATGAGAAATATGAGAGATTGGAGAAGGATGTCAAGGTTCTGAATGAGATGATGCAAGTATACTCTTAAAGGGCTTCCTTAAAGGCTTTCTTAAACGGCTTGCTTAAAGTGATTTCTTAAAAGGCTCTTAGAAATCAACACATTTTGAAAATCATTAAAAATCAAGAAATATCATTTGTGTTGAATAAAATAATCTCCAACAGTTAAATTCTGATTTTAGCCATAATTATGATAGATTTAAAAGTACGTATTAAGATATAACCAAAGACTATTCAAAGTATAAACATGTTATAGAAGTATGCAAAGATCATATATTAAGTATATATTTTGTGTAATTAAGCTAGAGCATATTTTACATGATTTTTTATTTAATTTATGTCATTTAGTACGAATTAATACATCAAATATATTTATCAAGTGTTACTTATCACATAAAAATGACAAATCATCATAACTCCCACACTCGTTGGCTTAGATTCTACAAAGGATGAGCATCAACTCAAAGTCACTAACAAGATGTAAGGAAGACATATGGACAGTAAGAGGGGTGATGAATTCAAATTGAAGGTTAAATACATCGTCATAATGCAACTAAGTTCATGTAAATAATATTTATAAGACCTTACTCTTCTATTTAGTATAAGTAAAGGTCGATCCTCAAGGAGCATGGGTAATGAAAGTAGGAATTCTACTTATTTTATTTCTTATATTGAATATATATATATATATATAATTGTGGAGGGTGAAATTAAATGTAAAAAAGGTGAAAACAAGAGTTATGGAAAGCGTGACAAAGATGAGAATGGATCTAACACACTAGAGTGATAGAATAAATGATAAAACTAGTTTGAATTAAAAGTTAATCTATCTATGGAGAGGATTACAAGGACGCCCTAAATTTGAATCTTGCACAAACCTTGTTGTACCTCAATCCTAAGCTGAGTGATGCTCGATCTATGATGATCTTGATGCGCTTCAAGTAATCTCTTCTTCACAATAATTTTGGGCACGAGAATGCTATTGATCAAGTCTTGATTTCTCTCCTATTTCTTTTGGCTAGGAATTGTTAGAAAGAGAGTCAAAAAGTGTCCTCTAAAAAGAAGGTGAGTGATATAGGACGGGGCAAGAACCCTTGTACTTGATCAATGAAACTTGAGACCCAGGATGGGGCAGTAGGACTGATCTAATAAGAATGTCTAGACCCTAGACTCTAGGTCTGACCACGTAACCTAAGTACAGATAGGCGTACCAATATGTACTATCAACCCAAGACAACCTAGGGAAACACTTGACGATGGTAAAGTGAGGCCCTCTCGGTCGACGTCTGGATAGACGG